TTCTATGCGACGTTTCATTAAAAATTTAGCATGGCCCACCTTTCCCAAGGAGTGGCAGGAGTATCCATACCCCCCCCCCCATCCATTGGAGTGTGGAGCATTTGGAGGCTGTAAAGTGCGTTTGTTGGCGTTACTTTATGGCTGGAGCGCATGTAAACACGTGGCCATGTTGATGCCATGGCTGGGGCTCTGGCTATGGGGCTACTTGCCCCCAATACAGGATCCACATCTTGCGACACTTGGCGACTGGCGGCTGGGTACATGGAGATGAAGTAGTATATGGGGCAGGAAGAGGAGTAGGAGGAGGAGGAGTAGGAGGAGCTGTTGTCCCAGCTGCGCGACAACGACAACACGTAATGATTGTCCTTGTCACACACCCACAAAGGCACAACAACAACAAGTAGGACTGGGGGTTTGCTATCAACGTGAAAAATACCCAAAATAAAATAATTCCAGAAAAGAAACAATTGTAGCAAAAAAAAGGGAAAATTCTAGCAGCTGGAAATAGCTATAGATCAGTTTTTAATAAAAGAAGAAAGCATTAAATTAATTTTAAATAAAATTAAAAGTAGAATTTAATTTTTTTTAATTTAATAAATAAATAATTTAATTTAATTTGATAAATTATAAATAAAGCTATAAATTTCATAAGAAAAATATTAAATTTTGAGAGATTTTGTCACTAATTTTAAAATTAATATATGTAATATGTCTAGAGTTCACACCTTAAACAGAAAAAATTCGTACTATGATGTAAATAAAGCTCCGTTTTATATGCCCCTCATTGCACTGCAATTACAGGGTATGCCAAATACAAACACACTGAGACTGAGACTGAAACTGACTGAGGCTGCTACAGGCCATAAAATTCATGCCTTCTGACAACTGCGCCTCATACATTTTTATGACTCACAGTCATATTTATAGAGAGAGTAGAGTGTCTCCGAGACAGACAGACAGACAGACAGACAGACAGACAGACAAGACACACTCTCTGTGTGTGGCAGGCAACCAACACCTCGGGGCACACAACACACAGTTTTCCATCAGCGCCCCCAAATTAGGCAAAGGATGTACCGTATAGATAAACATCGGCCCCCAAGCGAATGAGTGCGAATGAGTCAAGGACGTCGACAGGTTCCAGGTTCCAGGTTGTAGGTTGTAGGTGCCAGCTCCCAGGTCTCAAGTCCCAGGTCCAGCAACTTGTCGACTGCATTAATTATGCTTATTTATTTAATGCCATTTGCTCATTGTTCGCCTGGGCACTCGGAGGTCATTATCGTTATCATCCGGGGGGGATACGGGTACTCAATTGAATTAATGCCACCGAAAATTGCATATGGAAATGGGGGAAACGAACGAGCATAGAATTTTCATTGAACATTTGCCAGCATGTGACAGGCCACGTTATGGTTATAATGATGATATGATATGGAGTGGAGCAAAGATTTTTGTTTCTACAACAATTCCACATGATGCCTCTCTGGCTCTGGCTCTGGCTATGGACTCTCTGTAATGAAATCAGGGATGCAGTCAGGCAAATAATTATGTGGCTGAATAACTTTTAGCCACAGACAACAGACAACAGACAATAGACAACAGACAATGATTGCGTTTATCATTTTCATGTTTTCTTAGATGGGAAAACTTCTTCGGCGAAATTTGCAAGTGGCCAAGTGGTACATATGTATGGGTTTTCTTGTAGTAATAAAAACAGGTCGGTCTTCCTGCAAAAAGTTTTTGATTAAATTCTGACAATGCATAGAATTAATAGTTGAACTTGTAGTTTGATTTAAGAGTGAAAAGAAAATACCCCCCCCGCCTGTCCGGTTGTTCCTGCTGTCCAAATTAAATATTACACATGTGATTAAACACCAGAATTTGTATAAATTGAATATCCCATGTCAATGTGTATGTGTATGTGTATGTGATGTGTTCTAGTGCATATCATTAGATGTGCTGCGGCATATCATTAGGCACATAATTTTCATTGCATTATGCATTACCACATGCGGGCATATGTTTGTATGTACTTGCCTTGCCATTGCCTTGAATTGTTTGTGCTACTCTCTCTCTCTCTCTCTCAGGAGTTTCACGTAGTAAAGGGTCTTGTGGTCACATTCAAAATGATTTCCACTGGGATATATGCATACATATATAGATATATTATCATTATCATTTGTGTAGAATACCGAAATATCCGAAAGACAGAAAGAAGACAGCATTATCAATAAGTCAAGAACTTTTCCGCTTAAAATATCTGTGAAATATAATAAAAATGCACTCAGCAGTGCACTTTTAAATTATGTAAAAATAAAGGAAAATATAAAATTATTAATATTTTATGAAATTATATTAATGCTTATTTAGAGGACCAATGTGAAGTGCAGATTTATGGGCAGCTTTTGAATGAACCATCCAATGATGCAGTAATCATAATGACCGATGATTGATTGATGATGACTATGAGGCGAATGACGATGATAATTCTGGCAAGGAGTGGAAAGATAAGGCAGACGAAAAAGAGAAAGAAGCGGAGGAAGAGGTAGAATGGGAACAGTTAGTCACTGACACAATCGCAATCGTTCATTTATCGTTTGTTTAACAAATGTTATCGAAATTTATATGCACTAGAAACCAACATGTTGAAAATAAATCATTTTTTAATATCAATATAAAGTTTAATTTAATTCTATTGAATGACACGTGTCATACAGCAGTGCACCTCGATCGATCAGGCTGCAAATGACTTTGCATCCACTTCGAAAAGTTAGATAATTTTTCGGAGATGACTCACAGATCCCAATGTCCTGGGGGCTATGAGAATACATAGTACCATTCTGCCATGGAATGCTTTATCATAGCGATGGAACCATCTGGGATTTTTCCCAGAAACGTGGAACACACACAGACACAGAAAGTAGCCCACCCCTCGGCACGTGAAAGTAACGAACATAAATATAAGACGAAATAAGAAATACAAAAATACAAAATACCAGCGATAATTCAAAAGCCCAACCACCACATACGTGAGGGCCAACAGAATCCCTGGGTGCCTGCTGCCTTTGCTGCAAAGGAGTGGTCCGTGGATCCTGCCTGCCTGACTGCCCTTCCTGCCTGCCTGCCTGCCTGCCTGCCTGCCTTACTGCCTTTTTGGCCAACAAACAACCAAATCTCAGCCATTATTTGGCATTATTGAAGTAAGCGAATTGTTGTGAATGCATGCCCTTGCGAGGCAAATGTCTTTAAAATCGACCAAATTGGAAACAAGATTAAAAGGGAGAAAGCAGCAGCAGCAGCAGTCGTATTGGGCCAAGTGGCAGACACAGGCACCAGACAAAGGCCAAGACGTAGCAGCAGCAGCAGCAGCAGCATCAGCATCGTCTTTGCCACACGTCCCTGCATAGTGCCAATAAAGCGCAACAAAGAGCGCCTGGCCCCCAAGACCGAGAGTCGTGTCAATATTTTGACTGTGTTTTAGCCTTGGCTTCATTCTGTACACCCCCTAACCCCGCTCAGATTTCGTATTTCCCTGTGCCTGTCCCTGTCCCTTTCGATGTCCTCTTTCCCTCTCTCCTCTCTCTCTCTGGGAGCTGTCTTTGCCTTGTGGCGGCGGCGTCCTCTCTCCGGAGGTGGCCATGCGCGTCCAGCGTCAGGAATATTGATGCCTGTGGAGCGTGCCGCTGGGAATGCCATGTGGCATTTGACCATCCTCCTCCTTCGCCTGCGCCCATGTATCTCTACCCAAAAAATCTCTCCCACATACAAAAAAAAAAGAACAGAGAATAGATAATAAAAAAAATATATGGGAATAAGATCGACTAAAGGATACCCAGCTTTTGGGGAGCTAATTATTCGCAGATAGCCCTACTTTTAGGGTGTGAAAATTCCATTGAAAACTTTCGTATTTTTTGCAGATAAAAGCTGTAATAAGATGCCACAACGGTGCAACCAATTTTCAGTTACGAAATAAACTCTTTTTCTGCCCCTTTTTCTGCCCCTTTTCTGCCCCTTTTCTGCCCCTTTTCTGCCCTTCTGCCCCCTCCCTCTGTTTCTGCCCCTTTTCTGCCCTTTCTGCCCCTCCCTTTTCAGCCCTATATCCGCCCCTTTTCTGCCATTTTCTGCCTTACATCTTCCTTCCATTTTGCGTTCTTTCTTTTCATGTCACATAGCTGCTGCACATGTGCAGCATACCCAGAGAGCGAGAGAGAGATGATCCATCAGTGGCATGGTCTTGACCACAGCCAGCGCATGTTAAACACTAAATAGAGGGCTCTGGCCATGGGCCAGAATCCATCTTCAAATGGCTAGGACGACATAAATTAGCGGCAGGCTGTGCGTCCCACTCCACTTCACTCCACTCCACCCTCCACCCTCCCTACCGCCTTCTGCGCTTTGTGTGCGAAAGTTTTGCGGCTAGCTGCCTCATATTGCGGCACGCAGTTTATCAAAGTCTTCGCCCCCGACGCGTCGGCTGCGTTCGCTCTCCGCTCGGAGAACGTGGAAGCGCAGAACGCTTAACGTAACGCCAACCAGCACCCAACTTACGACTGGCGTTGCCGCTGTTGCCGCTGTTGCCGCTGTTGCACATCACGTGACCTGCCAGCCAAATGAAATTCCTAGTCGGCGTCACATGGCGCGCGCACAACGAACGGTTCTGTAATTGAGTTGCCGTCGCATGCACTTGCCCCCCCCCCCCCCCCATACACCTTCTGTATGTGTAATTACTTAAAATTCCAGTCTTAAGGCAGAGCCTCAGGCCCAGCCACAGCCACAGCGTGCAACCCCACAAGTTGCAAGTTCCAGGTTACAGGTTACATGCTTCGTGACAGCTCACATGCTGTTGCATTTATTAATTCAATTTCCTGGTAATTCCTGCTAGCAGCCACCCAAAAGGATATCAATTACAAATAGAGCACACAAAAAACGAATCTATGGGGGGGGTGTAATTGTTGGAAGAATCGAGAAAACAAAAGTGAATGATTTATGCTTGTACTTACCCCAAAATCAATCAAATGAGCTCAGCATCAAAGAGCATGAAAGAGCTGCCGTTAGAGCTGCCCCAGACACAATCTCTTCAAGCGAAATTACTGCAAATGGAGTAAATGTTTTTCAATTAAAATCTGTACATCTTTTTTTTCAGTAGCTTATCTGTGCCAAAGTTCAAAATAGAATAAGCCTGATATTTCGGCCCTATTTTCTATGCTTAAATCTTGTTACATCCCATATTTAAATGGATGGATGCTACATCTGTCATAATCCAACAGGATTCGGCAATCGTTCACACATTTTATTTGGAAAATTTAATTGTAGATTGATAGAACTTACAAGCTCAGGCCGCTCGCTCGGGTGCCGTGTGGATCGTAAGAGCGCTAACAGTGCACTGATAACAGGCTGTTAAACAAGTGCAGTGCTGTAGTCGGCTGTAACAGATTGTTAATCTTAACTCCTGTAACAGTGCAATGTTACTAAACAGTATTGTCTTTTCCAATGAGCAAGACCTGATGATCTGAACTTCCATTGAGTGTTTACACAAATTAAAATGACTCCCATGACATAATATTTATTTATTTACCATGTACAATATGTACTATTTACTATGTGTACTATCTGGTTGCCACTCAAACGAGCAATGCATAGAGAAATGTCCAATTTCGTTCTGATGCCCCAAGCGTCGAACGAGAACGAGTATATACTACTATATGCTATACATACATATGTATATGCTCCGTACTATATGTATTTGTGTGATGATATTTCAATGGCCAATGGCCAAATATCCACATAATCAACTAAATCAAGACCTGCTTATTTATTTATTTGCAGTCGATAATCAAACCGCAAAATGACCGCCCCACCCAAGTACCCTCTGGGGCAGCAGCAGCGGCAGCGGCAGCCCATCGCTCACTTGATATTAGTTTTTAATTATGCCACATTTGATTGCATTAACTCCGCAGCCCACGCAGTTGTTTACCCGAACATGTGGCGCCCCAAAGGGAGGCTGCTAAAAAAAAAAGCAAAAATACCCTGGCGGAATCGAATTCTAAACAAGAAAGGAAATGCAATTGGGGAAACAAACCAAGCTGTGGGCATACCCTTTCTTTTCTGTGACAATGGAATTGAACGATAAACAAAATAAACAAAGAATTCGCATATTTACTAATTACAAAAGATTACTTATTTTTTCAGATTATTTAAGACTATTCTAAACCATCTTTTGTGTTGCAAAAACTTGGGAAAAATTACTTAAGTCATCCGTTTACGATCCTTCTTTTTATATTTAGCTCTTACTTTCCGATTAATTAATCAGCTGAACTGTTAGTGAAGAAAGACATCAAATGTAAACATTTTTATGTATTTTTTTTTTGATCAGCAAATAGATGTTTCCTTTTACTACCAGACGAACTCCTGGCTGTCCATGGTAATCCTTTCTTTTCTCTGTTTCAAATTCATGCAATAAGTCATGTTACCTTCTCTCTCGCTCTGTCTGTGTGGGTAAGCGCTTTTTTTTTTTTTGGGGTGGGGGGGGGAAATCGAACGGAAAAAGGCAACAAAATGCTGCGAAATAAATTATAACCACAAAAATGCAATTTAATACAAATCTAATTCGAGCGCATCAGACTTTTGCCAGCTGTCCTGTCCTGTCCGCGTGTTTGTGTAAAATTGCTGGCCCCCGCTATCCCAGTTGATGGCGATTTTTAATTGAAAGCGCGACTTTTGGGCTTTGGACCAGAGCCACCAACACACACACACACACACACACACACACTTAATCACACTCACACACACACATATGCAGATGCAAAACGCATACAAACGCACATTCAGCAGCAGCAGCTGCATGAATTTCATTAGTAAACTTTTAATTAGAAAAATTTCAGCATGAATTTAATTAGTGTATAAACATACATACATACACACGCTCGTATGTGCTCAAATACAAAGCCGAAAATTAAATGTAATAAAATGAGAAAATGAAAATGAAATGCAACTGGACCCCACGCCAAATTCCAACACCTGACAACGTCCTGACAACACCACCCGCTGCTGACATCGTAGGGGCTACCACCGCCAGACCAGACCACCAGCTCGTTCATCTTAGCCAAGACAAAAACCAGAACTTCATTGCTGCATAGGTGGACAAGGACGAGAAAGGGGACGAGCAACCACATCCAGTGGCGTAGCTACGTAGGGGAAAAACGGCGCCGAGTGTGGGGGGAGGGATAACAAAAGATCTAAGCTAGAAAAAACGCAAGGCGTGCTCTTAAGATTAAGCAAAAAAAAACAGTATGCAAAGAGAACAGGAAAACAGTAAGCAAACACTCTCTTCTCTCTCTATCTCTCTTACCGTTATGTTCTCCTACGTTTTTCTTGCTGCATTTGCTGTTTCTTTCCCACACACAGCGTTAGACTACGTAAACGCGCGCGCGACGATTCCGAACGAACGACGTACGCACCGAAACCGCAAGCGAGATTTCAATAATTTAACGCAAATTTTACGAGAGCACATATTTCGGGTATTATAATAAAACGGTTGAGGCACTACAGGACCGAAGTCCGGCTGACGTTAACCGCTGATGAAGAGACATCACCAAATTTATGTGATGCATCACCTCTCAGACGCTTGGAGAGAGAGCCGCCGCCAAGCGCCAAGAGAGCAACTCTTTTCTCCTTCACTGCGCATATTTTACGATTAAGTGGGAAAGGGACAAAACATCTTATTGGCACAATTAAAACGGTAGATGCACTGCTGACTTTTGCACATGAAAAAAAAATGAATTTATGCAAAAATGAATATGTTTGTATATAATACACTTGTAACACTTCACATGCACATATGTACATATTTCCGCACATTTCCTTCGGCGATCTGCCTTTTCGTTGCCATTTTGCCTCTTGTTTCGCCCCCTCCCTGGATCCAACACATTTTCTAGCACTAAAACACACACTTTTTGGACACATGCACTACACTGCCCTACACTTCATCGCCGAGCTGCCATTTTTCGCCAATTTGCCTCTTTCTTCGCCCCCGCCATTGAACCCGCACATTTTCTTGCACCAAACACTCACTTTTTTTGTACATTTATGTTTTACCACTACACTGCACTACACTGCACTGCATTACACTGCACAACACACCGACGCGACACTTTACCCGTTCGATTTGTAAACCTTTTCCCGATTCGCACGGACTTAAAAGCGCGCGTTTGTACCGGCCGGCCGAAAAAATGAGAGTGAGAGAGCGATGCAGATTGTCATGCGTAGGCGGCTTTGTGACTCGCTCTTTTTATGCTCTCCTCTGTCAGCCTCCCTTCCATGCTCTCCTTTTTGGTTCTCTTTCCAATTGCTCGCTCATTTGACATTTGTTTCAACTAATTTGGGGCGCTGGTGCGGCCCGCACCTGGGTGGGGGGGGGGTGGGCGTGACGTCGCATGTGGTTGCTGGAGAGGGGAAAAGTTATCTTATGTTGGAATGAGTCACAGGGCACCTCATCTACCAATCGATTAAAATCATGGAATAATTCTCCAATGTTTATTTATAGGAAAAATTAAATAAAAAAAAAACGAAGAATTCTTGCGTGGAAAGCAAAGCCGGTTGAAAATTGTAATATATTTAATGGATTTTATCGATTCAAAGAACTAATCTTGATGCACTTGCCCTCACGTTTTCTGAAGAGAATCTTTGGACGTTTTTTTTCTGGATGCACGCGACATTCCCATCCCATTGGGAGACTGAGAAAGAGCATCTGCTGACCCTGGGATTAAGGTTGAGATGGCGTCACGCTCAACGTGCCGAACTGCCACACAATTGGTGTAATTACAGAATGAGGAAGTGCAGCAGCAGCAGCAGCATCACAGATGTGTATGGGTACGGGTACGTAGGAATGCTAATTATGCTGCCAATCATAAGACTTTGCTTGCCTAATGCCTAATGCTTGCTGGTTGGGGCGGTGACGGGACGGCGGGGTTTACCCGAGACTCCCAATGTATTTTCGTAAACATTTTCAGAGTAATTTATGTTTAGTCGCGTCTAAAATTTATTGTCTGCATCAAGCAACTACTTGCTGCAGCCCCCGTTGACGTTGTCAGCAATTAATCGCTGCGTGATTAATCATTTTCTATGCAAATTATATATATTGTAGATATATGGTTATATGGTATGCCCCATGTTAACTTAAACACGCACCCATCTACGGATCTGCTACATCCACTGCTGACTACCGACTCTGACTCTGACTCCGACTCTGACTCTGACTCTGATGTTTTGACTACCTGTTAGATCTTTTTTTAATTACAACAGCCACTCGAAGAGCCAGAGTTCAGATGCTATTTTCTAAATGATATACGAGTGCGAGGCGGCTAATCACAAATCATTCATAATCATATTTTTTTTTGTTTGTTTGTGCTAATAATATGCAAGAGAATAAACCACAATAACTGCGTCATGGGAATAAAAAAGCCCAGGTCTTACGCGATACTCGTCCAAGTGTAAAAGTGCAAAAGGTGTAAATTAAATTGCAATTGAAATCGGGTTTGCCTATGCATCAGTGAGCCAATGATCAATGGGGAAATTCGATACTAGAAAAACAACTCTGAGATATGGAACACTTGGGTCATAATATGCAAGAAATATTTATGAAATTTTGCTTGCTTTTGAGAGGCTTAAATGCTGGAAAATCATTGCCTGAGTAGAGCAGAAATAAATTCGTTAATTGGCAGCCAAACAAACCCACTAACTACTAGTAAAAGAAGCAAAAAAAAAAGAATCTTTGAGTCAGCGATCGCACGATACAGTGGTACATACTCGTAGTGCGATGAGCTGGTCTTCTGAAAGCGTCTCAGTGATGTGATACTCGGCTTAGAGTGTTTAGAGCCAATAAAAGGTTGCTTGAACCAGCCGGAACGCAATTGTCCAATAAAGTTGAAAGCCAAAATGCCTGCGTGTACGAGTCTAACGAAGTTATGCATACCCTGGTCAGTTTAATTGGCAAAAAAAAAAAACTCATATAAGTTGAATTTTAACGATCAGCTTATGACACGAACAATAAAATGCCATAATCTTTACGGCTAGAAAGCGCGAATATATCTAACAGAGAATATGAATATATATCCGATCCACTCATGTAGCTCACCACACAGGCATAGATATATATTAAAATACAAAATACAAAATAAAAACAAAAATAGCACTGACCCACAGAGACTCTTAGAACGTAGGGAGCGGCGGCGTCTCCGTGTCCATTGGGTTCCCATTCTTTTTGGCCATTCAACGTCATAACCATAAGTTCTTCTTCAGGCCATCATGTTCTTCTCTTCTTTTCTTTTTTGTTTTTGTTTTCTTGTTGTTTCTTGGCTTTCTGTGGTTTTTGCATAATACGTTGGTGGGTTGCCTTTGTTGTTATTTTTTGTAGTATTGTTATTTTAATTAATGCCGCGATTCCGATTTGGTGTGAGGCACGTTTCTGCCGACGCGTCGTTTCTTTTAATTTAAGTATATGTTTTTTTTTACCACTTTACTCTTTGGCGAGAGGCTCTTCGACTTTGGGGCACGTCGGGAATATACATAGATTTAATATTTAATATTTTTTTCTATCAATTAAATTAGACATGCAAATAAAATTGATAAATAAACAAAGACGAATAAAAGTCATTACAACAAAAATACGTTAATAAAATAAAACCAAACCACACCAAAATATTCCAATTGCAATTAAAAATTTCAAGTTTAAAGATTATATTAAAAATAATCAAATGCGACTAAAAATTTTATGCATTGAAAATCTTTTTTTTTTAATTATAAGACTAAATAAATAAATAAATGAGAATACAAGCCTTCAATCTAGCATTTGCCTGGGCACCTAAGAAGCGCGATTTTATTCCAAATAAATTATACAAAATTATAACAAATTAAACAACAATTTAGTGTATTAAATATTGCCAATTAAATTAAATTAATTTTAAATAAATATTATAAGAAAGGAAAAATATATTTAAAATAATTAAATCATTAAAGGTGACTGCTTGCATCTATTCCTCGCCGATACTTTGATACTCTGAGGTAGATTTTGTAGATTTTCTTTTGGATCTGCAGTTTCCATTTGTTTCCACTTGGAATCGTTAGATCTAGCAGAGTATGAAATGCTTCGGCTTATACTCTTTTTATTGGTTTTCTTTGTGGATATTGTTAGCGGCAGTTTATACGGTTTTAGTTCTGTAAAGCTGCTTTGATGGAAACGCAAATAATTCCTCGACTTGGCCACTTACCGGCAATTGGCAATTGCCTTGAAGCGAGCATTTTTCCCACACTTGGCCATGGGTCACTGGGCACTGGGCATTGGGCATTGGGCTTTGAGCCGCTGATTATACCCACTTACACGGAGGTGGGGCAGACACCCATAAAGCGCCATGAACGATGGGCACCACCAGCGGTGGTAGCCAAAGCCAAACCGGTTACCGGATGGTGTTTCAGTGGTGCTGCTGCTGCTGCTGCTGGTGGTGCACTGGCTGCAGTGCCCGGAAGCTCGATCGGTGTCCAGGGATGAGCAAAACAATCAAACAACCAACCCAATGTGGAATGGGGCGAGGGGTAACAGAACCAGTTATGGGGCTCTGTGCCAACCCTAAGCGTTTGAGGGAAAAAATCAGCGACGCTGCCGACTTGGGGCTGCTTGCTCCACCACCATTCCCATGCCATGCCAATCCATTTCCATTTCCATTCATAAACCAAAACAGCCGCTCGACCTTAGCTCAGTTGCTTGTTGACCGTCGAGATGCCGAGATTGTCGAGCAAGTGCAGTGTCGCACCTGCAGTGCTCCTGATTATCGTGGCAGCGAGTCTCCGTGGCCTGGAGGCGGCCACAGCCCCAGCTGGAGGATACTGTGCGCCCACACTTTGCCAGCTGTACAATGGCAGTCATGTGGTGCAAGTGCCGCATACGGCGTGTGGCAACAATGGCAGCTTTGGTGCCAGTTGCGGTGCCGAGCCCAAAATGCTGGCCATGAATGACCGGAGACGTCAGCTGCTGTTGGACATGCACAATTTGGCCCGCTCGAAGATAGCCAGCGGCGAGCTGCCCGGCTACAGCAGTGCCACACACATGCCGCTGCTGCGCTGGGACACAGAACTGGAGCAGATGGCCGGACTGCATGCCAAGCGCTGTCAATTCGCGCACGACAAATGCCGCAATACGCCGCGCTTCAAGTTCAGTGGCCAGAATATTGGTTACTTTTGGATTGGACGCGAATTCAAGTCGCACTCGAGGCGCATGAAATCGTTTGTCCTCAACTGGTTCAGGGAGTACTTGGATGCCAATCAGACCTACATCGACAGCTATCGTCCGCATCCCCAAGGGTAAGTGGCCGGAATGCTATTTGGATCAAGTCTCTAATGTTGCAACACACACACACACACACACACAGCAAGAAGATCGGACACTTTACGCTGCTCGTCTCGGATCGTGTGCATCGCGTGGGCTGTGCCGCTGTGCGATTTCTGGAGCCCCAGGCCAGCAGATACCAGTTCATGCTCACCTGCAACTATGACTACAATAACATCTACAATGAGCCCATCTATCAGTCGGGCCCGGCGGCCTCCAAGTGCGTTCAGCATCAAGTGAGCGACAAATTTGCGGCCCTGTGCGACTGGCGGGATGCCGCCTACGACTATGACAGCGACGAGAGCGCCGAGGATGGCAACACCCTCGACAACAACATACCCCTCTGAGCCCCATTGATCCATTGATGGATCCATTGATCCGTTGGTCAACCCTCCCCACCTTTTTCTTTTTTTTTTTTTTGTCTAGCACCTAAGCCAAAATCCCTCCAAGAACCCCTCTCCCCCATCCAGTGAAAGAGATCAACTGCGCCGATTGGCATTTTTAGAATAAATCTCCACACCAGTGGATCGTTTATTAAAACACACAAATATATGTACATTGATTAGCGCCTTAGATCTGCTCTATCTGCTCATTCCCTTAACTACTTAATGACTGTCCCAGCCATCGGCCCGGTCCGCCTAGACATCTGCCACTGTCGTCGTCGTTGGGGCCACAGATCGGTCCACATCGAAGATATTGAACGGCGGAAGAGAGGCAGTGGTTCGCCCAGTGGTGCTTGTGGTTGGCTTCAGAGTCGTTGGCTTGGTTGTCGCATCTGTGGGTTTGCCAGTCGTTGTCTTTGATGGTTGTCGAGTCGTTCTCCTGGTTGTTTCATCTGTGGGTTTGCCAGTCGTTGTCTCTGATGGTTTCAGAGTCGATCGCCTGGTTGTTTCATCTGTGGGTTTGCCAGTCGTTGTCTCAGATGGTTTCAGAGTCGTTGGCTTGGTTGTCGCATCGGTGGGCTTAGAAGTTGTCGTCTCTGATGGTTTCAGAGTCGTTGGCTTGGTTGTCGCATCTGTGGGTTTGCCAGTCGTTGTCTCAGATGGTTTCAGAGTCGTTGGCTTGGTTGTCGCATCGGTGGGCTTAGAAGTTGTCGTCTCTGATGGTTTCAGAGTCGTTGGCTTGGTTGTCGCATCTGTGGGTTTGCCAGTCGTTGTCTCAGATGGTTTCAGAGTCGTTGGCTTGGTTGTCGCATCTGTGGGTTTGCCAGTCGTTGTCTCAGATGGTTTCAGAGTCGTTGGCTTGGTTGTCGCATCTGTGGGTTTGCCAGTCGTTGTCTCAGATGGTTTCAGAGTCGTTGGCTTGGTTGTCGCATCTGTGGGTTTGCCAGTCGTTGTCTCAGATGGTTTCAGAGTCGTTCTCCTGGTTGTTTCATCTGTGGGTTTGCCAGTCGTTGTCTCTGATGGTTTCAGAGTCGATCGCCTGGTTGTCGCATCTGTGGGTTTGCCAGTCGTTGTCTCAGATGGTTTCAGAGTCGTTGGCTTGGTTGTCGCATCTGTGGGTTTGCCAGTCGTTGTCTCTGATGGTTTCAGAGTCGTTGGCTTGGTTGTCGCATCTGTGGGTTTGCCAGTCGTTGTCTCAGTGGTTTCAGGTCGTTGGCTTGGTTGTCCATCTGTGGGTTTGCCAGTCGTGTCTCAGTGGTTTCAGAGTCGTTGGCTTGGTTGTCGCATCTGTGGGTTTGCCAGTCGTTGTCTCAGATGGTTTCAGAGTCGTTGGCTTGGTTGTCGCATCTGTGGGTTTGCCAGTCGTTGTCTCAGATGGTTTCAGAGTCGTTGGCTTGGTTGTCGCATCTGTGGGTTTGCCAGTCGTTGTCTCAGATGGTTTCAGAGTCGTTGGCTTGGTTGTCGCATCGGTGGGCTTAGAAGTTGTCGTCTCTGATGGTTTCAGAGTCGTTGGCTTGGTTGTCGCATCTGTGGGTTTGCCAGTCGTTGTCTCAGATGGTTTCAGAGTCGTTGGCTTGGTTGTCGCATCTGTGGGTTTGCCAGTCGTTGTCTCAGATGGTTTCAGAGTCGTTGGCTTGGTTGTCGCATCTGTGGGTTTGCCAGTCGTTGTCTCAGATGGTTTCAGAGTCGTTGGCTTGGTTGTCGCATCGGTGGGCTTAGAAGTTGTCGTCTCTGATGGTTTCAGAGTCGTTGGCTTGGTTGTCGCATCTGTGGGTTTGCCAGTCGTTGTCTCAGATGGTTTCAGAGTCGTTGGCTTGGTTGTCGCATCTGTGGGTTTGCCAGTCGTTGTCTCAGATGGTTTCAGAGTCGTTGGCTTGGTTGTCGCATCTGTGGGTTTGCCAGTCGTTGTCTCAGATGGTTTCAGAGTCGTTGGCTTGGTTGTCGCATCGGTGGGCTTAGAAGTTGTCGTCTCTGATGGTTTCAGAGTCGTTGGCTTGGTTGTCGCATCTGTGGGTTTGCCAGTCGTTGTCTCAGATGGTTTCAGAGTCGTTGGCTTGGTTGTCGCATCTGTGGGTTTGCCAGTCGTTGTCTCTGATGGTTTCAGAGTCGTTGGCTTGGTTGTCGCATCTGTGGGTTTGCCAGTCGTTGTCTCAGATGGTTTCAGAGTCGTTGGCTTGGTTGTCGCATCTGTGGGTTTGCCAGTCGTTGTCTCAGATGGTTTCAGAGTCGTTGGCTTGGTTGTCGCATCTGTGGGTTTGCCAGTCGTTGTCTCAGATGGTTTCAGAGTCGTTGGCTTGGTTGTCGCATCTGTGGGTTTGCCAGTCGTTGTCTCAGATGGTTTCAGAGTCGTTGGCTTGGTTGTCGCATCTGTGGGTTTGCCAGTCGTTGTCTCAGATGGTTTCAGAGTCGTTGGCTTGGTTGTCGCATCGGTGGGCTTAGAAGTTGTCGTCTCTGATGGTTTCAGAGTCGTTGGCTTGGTTGTCGCATCTGTGGGTTTGCCAGTCGTTGTCTCAGATGGTTTCAGAGTCGTTGGCTTGGTTGTCGCATCTGTGGGTTTGCCAGTTGTTGTCTCAGATGGTTTCAGAGTCGTTGGCTTGGTTGTCGCATCTGTGGGTTTGCCAGTCGTTGTCTCAGATGGTTTCAGAGTCGTTGGCTTGGTTGTCGCATCTGTGGGTTTGCCAGTCGTTGTCTCAGATGGTTTCAGAGTCGTTGGCTTGGTTGTCGCATCTGTGGGTTTGCCAGTCGTTGTCTCAGATGGTTTCAGAGTCGTTGGCTTGGTTGTCGCATCGGTGGGCTTAGAAGTTGTCGTCTCTGATGGTTTCAGAGTCGTTGGCTTGGTTGTCGCATCGGTGGGCTTAGAAGTTGTCGTCTCTGATGGTTTCAGAGTCGTTGGCTTGGTTGTCGCATCTGTGGGTTTGCCAGTCGTTGTCTCAGATGGTTTCAGAGTCGTTGGCTTGGTTGTCGCATCTGTGGGTTTGCCAGTCGTTGTCTCAGATGGTTTCAGAGTCGTTGGCTTGGTTGTCGCATCTGTGGGTTTGCCAGTCGTTGTCTCTGATGGTTTCAGAGTCGTTGGCTTGGTTGTCGCATCTGTGGGTTTGCCAGTCGTTGTCTCAGATGGTTTCAGAGTCGTTGGCTTGGTTGTCGCATCTGTGGGTTTGCCAGTCGTTGTCTCAGATGGTTTCAGAGTCGTTGGCTTGGTTGTCGCATCTGTGGGTTTGCCAGTCGTTGTCTCAGATGGTTTCAGAGTCGTTGGCTTGGTTGTCGCATCTGTGGGTTTGCCAGTCGTTGTCTCTGATGGTTTCAGAGTCGTTGGCTTGGTTGTCGCATCTGTGGGTTTACCAGTCGTTGTCTCTGATGGTTTCAGAGTCGTTGGCTTGGTTGTCGCATCTGTGGGCTTTGCAAGTTGTTGTCTCTGATGGTTTCAGAGTCGTTGGCTTGGTTGTCGCATCTGTGGGTTTGCCAGTCGTTGTCTCTGATGGTTTCAGAGTCGTTGGCTTGGTTGTCGCATCTGTGGGTTTGCCAGTCGTTGTCTCTGATGGTTTCAGAGTCGTTGGCTTGGTTGTCGCATCTGTGGGTTTGCCAGTCGTTGTCTCTGATGGTTTCAGAGTCGTTGGCTTGGTTGTCGCATCTGTGGGTTTGCCAGTCGTTGTCTCAGATGGTTTCAGAGTCGTTGGCTTGGTTGTCGCATCTGTGGGTTTGCCAGTCGTTGTCTCTGATGGTTTCAGAGTCGTTGGCTTGGTTGTCGCATCTGTGGGTTTGCCAGTCGTTGTCTCTGATGGTTTCAGAGTCGTTGGCTTGGTTGTCGCATCTGTGGGTTTGCCAGTCGTTGTCTCAGATGGTTTCAGAGTCGTTGGCTTGGTTGTCGCATCTGTGGGTTTGCCAGTCGTTGTCTTTGATGGTTTCAGAGTCGTTGGCTTGGTTGTCGCATCTGTGGGTTTGCCAGTCGTTGTCTCTGATGGTTTCAGAGTCGTTGGCTTGGTTGTCGCATCGGTGGGCTTAGAAGTTGTCGTCTCTGATGGTTTCAGAGTCGTTGGCTTGGTTGTCGCATCTGTGGGTTTGCCAGTCGTTGTCTCTGATGGTTTCAGAGTCGTTGGCTTGGTTGTCGCATCGGTGGGCTTAGAAGTTGTCGTCTCTGATGGTTTCAGAGTCGTTGGCTTGGTTGTCGCATCTGTGGGTTTGCCAGTCGTTGTCTCTGATGGTTTCAGAGTCGTTGGCTTGGTTGTCGCATCTGTGGGTTTGCCAGTCGTTGTCTCTGATGGTTTCAGAGTCGTTGGCTTGGTTGTCGCATCTGTGGGTTTGCCAGTCGTTGTCTCAGATGGTTTCAGAGTCGTTGGCTTGGTTGTCGCATCTGTGGGTTTGCCAGTCGTTGTCTCTGATGGTTTCAGAGTCGTTGGCTTGGTTGTCGCATCTGTGGGTTTGCCAGTCGTTGTCTCAGATGGTTTCAGAGTCGTTGGCTTGGTTGTCGCATCTGTGGGTTTGCCAGTCGTTGTCTCTGATGGTTTCAGAGTCGTTGGCTTGGTTGTCGCATCTGTGGGTTTGCCAGTCGTTGTCTCTGATGGTTTCAGAGTCGTTGGCTTGGTTGTCGCATCTGTGGGTTTGCCAGTAGTTGTCTCAGATGGTTTCAGAGTCGTTGGCTTGGTTGTCGCATCTGTGGGTTTGACAGTCGTTGTCTCTGATGGTTTCAGAGTCGTTGGCTTGGTTGTCGCATCTGTGGGTTTGCCAGTCGTTGTCTCAGATGGTTTCAGAGTCGTTGGCTTGGTTGTCGCATCTGTGGGTTTGACAGTCGTTGTCTCTGATGGTTTCAGAGTCGTTGGCTTGGTTGTCGCATCTGTGGGTTTGCCAGTCGTTGTCTCAGATGGTTTCAGAGTCGTTGGCTTGGTTGTCGCATCTGTGGGTTTGACAGTCGTTGTCTCTGATGGTTTCAGAGTCGTTGGCTTGGTTGTCGCATCTGTGGGTTTGCCAGTCGTTGTCTCAGATGGTTTCAGAGTCGTTGGCTTGGTTGTCGCATCTGTGGGTTTGCCAGTCGTTGTCTCTGATGGTTTCAGAGTCGTTGGCTTGGTTGTCGCATCTGTGGGTTTGCCAGTCGTTGTCTCTGATGGTTTCAGAGTCGTTGGCTTGGTTGTCGCATCTGTGGGTTTGCCAGTCGTTGTCTCAGATGGTTTCAGAGTCGTTGGCTTGGTTGTCGCATCTGTGGGTTTGCCAGTCGTTGTCTCAGATGGTTTCAGAGTCGTTGGCTTGGTTGTCGCATCTGTGGGTTTGCCAGTCGTTGTCTCAGATGGTTTCAGAGTCGTTGGCTTGGTTGTCGCATCGGTGGGCTTAGAAGTTGTCGTCTCTGATGGTTTCAGAGTCGTTGGCTTGGTTGTCGCATCTGTGGGTTTGCCAGTCGTTGTCTCTGATGGTTTCAGAGTCGTTGGCTTGGTTGTCGCATCTGTGGGTTTGCCAGTCGTTGTCTCAGATGGTTTCAGAGTCGTTGGCTTGGTTGTCGCATCTGTGGGTTTGCCAGTCGTTGTCTCTGATGGTTTCAGAGTCGTTGGCTTGGTTGTCGCATCTGTGGGTTTGCCAGTCGTTGTCTCTGATGGTTTCAGAGTCGTTGGCTTGGTTGTCGCATCTGTGGGTTTGCCAGTCGTTGTCTCTGATGGTTTCAGAGTCGTTGGCTTGGTTGTCGCATCTGTGGGTTTGCCAGTCGTTGTCTCTGATGGTTTCAGAGTCGTTGGCTTGGTTGTCGCATCTGTGGGTTTGCCAGTCGTTGTCTCAGATGGTTTCAGAGTCGTTGGCTTGGTTGTCGCATCTGTGGGTTTAGGTTGTCTCTGATGGTTTCAGAGTCGTTGGCTTGGTTGTCGCATCTGTGGGTTTGCCAGTCGTTGTCTCTGATGGTTTCAGAGTCGTTGGCTTGGTTGTCGCATCTGTGGGTTTGCCAGTCGTTGTCTCTGATGGTTTCAGAGTCGTTGGCTTGGTTGTCGCATCTGTGGGTTTGCCAGTCGTTGTCTCTGATGGTTTCAGAGTCGTTGGCTTGGTTGTCGCATCTGTGGGTTTGCCAGTCGTTGTCTTTGATGGTTTCAGAGTCGTTGGCTTGGTTGTCGCATCTGTGGGTTTGCCAGTTGTTGTCTCTGATGGTTTCAGAGTCGTTGGCTTGGTTGTCGCATCGGTGGGCTTAGAAGTTGTTGTCTCTGATGGTTTCAGAGTCGTTGGCTTGGTTGTCGCATCTGTGGGTTTGCCAGTCGTTGTCTCTGATGGTTTCAGAGTCGTTGGCTTGGTTGTCGCATCTGTGGGTTTGCCAGTCGTTGTCTCAGATGGTTTCAGAGTCGTTGGCTTGGTTGTCGCATCTGTGGGTTTGCCAGTCGTTGTCTCAGATGGTTTCAGAGTCGTTGGCTTGGTTGTCGCATCTGTGGGTTTGCCAGTCGTTGTCTCTGATGGTTTCAGAGTCGTTGGCTTGGTTGTCGCATCTGTGGGTTTGCCAGTCGTTGTCTCTGATGGTTTCAGAGTCGTTGGCTTGGTTGTCGCATCTGTGGGTTTGCCAGTCGTTGTCTCAGATGGTTTCAGAGTCGTTGGCTTGGTTGTCGCATCTGTGGGTTTGCCAGTCGTTGTCTCAGATGGTTTCAGAGTCGTTGGCTTGGTTGTCGCATCTGTGGGTTTGCCAGTCGTTGTCTCTGATGGTTTCAGAGTCGTTGGCTTGGTTGTCGCATCTGTGGGTTTGCCAGTCGTTGTCTCTGATGGTTTCAGAGTCGTTGGCTTGGTTGTCGCATCTGTGGGTTTGCCAGTCGTTGTCTCAGATGGTTTCAGAGTCGTTGGCTTGGTTGTCGCATCTGTGGGTTTGCCAGTCGTTGTCTCAGATGGTTTCAGAGTCGTTGGCTTGGTTGTCGCATCTGTGGGTTTGCCAGTAGTTGTCTCAGATGGTTTCAGAGTCGTTGGCTTGGTTGTCGCATCTGTGGGTTTGCCAGTAGTTGTCTCAGATGGTTTCAGAGTCGTTGGCTTGGTTGTCGCATCTGTGGGTTTGCCAGTCGTTGTCTCAGATGGTTTCAGAGTCGTTGGCTTGGTTGTCGCATCTGTGGGTTTGCCAGTCGTTGTCTCAGATGGTTTCAGAGTCGTTGGCTTGGTTGTCGCATCTGTGGGTTTGCCAGTCGTTGTCTCAGATGGTTTCAGAGTCGTTGGCTTGGTTGTCGCATCTGTGGGTTTGCCAGTCGTTGTCTCAGATGGTTTCAGAGTCGTTGGCTTGGTTGTCGCATCTGTGGGTTTGCCAGTCGTTGTCTCAGATGGTTTCAGAGTCGTTGGCTTGGTTGTCGCATCTGTGGGTTTGCCAGTCGTTGTCTCAGATGGTTTCAGAGTCGTTGGCTTGGTTGTCGCATCTGTGGGTTTGCCAGTAGTTGTCTCAGATGGTTTCAGAGTCGTTGGCTTGGTTGTCGCATCTGTGGGTTTGCCAGTCGTTGTCTCAGATGGTTTCAGAGTCGTTGGCTTGGTTGTCGCATCTGTGGGTTTGCCAGTAGTTGTCTCAGATGGTTTCAGAGTCGTTGGCTTGGTTGTCGCATCTGTGGGTTTGCCAGTCGTTGTCTCAGATGGTTTCAGAGTCGTTGGCTTGGTTGTCGCATCTGTGGGTTTGCCAGTCGTTGTCTCAGATGGTTTCAGAGTCGTTGGCTTGGTTGTCGCATCTGTGGGTTTGCCAGTCGTTGTCTCAGATGGTTTCAGAGTCGTTGGCTTGGTTGTCGCATCTGTGGGTTTGCCAGTCGTTGTCTCTGATGGTTTCAGAGTCGTTGGCTTGGTTGTCGCATCTGTGGGTTTGCCAGTCGTTGTCTCAGATGGTTTCAGAGTCGTTGGCTTGGTTGTCGCATCTGTGGGTTTGCCAGTAGTTGTCTCAGATGGTTTCAGAGTCGTTGGCTTGGTTGTCGCATCTGTGGGTTTGCCAGTCGTTGTCTCAGATGGTTTCAGAGTCGTTGGCTTGGTTGTCGCATCTGTGGGTTTGCCAGTCGTTGTCTCAGATGGTTTCAGAGTCGTTGGCTTGGTTGTCGCATCTGTGGGTTTGCCAGTCGTTGTCTCAGATGGTTTCAGAGTCGTTGGCTTGGTTGTCGCATCTGTGGGTTTGCCAGTCGTTGTCTCAGATGGTTTCAGAGTCGTTGGCTTGGTTGTCGCATCTGTGGGTTTGCCAGTCGTTGTCTCAGATGGTTTCAGAGTCGTTGGCTTGGTTGTCGCATCTGTGGGTTTGCCAGTCGTTGTCTCAGATGGTTTCAGAGTCGTTGGCTTGGTTGTCGCATCTGTGGGTTTGCCAGTCGTTGTCTCTGATGGTTTCAGAGTCGTTGGCTTGGTTGTCGCATCTGTGGGTTTGCCAGTCGTTGTCTCTGATGGTTTCAGAGTCGTTGGCTTGGTTGTCGCATCTGTGGGTTTGCCAGTCGTTGTCTCAGATGGTTTCAGAGTCGTTGGCTTGGTTGTCGCATCTGTGGGTTTGCCAGTTGTTGTCTCTGATGGTTTCAGAGTCGTTGGCTTGGTTGTCGCATCTGTGGGTTTGCCAGTCGTTGTCTCAGATGGTTTCAGAGTCGTTGGCTTGGTTGTCGCATCTGTGGGTTTGCCAGTCGTTGTCTCAGATGGTTTCAGAGTCGTTGGCTTGGTTGTCGCATCTGTGGGTTTGCCAGTCGTTGTCTCAGATGGTTTCAGAGTCGTTGGCTTGGTTGTCGCATCTGTGGGTTTGCCAGTCGTTGTCTCAGATGGTTTCAGAGTCGTTGGCTTGGTTGTCGCATCTGTGGGTTTGCCAGTCGTTGTCTCAGATGGTTTCAGAGTCGTTGGCTTGGTTGTCGCATCTGTGGGTTTGCCAGTCGTTGTCTCTGATGGTTTCAGAGTCGTTGGCTTGGTTGTCGCATCTGTGGGTTTGCCAGTCGTTGTCTCTGATGGTTTCAGAGTCGTTGGCTTGGTTGTCGCATCTGTGGGTTTGCCAGTCGTTGTCTCAGATGGTTTCAGAGTCGTTGGCTTGGTTGTCGCATCTGTGGGTTTGCCAGTTGTTGTCTCTGATGGTTTCAGAGTCGTTGGCTTGGTTGTCGCATCTGTGGGTTTGCCAGTCGTTGTCTCAGATGGTTTCAGAGTCGTTGGCTTGGTTGTCGCATCTGTGGGTTTGCCAGTCGTTGTCTCAGATGGTTTCAGAGTCGTTGGCTTGGTTGTCGCATCTGTGGGTTTGCCAGTCGTTGTCTCTGATGGTTTCAGAGTCGTTGGCTTGGTTGTCGCATCTGTGGGTTTGCCAGTCGTTGTCTCAGATGGTTTCAGAGTCGTTGGCTTGGTTGTCGCATCTGTGGGTTTGCCAGTCGTTGTCTCAGATGGTTTCAGAGTCGTTGGCTTGGTTGTCGCATCTGTGGGTTTGCCAGTCGTTGTCTCAGATGGTTTCAGAGTCGTTGGCTTGGTTGTCGCATCTGTGGGTTTGCCAGTCGTTGTCTCTGATGGTTTCAGAGTCGTTGGCTTGGTTGTCGCATCTGTGGGTTTGCCAGTCGTTGTCTCAGATGGTTTCAGAGTCGTTGGCTTGGTTGTCGCATCTGTGGGTTTGCCAGTCGTTGTCTCTGATGGTTTCAGAGTCGTTGGCTTGGTTGTCGCATCTGTGGGTTTGCCAGTCGTTGTCTCAGATGGTTTCAGAGTCGTTGGCTTGGTTGTCGCATCTGTGGGTTTGCCAGTCGTTGTCTCAGATGGTTTCAGAGTCGTTGGCTTGGTTGTCGCATCTGTGGGTTTGCCAGTCGTTGTCTCAGATGGTTTCAGAGTCGTTGGCTTGGTTGTCGCATCTGTGGGTTTGCCAGTCGTTGTCTCAGATGGTTTCAGAGTCGTTGGCTTGGTTGTCGCATCTGTGGGTTTGCCAGTCGTTGTCTCAGATGGTTTCAGAGTCGTTGGCTTGGTTGTCGCATCTGTGGGTTTGCCAGTCGTTGTCTCAGATGGTTTCAGAGTCGTTGGCTTGGTTGTCGCATCTGTGGGTTTGCCAGTCGTTGTCTCTGATGGTTTCAGAGTCGTTGGCTTGGTTGTCGCATCTGTGGGTTTGCCAGTCGTTGTCTCTGATGGTTTCAGAGTCGTTGGCTTGGTTGTCGCATCTGTGGGTTTGCCAGTCGTTGTCTCAGATGGTTTCAGAGTCGTTGGCTTGGTTGTCGCATCTGTGGGTTTGCCAGTCGTTGTCTCAGATGGTTTCAGAGTCGTTGGCTTGGTTGTCGCATCTGTGGGTTTGCCAGTCGTTGTCTCAGATGGTTTCAGAGTCGTTGGCTTGGTTGTCGCATCTGTGGGTTTGCCAGTCGTTGTCTCAGATGGTTTCAGAGTCGTTGGCTTGGTTGTCGCATCTGTGGGTTTGCCAGTCGTTGTCTCAGATGGTTTCAGAGTCGTTGGCTTGGTTGTCGCATCTGTGGGTTTGCCAGTCGTTGTCTCTGATGGTTTCAGAGTCGTTGGCTTGGTTGTCGCATCTGTGGGTTTGCCAGTCGTTGTCTCTGATGGTTTCAGAGTCGTTGGCTTGGTTGTCGCATCTGTGGGTTTGCCAGTCGTTGTCTCTGATGGTTTCAGAGTCGTTGGCTTGGTTGTCGCATCTGTGGGTTTGCCAGTCGTTGTCTCAGATGGTTTCAGAGTCGTTGGCTTGGTTGTCGCATCTGTGGGTTTGCCAGTCGTTGTCTCTGATGGTTTCAGAGTCGTTGGCTTGGTTGTCGCATCTGTGGGTTTGCCAGTCGTTGTCTCAGATGGTTTCAGAGTCGTTGGCTTGGTTGTCGCATCTGTGGGTTTGCCAGTCGTTGTCTCAGATGGTTTCAGAGTCGTTGGCTTGGTTGTGTGGTTTGCCGTGTTTCATGGTGTCGTTGGCTTGGTTGTCGCATCTGTGGGTTTGCCAGTCGTTGTCTCAGATGGTTTCAGAGTCGTTGGCTTGGTTGTCGCATCTGTGGGTTTGCCAGTCGTTGTCTCAGATGGTTTCAGAGTCGTTGGCTTGGTTGTCGCATCTGTGGGTTTGCCAGTCGTTGTCTCAGATGGTTTCAGAGTCGTTGGCTTGGTTGTCGCATCTGTGGGTTTGCCAGTCGTTGTCTCAGATGGTTTCAGAGTCGTTGGCTTGGTTGTCGCATCTGTGGGTTTGCCAGTCGTTGTCTCAGATGGTTTCAGAGTCGTTGGCTTGGTTGTCGCATCTGTGGGTTTGCCAGTCGTTGTCTCTGATGGTTTCAGAGTCGTTGGCTTGGTTGTCGCATCTGTGGGTTTGCCAGTCGTTGTCTCAGGTGGTTTCAGAGTCGTTGGCTTGGTTGTCGCATCTGTGGGTTTGCCAGTCGTTGTCTCAGATGGTTTCAGAGTCGTTGGCTTGGTTGTCCATCTGTGGGTTTGCCAGTCGTTGTCTCAGATGGTTTCAGAGTCGTTGGCTTGGTTGTCGCATCTGTGGGTTTGCCAGTCGTTGTCTCTGATGGTTTCAGAGTCGTTGGCTTGGTTGTCGCATCTGTGGGTTTGCCAGTCGTTGTCTCAGATGGTTTCAGAGTCGTTGGCTTGGTTGTCGCATCTGTGGGTTTGCCAGTCGTTGTCTCAGATGGTTTCAGAGTCGTTGGCTTGGTTGTCGCATCTGTGGGTTTGCCAGTCGTTGTCTCAGATGGTTTCAGAGTCGTTGGCTTGGTTGTCGCATCTGTGGGTTTGCCAGTCGTTGTCTCTGATGGTTTCAGAGTCGTTGGCTTGGTTGTCGCATCTGTGGGTTTGCCAGTCGTTGTCTCAGATGGTTTCAGAGTCGTTGGCTTGGTTGTCGCATCTGTGGGTTTGCCAGTCGTTGTCTCAGATGGTTTCAGAGTCGTTGGCTTGGTTGTCGCATCTGTGGGTTTGCCAGTCGTTGTCTCAGATGGTTTCAGAGTCGTTGGCTTGGTTGTCGCATCTGTGGGTTTGCCAGTCGTTGTCTCAGATGGTTTCAGAGTCGTTGGCTTGGTTGTCGCATCTGTGGGTTTGCCAGTCGTTGTCTCTGATGGTTTCAGAGTCGTTGGCTTGGTTGTCGCATCTGTGGGTTTGCCAGTGTTGTCTCAGATGGTTTCAGAGTCGTTGGCTTGGTTGTCGCATCTGTGGGTTTGCCAGTCGTTGTCTCAGATGGTTTCAGAGTCGTTGGCTTGGTTGTCGCATCTGTGGGTTTGCCAGTCGTTGTCTCAGATGGTTTCAGAGTCGTTGGCTTGGTTGTCGCATCTGTGGGTTTGCCAGTCGTTGTCTCTGATGGTTTCAGAGTCGTTGGCTTGGTTGTCGCATCTGTGGGTTTGCCAGTCGTTGTCTCAGATGGTTTCAGAGTCGTTGGCTTGGTTGTCGCATCTGTGGGTTTGCCAGTCGTTGTCTCAGATGGTTTCAGAGTCGTTGGCTTGGTTGTCGCATCTGTGGGTTTGCCAGTCGTTGTCTCAGATGGTTTCAGAGTCGTTGGCTTGGTTGTCGCATCTGTGGGTTTGCCAGTCGTTGTCTCAGATGGTTTCAGAGTTGTTGGCTTGGTTGTCGCATCTGTGGGTTTGCCAGTCGTTGTCTCTGATGGTTTCAGAGTCGTTGGCTTGGTTGTCGCATCTGTGGGTTTGCCAGTCGTTGTCTCAGATGGTTTCAGAGTCGTTGGCTTGGTTGTCGCATCTGTGGGTTTGCCAGTCGTTGTCTCAGATGGTTTCAGAGTCGTTGGCTTGGTTGTCGCATCTGTGGGTTTGCCAGTCGTTGTCTCAGATGGTTTCAGAGTCGTTGGCTTGGTTGTCGCATCTGTGGGTTTGCCAGTCGTTGTCTCAGATGGTTTCAGAGTCGTTGGCTTGGTTGTCGCATCTGTGGGTTTGCCAGTCGTTGTCTCAGATGGTTTCAGAGTCGTTGGCTTGGTTGTCGCATCTGTGGGTTTGCCAGTCGTTGTCTCAGATGGTTTCAGAGTCGTTGGCTTGGTTGTCGCATCTGTGGGTTTGCCAGTCGTTGTCTCAGATGGTTTCAGAGTCGTTGGCTTGGTTGTCGCATCTGTGGGTTTGCCAGTCGTTGTCTCAGATGGTTTCAGAGTCGTTGGCTTGGTTGTCGCATCTGTGGGTTTGCCAGTCGTTGTCTCAGATGGTTTCAGAGTCGTTGGCTTGGTTGTCGCATCTGTGGGTTTGCCAGTCGTTGTCTCAGATGGTTTCAGAGTCGTTGGCTTGGTTGTCGCATCTGTGGGTTTGCCAGTTGTTGTCTCAGATGGTTTCAGAGTCGTTGGCTTGGTTGTCGCATCTGTGGGTTTGCCAGTCGTTGTCTCAGATGGTTTCAGAGTCGTTGGCTTGGTTGTCGCATCTGTGGGTTTGCCAGTCGTTGTCTCAGATGGTTTCAGAGTCGTTGGCTTGGTTGTCGCATCTGTGGGTTTGCCAGTCGTTGTCTCAGATGGTTTCAGAGTCGTTGGCTTGGTTGTCGCATCTGTGGGTTTGCCAGTCGTTGTCTCAGATGGTTTCAAAGTCGTTGGCTTGGTTGTCGCATCTGTGGGTTTGCCAGTCGTTGTCTCTGATGGTTTCAGAGTCGTTGGCTTGGTTGTCGCATCTGTGGGTTTGCCAGTCGTTGTCTCAGATGGTTTCAGAGTCGTTGGCTTGGTTGTCGCATCTGTGGGTTTGCCAGTCGTTGTCTCAGATGGTTTCAGAGTCGTTGGCTTGGTTGTCGCATCTGTGGGTTTGCCAGTGTTGTCGTTTCTGATGGTTTCAGAGTCGTTGGCTTGGTTGTCGCATCTGTGGGTTTGCCAGTCGTTGTCTCAGATGGTTTCAGAGTCGTTGGCTTGGTTGTCGCATCTGTGGGTTTGCCAGTCGTTGTCTCAGATGGTTTCAGAGTCGTTGGCTTGGTTGTCGCATCTGTGGGTTTGCCAGTCGTTGTCTCAGATGGTTTCAGAGTCGTTGGCTTGGTTGTCGCATCTGTGGGTTTGCCAGTCGTTGTCTCAGATGGTTTCAGAGTCGTTGGCTTGGTTGTCGCATCTGTGGGTTTGCCAGTTGTTGTCTCTGATGGTTTCAGAGTCGTTGGCTTGGTTGTCGCATCTGTGGGTTTGCCAGTCGTTGTCTCAGATGGTTTCAGAGTCGTTGGCTTGGTTGTCGCATCTGTGGGTTTGCCAGTCGTTGTCTCAGATGGTTTCAGAGTCGTTGGCTTGGTTGTCGCATCTGTGGGTTTGCCAGTCGTTGTCTCTGATGGTTTCAGAGTCGTTGGCTTGGTTGTCGCATCTGTGGGTTTGCCAGTCGTTGTCTCAGATGGTTTCAGAGTCGTTGGCTTGGTTGTCGCATCTGTGGGTTTGCCAGTCGTTGTCTCAGATGGTTTCAGAGTCGTTGGCTTGGTTGTCGCATCTGTGGGTTTGCCAGTCGTTGTCTCAGATGGTTTCAGAGTCGTTGGCTTGGTTGTCGCATCTGTGGGTTTGCCAGTCGTTGTCTCTGATGGTTTCAGAGTCGTTGGCTTGGTTGTCGCATCTGTGGGTTTGCCAGTCGTTGTCTCAGATGGTTTCAGAGTCGTTGGCTTGGTTGTCGCATCTGTGGGTTTGCCAGTCGTTGTCTCAGATGGTTTCAGAGTCGTTGGCTTGGTTGTCGCATCTGTGGGTTTGCCAGTCGTTGTCTCAGATGGTTTCAGAGTCGTTGGCTTGGTTGTCGCATCTGTGGGTTTGCTAGTCGTTGTCTCAGATGGTTTCAGAGTCGTTGGCTTGGTTGTCGCATCTGTGGGTTTGCCAGTCGTTGTCTCAGATGGTTTCAGAGTCGTTGGCTTGGTTGTCGCATCTGTGGGTTTGCCAGTTGTTGTCTCAGATGGTTTCAGAGTCGTTGGCTTGGTTGTCGCATCTGTGGGTTTGCCAGTCGTTGTCTCAGATGGTTTCAGAGTCGTTGGCTTGGTTGTCGCATCTGTGGGTTTGCCAGTCGTTGTCTCAGATGGTTTCAGAGTCGTTGGCTTGGTTGTCGCATCTGTGGGTTTGCTAGTCGTTGTCTCAGATGGTTTCAGAGTCGTTGGCTTGGTTGTCGCATCTGTGGGTTTGCCAGTCGTTGTCTCAGATGGTTTCAGAGTCGTTGGCTTGGTTGTCGCATCTGTGGGTTTACCAGTTGTTGTCTCTGATGGTTTCAGAGTCGTTGGCTTGGTTGTCGCATCTGTGGGTTTGCCAGTCGTTGTCTCAGATGGTTTCAGAGTCGTTGGCTTGGTTGTCGCATCGGTGGGCTTAGAAGTTGTCGTCTCGGATGGTTTCAGAGTCGTTGGCTTGGTTGTCGCATCTGTGGGTTTGCCAGTCGTTGTCTCAGATGGTTTCAGAGTCGTTGGCTTGGTTGTCGCATCTGTGGGTTAGCAAGTTGTTGTCTCTGATGGTTTCAGAGTCGTTGGCTTGGTTGTCGCATCTGTGGGTTTGCCAGTCGTTGTCTCTGATGGTTTCAGAGTCGTTGGCTTGGTTGTCGCATCTGTGGGTTAGCAAGTCGTTGTCTCGGATGGTTTCAGAGTCGTTGTCTTGGTTGTCGCATCTGTGGGTTTGCCAGTCGTTGTCTCAGATGGTTTCAGAGTCGTTGGCTTGGTTGTCGCATCTGTGGGTTTGCCAGTCGTTGTCTCAGATGGTTTCAGAGTCGTTGGCTTGGTTGTCGTATCGGTGGGCTTAGAAGTTGTCGTCTCTGAGGGTTTCAGAGTCGTTGGCTTGGTTGTCGCATCTGTGGGTGTGTCAGTGGTTGGCTTTGTGGGTGTCTGGGTTGTCTTTATTGTGGTTTCGAATGTTGGCCTGGGAGTTGTCGCCCTGCTCGTCGTTGACCCTGGCGTGGTGGGGTGTGTGCCACATGGGTGTGGCGTTGTCGTGTCGTGCGGACAAGGCGTCTTCGTGGGTGCCGGACTGGTGATCCTGTGCTCGCATGCCGGCGTGGTGGGATGCTGCTGGCAGGGTGGCGGCGGTGGCCTGAGGGTCGTGATGCTGGTCTTATTGCTGCACGGATTGCGGAAGTGTAGCATGATCTCGTTGGGCTTCGCACCTGGAACGATGCGAATGTGCGGCCCGAAGAGGGTGAAGGCGGCTGTGGTGGCCGCCAGCAGGCAAATGACGAACAGTTGCATCTTGTCAACGTGTTGCTGCCTTTTCTTTTTGCCAGCTTGGTATCCTGTCTATCCTGTATATCCTGTGTGTCCCGTGTGTCCTGTGTGTGTCTGTGTGGCGATCCATGCACTCGAGCAACACCCTCGATACTGAGCTTTCCCGACCCCACAGATACCATATTTAAAGGGGATCTAACGCCCTCTTGGGTCTGTGCTGAAACTTACATTCCAACGATCCCCCCCCCGGGATCGGATGCGTTTGCCCAGGCCCGAGCACGCTCCGGATTCCATAAGGCTGTCAGTCAGCAAGACACCCACCCACCCATGAGCATGTGGCTTGCGTAAGCCATCGGTCAGGGCCCCAAGGGCTCACGTTCAAACCAGACAGCGGCGTTCCAGCCATACATGACCCATTGAACCCCAAAGCCATTGATGAGAAAATCTTCATAATTTTTTTTAAAACGTTTTGCAATTTCAACGATTTGTTTTATTACGCTTCTTTTGTGGTGTTTGTTAGTCGCATTGAATGGGAGCATTTTTGCATTTAGCACGGCAACATTTTGCATTTTGTCGGTAAGAGAGTAATAATAATAATAGATAATAGATAATAATAATAATAATAATAATAACTTTAATATTCATTTGTGCTGAGTTGTTCTTGTTCTTTTGCTACTCACAAAATACTCGTATTTATTGGCTTCATAATAGATAATAGGCATCTCGTTCTATGTGTATGTATGTTTGTATTTGTTCTCTGTCTATTTGTGTGTGTGTTTGTGTGTGTGTGTGTGTGTGTGTGTGTGTGTGTGTGTGTGTGTGTGTGTGCTATACACAGTGCACGCTCGACAGAGTGAACGAAGGCTGTTTGTTCTGTTCATCGGAACCGCAGAAATTAAAAATTATTTATCTACTTTTTTTTTCCCTATAACAATTTTTCCCTATTTGCTATCAAAACATTCTGCTTAGATTTTTTGTGTTTTTTTTGTGTTTCGATTTTCGTTGGTGGCTTTGCAGTGTACAATACAATAAGTAATAACGATTCGAGTGATTTGCACCGAGATGAATTTAGTCATAAGTTGACGGCCATGGCCATCCACTCTTTGCACTCTTTCCGCTTCTTCAACACGCTCGTTCTCTCGGTCGCTCGGCAGCGACAAGCGCAGCAAAGCGATAGCGCTCTATGTGAGAAAACAGCTGGCAGGTCTTCGAAAGAGAGCAGCTGCTGGCAGGTCTTCGAAAGAGAGCAGCTGCTGGCAGGTCTTCAAAAGAGAACAGCTGCTGGCTGGTCTTCGAAAGAGAGCAGCTGGCTGTGCTGTGCTGAAGATGTCATGTCACCTTATGAGTAAATTCAAATTGGTTTGAAGATCTCTCTCTATCTAACCCGATCTCTCTCTCGCTCTCTCTCTCTATAAACTGTTATCCTTTTTCATTTCGTTTTTTTTTTTTTGTTTTCTTCTCAATGATTTTGTAACACAAGGGTACAGTCTTCGAACTTGTTGTTGTTGTTGTTTTTGTGCTTTGACAATTATTTTTTTTTTATTTTTTTGTTTTTGGTTTTTTTGTTTTTGTTTTTCTCAATTATTGCAAACATTTGTGCGTTGCGAATTCAATTTAAAGTAATTAATGAAGGCTTACACTTCGTGGCAGTTACTATCCTTATCGTTCTTATCTAGATAGATTCTATATAGGATTCCTTACAACACTGGATCCCACAGTTTTTTGATTTATCTGATTTTTACGCTTTACGAGTTATTTTTTGTCCTTTTTTTTGTTTTTGTTTTTTTTTTTCATTTGTTTGTTTGTTCTACAACTTGTAAACTTTGATTGAATTACTTTACTTTCCGTCTTTATTTGAAATAACTAAAAAGTTATTCTCATTTTAAAATTCTTATCCTCCAATCATCCATTATCCCAATCCGATTATGGTGTATGGTATTCCTATGGCAGCTATATATCTCGTATATGATCCTAGTTAATGTTTTTTTACGATCATTGGTGTTACGTTTTGCAGCAAAATAGGGTCTGAGGTAAGATAACAGCCGCCCACACACACACACTGTTACAGAGTGGCGAGGGGCTGTACAACTGAGGGAACAACATATACTATGTATACATATATGTATGTTTGTATGTATGTTTGTATGCTTTTAAGCAGACATAATAATATTAACATGTGGGCTACCCATGGCTTTAATATATATATATATATATATATGCGCGCTGTAACTGGCTGTTAACGCAGAGCTCTAAGCGAGCGCTGTTACAAGCTGTTAATGCAGAGCTCTAAGCAAGCGCCGTTACAAGCTGTTAATGCAGAGCGCGCTAACAGGCTGTTAATGCAGAGCGCGCTAACAGGCTGTTAATGCAGAGCGCCCTAACAGGCTGTTAATGCAGAGCGCCCTAACAGGCTGTTAACGCTGTTGTATTAACAGCGCTGTTGCTCTGTAACAGTTTCTGCACTGCTTATTTTGTTTTTGTTTTTGTATTTGTTTTGGAGGCCAGGAACTGCCTGCCAGGCCATTTTTGCTATGAGGTATTATGAGGCTATATGTAATATAAAACGCATAACTAATGTTTTTTGTTTTGTTTTTTGCTTTTTGAATCGGTTCACTTCTATTCTGTTTTGTTTTGTTTTGTTTGTGTTCACCCTTTCGAGCGTGCACGGCATATGTTCGTTTGTTTTGTTTTTCTTTTCTTTTTCTTTTTTGTTCTTGTCTATCTAGAATCTAGTATTTTTTTAGTATAAATATTGGCATCCTTGGAATGGGGGTGGGGTGGGGCGAGGGGTTATTGATTTTCTATATAAGAGTTTTAGTTTTAATTTTAGTGAATTGTTTTTGGTTTTTGTTTTTGTTTTGTTTTGTTTTGTTATTTTTTTTATTTTTAGTTTGGCTTGTTGACAAAATTCTATGCCTTCGTTCGCTCGCTCGCTCGCTATATAAATTTGCACTATAACCCTCATACTTTGCATCCTTTTTTGCGCATATATTGCTATATATATATAATATATATTTATATACATATATATGTATGTTGTATATCTCTTTGTATATATTTAAGCTATAACAAAGACTGATCCATTCTAGCGCACAAACAACAACAGAACATGGAAACTAATTGTGGGTTTTGTTTTTTGTTTTTGTTTTTTTTTGTTTTGTTTTTTTGTTTTGTTTGTCTGCCATGTCTTCTTCCACACTATATATATATGTATATATATCCGCTATACCCGCTATCAGCTATATAATCGTAATTAATGGTAAAGTGTTAACCGTTCTCAGGCCTCGGATACTTCCTTACATTTAGGCATTTTCATTTGTGTTTCTATTCTGTATATATATAAAACTCTAGGCCACTAGTTTATAATGTTAATAGGCTCCGGGATTGGACTACACGATCTTATCCAGCTGCCGGATATCGGCCCCCCCCCCCCTACCCTACCGCAATTGGCTAGATCTCATCGTCGCTGGTTTGGGTGCAGAGTACCTGCTCCTGCCACCAGTCGTGCACCTCGTAGACGGCATTCGCCTGATTGTTGAATGGCAACAGCTTGCCACCACTGCCGCCGATCATTTGGCTCATCATGGCCGAGGGACTGCCGATGGCACCGCCACCACTAGTCCCGCCATGCTGATGCTGATGCGAATGTGGATGCTGCTGATGCTGGAGCTGATGCTGGTGCTGGTGCTGGAGCTGGTGCTGGAGCTGATGCTGGTGCTGCAGCTGCTGCTGATGATGATACTGATGCTGATGCTGCTGATGCTGCTGCTGCTGATGATAATGATGCTGATGCTGATGCTGATCGAGGCCATGGCCGTAGGCGGCTGCAGCGTTTATTGTCGGATAGTGGAACTGGCCCATTTCGCTATTCATCTGGGCAAAGAAACTGGCCGACTTGCTGGCCGCATCGCCGCCACCAAGCCCGCCACGTTGCTTGCCGCCCAGCTGGCCCAGCTGGCCCGCATGTGGCAGCGTGGTCATCGAGTTCTTCTTGCGCTGCTGACTGCTGATATGCAGCCGCTCCTTGTCGCTGAGCGTCGATCGCTGCTGCGGATCACTGGAGGTGGGCGCCAGGAATTTGCGGCCCGCCGAACTGCCCGTCGAATCGGAACGATTGAGGGCATAGGCACGCTTGCCCACCGCCATCGCATGACGTGCGGCCGACTGTGGCACTGGGGCCGCCACCGCCACCGCCACCGCAATGGGCTCGGAGTGTGACAGGGCCACGACACTGCTGCTGCCATCCTTCTCCTCATTCTCCGTCGAACTGAAGGTGGGCGAGAAGGCATCGCTGGTTGGCGGACAGGTGCCGGCAACAGCGCCGCTGATTGTGCTAATGGCCGACTTATCCGCCGCTCCAATGGGCGCCTTATCCTCCTGCACATTCGGCCGCATCACCGGCTGCTCATTGGTCGCCCTCAGACCGGCAATCAGTGAGTTTTGTTGCTTCTATTTTGTGTGTGTGTGGCACAAGATTAACAAAAGAAAAAGAAACAGAGAATGTCGCCGTGCTTACGCTTGCATTTTGGGCCCTAATCTTTTTGAGGCAGCCCTCCAGCCAGGTGCGTATGGTCATTTTGGCCACCTCCTCCTCCACCAGGTACTCGAACTCCTCGCGCGCCAACAGCTCCTCCAGCTGCAGTGCCTTGCGTATGTCCACCGAGCGATAGCTTAGCATGCTGCCAAAATTCAATTTAAATTTCAAATTTAAATGCAAAACACCATGAAGGACTACTCACTTGATGACATCGTGAAAGGTGACATCCTCGCCATTGTGCAGCTTGTCCAGCTCATAGCACATGTACTTGAACAGCAGGCGATCCTTTTGCGGATCACATTCGAGTCGTCCCTTGAGCAGTCGCAATATAAATTTAACACGCCGCACTGGTATCACGCCCCGCTGATGTATATCGACAATGTTCCAGGTATTCTGAAAATTTCTTATATCCGCATACGAGAGCAGGGCATCCTCCTCATTCGAATAGAACAGCGAGAAGTTCTCCATGATAATGGCTGCCAGCAAATACAATAAATGCATTTAATTTAAAGTAATTTGTTGGTCAGAGCTACGAACACCACTTACCCACTAAAAGATTGAGCACAATGTACGTAATGATCACGTAGAAGGTGCAAAAGTATATTAGGCTGGCGGTGAAATTGCCACAATCCGTTTCCCAATAGTTATTGCCCAGCGTACAGTATGGCGGCTGTACCATGCAGTCGTGCATGATTTTATTCCAATCCTCGCCAGTGACAATGCGAAAGAGCATCGCCACACCGGTCACCGGTGAGCCGAAATTAGCACGCCTGCCAATGCCCTCGCCATACTTCACGGTGCCTGGATACAAGCGAGAGAGACAGAGAGAGAGAGAAGAGAGGTATATGAATATGGGGCGGCTATAATTCGTTGTCTGTTTGAATGGCTCACCAAAGAGTATGGTCCCTGCCAGCGCATAGAAGAATACCAGCAGAAACATGCCAAATATAATGAAGAAGGACTTGCATACAGACACGCCCACGGTCAACATGAGCATCTTCAGTGTGGTGTGCTTGCCGGTGATGGTGAAGAAGCGCAAAATGACCACCATAAAGCCAAAGAAGTACGACAAATCATTCTGCCCAGCCAAAGGACGGGGTGAATGGATGAGCAAGTTAATGGAAAAATTAATAAAAAAAAAAACTTACCCTCAATATCGTTTGTAATATAATCCAAATGACGCCAGCAACGGTGACGAGCAGATCATAGCGATTGCGCCTCGATTGCCAATAGCCGCGCGGTGTAAAGGCAATGTTCTTCATCACCACCTCAACCACAAAGACAATGGTCAATACCGCACTGACGATCACCAGACGTTCCGTATGCACCTCGCCCTTGATCCACTATAAATAAAATAAATACAGAGGGAGTTAGATATAGATATACAATGCCCTGGACCCTGCCCTGAGCCTGCCCTGACGCACCGTTATGGACAGCAGCATGCTGTTGATCAGCACCACCACAGCAATCACACGCTTGAAGATGATGTGCTGCGTTATGTCATAGGTGAAGGCACGTATCTTGCGTCCATCGGGTCGCGGCGGCAAGTGCAACGGCTGGGCAATCTTCAGTCGCTTCTTGAGGTCACACCAGCGTCGCTGGTCGACGGTGAGCAGAGCAGTGCCCTTGTTCTCCGAATAATTGGCAATGACCACGCCCACGAACAGCGTCAGGCCAATCATGCAGCCCAAGAAAATGTATATGTGAATGTAGACGGCATGGACCTGGCAACAAGCAGCAGAACCAAAAATAATAGTAAGAAATAGAGCAAGAGAGAGTGAGAGTGTGGGGTATATGCTTACCGGACCCACAGCCTTGATGAGCACATCGCGCACATCCAGCCAACCCTTGAAGGAGAGCACCTCGAAGAGAGTCAGCATGGCATCACCGATATTGTCGAAATTGAAGCGCCGGGGATTGGCCCAGACCCGGGGCACCAGCATCGCCGGATAGGACTCATCGGGACCCGGTGTCAGCTTCATTTTCGTAACAAAAACTCTGCGCATGAATACGCCAACACAATCCTCACGCCTCGGTATTGTGGGATCGTTGCAGCGGGCCAGCCGGCCGCCATATAGCTGCACCCCATAGCTGGCAAAGATGAACATGAGCAGTATGAGCAGCGTGGATACCAATAGTATCTCCTTGAAGCCGCGACACAGCTCATAGACGACCTTGCGCATGTGCGGCACCAGGGTGAATATCCTCAGGGGACGCACACAGCGCAGGATCATGAGTAGCTGTGCTGCCGAATTTGTTGGTATATTGAGTGGCATCCAGCATAGAAACGATGTCGATACCACATAGATGAACACATCGAGTGCCGCTGCCACATCCTTGATATATGCCTTGGGCGTAAAGAATAAACCATCGGCGAGTATCTTGAGTGCCAGCTCAAGACTCATAAATATAACAAAGCCATATTCGGCTATCTGCAGCGTTGGATGATCCATCACCCGATAGTTGGGCGTCTCAAACATCATCGAGATGCAGGAGAGTGTTGTGGCGAATATCATCACCCAGTCCAGGTACGTGACCAGGCCCAGAAAGTTGCTATGGACAGAACAAACAAACAAATAAACAATGAATGAAATTAAATATAAAATTGATATTTCTTTGCACTGATTGGCTGTCTGACTGACTGACTGGCTGGCTGGCTGGCTGGGTGGGTGGGCTGGCTGTCTGGCCGTCTGAACTTACTGCAAACTCTTGTACTGAACCTTGCGCTCCTTGCCCGTCAGCGGATCCTTTAGCCGTGCATCGTAGCGCGCATGCACAATCCTCTGGCATATCTTGCGAAAGCGACTCTCACGCGGCACCAGAAACAGCGGCGTATCGAAAAACGGATGATTCTCCCGTAGATCCTCCTCACGCTGATTGCGTCGCATCTCCGCCTGCTGTCGCTTTGCCTGCAGCAGCTTAATGTCCAAGTCGTGTGGCCGCGCCCGACCCGAATTGGCCCTTGGCGCGGCCGCTATATCTCCATTCTCCATCAGATGCTCGTACGTTTGCTTCAGCTTGATGGAGCCCGAGCGCACGCTGCGACGTATGGAACGTGAGCCGAATCTGTGGATTGGTAGTGGACACACATCAAAACGCCATGGGGGGCCCAGAGCTACTCACTTCTTTTGATCGACACGCCACGGCTTTGAGTGGGTGATGGTGCCCTGCGATTTGAGGCCACCGCCACCCTTGGTGCCAACCACAGGCAGCATGGCCGAGTCGCCGAGCATCAAGCGCTGATTATTGCTGTCACTAAAAATGGGGGTTTGCAGAGAGAGAGAGTGAGGATTAGAATTAGACTTTAGCTTAAGCTATCAGATGGGAGGGAGGATGGGGGGTCTGGGGGTCTGGGGGACTCTTCTACTCACTTGATGATATGCGTAATGGCCAGCTTGCGTAGACTGCTGCCGGCAGCCCTTACCTTCGCCGTTTTATTCATTATGCGGACGGGCTTCTGTTTGCGAAAGACCACATTCGATTCCCAGCACTCGGACATGGGCCGCTTGCAGCTCTCCACCAGCGATGGATCCTCCGTTTCCAGTTCGATAACGAAATGCTTCATGAAACTCTCACGTACCTTCGGCAGCATAAAATCATTGGGTATGCGATGCAATATCGTCATTTGCGGTGAGTCTGGAAACTTTTCGAAGATGCGCAAGCGAAAGGGCAGCGTCTCCTTGATTTCGGCGCTTTGTTCACGAAATTTGAGCTGCTTCAGCTTCTTGATGTCCTCGTCCAGTTCCAAATTATCCAAAATAACCGCCACGAACAGACTGAGCACAATGAGGGTGACAAACAGATGGTACAGTATAAAGTAGACGGCGACCAGCGGCGTTAGGGTCTTGCTGGTGCGTATCATTGTCTCGTCCATAACCTCCACCCAGGCCTCCTGGGTGAGGATCTGGAACATGCTCATGAACGCCTCCGGGAACGACTCGAATTTGGTAAAGTCGCACAGGAAGCAAAACAGCTGCATCGAAATGCTGGAGCTGATGATCAGCAGGCACATGGTGAAGATAATCAGCGAGCCGAGCTTCTTGCCCGGCCCAAAGATCTTGTAGACGAAACCCTCCAGCATCGGCGAGGCCTTGATCAGGCGCACCACGCGCAGCACCTGAAAATATGTCAGTCCGGACGGATAGAACATGGGCACAATATGCAGCGTGGTGCCCGCCGCCAGCAGCAGCTCAAATTTGTGTATCGAATGCTTGTAGTAGCCCCGCCAGCCCAGGCAATAGATCTTGAATAGGGTCTCCAGGTCGAGCAGGCAGGTGAACACCAGCTCGATGTAGTAGTAGCGCTCATAGAACACCGATCGCGGCCGTCCATCGTGCTTGAACGTCATGGTGGCCGTCACAATGCCATTGGCCAGGATCACAGTCATCACGAGCATGCGAAAGTACGGCGATCGCAGTATGGCATGGCATGTCTCGGGCGCCAGCCCGCCATGCTTATTATCATCGATGGTAACCAGACGCCAGCCGGAGTCATTGCCGCTGAGTATCTGTGAGGCGGCTGTCTTCTGGATGTGTCCGCGGGCGCCCCACATCTGCTGGAATTGCACACGTATCTCGTTGAAGGTCTCCGTGATGACGGCTATGAACACGTTCTTCACCAGCCACGCCAGAAAGAAGATCATTGTGCTAAAGTAAAAGGCTGCCCGCCAGGCTGGCAGCGAGTCGATGGCCCGGTACATGATGAACACCCAGCCCTCCTGCGAGGCTGCCTGATACACCGTAAAGATGCTTGTGGCAATATCCTCGAAACCATTGAATCCAATCACATAGCTGCTAAGGAAATCCATTTTCATGCACCGCATACCCGGCGAGCATTGATAGCCCGAGTCCGGATCCATTGAACAAAATGTATCCGGTATGGCCAGCGAATTGATGGTCAAAACTCTGCCAAAAAAAATATTAATTATATATATTTTATGTGCAGAGAATATGTACTTACGGTCTGCCCAGCAGATCATTTTCCGTATTGTTCATCACACAGTGATTTTTCAGTTCGCCAAAGAACTGAACGCCCAGCAGTCCATAGAGGGACATGAAGAACAGGAAGAATAGCGTTACATTATATATCTGTTGGCTCGATCGTCTATATACAAGAAGACGAAGAAGAAGGAAAAACACAGCATAGATTGAAATACTCCTTGAGGTACATACATATGTGGGGAAAATACTCACTTGAAGATCTGGTTGATTCGACTCTTGGGCATGCTAAACTTAAGGAAGACACGCAGAAAGCGGATCATTATCAGTGGCCGTGGGGCACGCATAATGGAGAGGTAGGAAAACCTATAGAAATTCGAGAAATATATGTGAGAAAAGTTCTGTTCTATGAATCAACAATTTGGAGTACCAAATGTGCAAATGGCATATAAATGGCTGTTAACAACCGAGTAACAAATGTAGCGAGTGATTGTAGCGTGTAACCACTCGATATTTCACATGGATATATATCTCTGGGATTTGTGGGATATAAGATATGGGAAATATAATGAAAATTAGTGATTACAACGAGTGACTGCAACGAGTGTTTGCAGCGAGTAGCCTTTCGATATACATATATCAAATGGATTAATGTATCTCTTGAATTTGTGGGATATAAGATATGGGAAATATAATCAAAAAATTAGTATTTACAACGAGTGACTGCAACGAGTATCCCACTCGATATATCCCATAGATATATCTCTTGAATTTGTGGGATATAAGATATGCGAAAAAAAATAATACAAATTAGTGATTACAACCAGTGACTGCAACGAGTGACGGCAACGAGTGACGGCAACGAGTGACTGCAACGAGTGTTGGCGAGCAACGAGTATCCACTCGACGGGCACACTCGCCTATAGCATAAAGCACAACTTGAAGGAACACACTCACTTGGGAACTATCTCGAGCACCTCGAAGATCTGCAGTATAATGGAGATCCACAGGAAGCTCACCATGGAAGCATCAAACTGGCACCAATGATCCTTCAGATAAGGCACCTCACCCTGTCAATAGATACGGAATTATATATTTCAAGACACACCAAACACGGGGGGAGGTTCAGGGAAACATGGGGCATGGGGCAAGTATGTACTCACATGGAGCACACCTCGTATGTGCATTTTGGCTATCATTTCGGCGGTGAAGAGCAGCGTGACGGCCGTGTCCGAGCAGAATGTGATGTACTGCAGCGACGGGTAACGCTCGAAGGTTTTGGGCGTGTTTAGGGATACGGAGGTCAGCGAGACCAAGGCACAGAGACGCATCAGGCGGCGCACCCACAGCTTGTTGACCCACTCAATGTCGGCGCTCTCATTGAGTGACTCCTCCGGCCCGTAGTCGGCCAGGAAGGGCTCGCCGCCCTTGAGGCTCTGTTTGCGTCCCAGCATTATCTTGTTACCAATGCCGGTCGCAATGCCCAGGCCGATGGGCGGCACTCCCGTAATGGCCGCACTGCCGACGGTGCTGCTAATGCCACCGCAGATGCCCAGGCCGGCGGCGGCGGCACTGCCGCCCATGCCCACACCCATGCCGCCAAGGCCACCGATGCCGCCGAGCAGATTGAGGCCACCGCCACCGCCGCCGCCGCCGCTGCCGCCGCCAACGACTCCGACTCCTCCGGCGGCCGGCCCCATACCGAGACCCATACCGAGTCCGGCGCCATTATTGTGCCCACTGATGGCGGCCTGGCTGCTGCCCAGCCCCGTGGTGGATGGGGCCGCCGTGGTCGATGAGCCGCCGGCCTGCTGCTGCTGCTGCTGCAGCGGCTGCTGCATCCCGTAGGCGAGGGTGCTGCTGCCGCCGCCGCTCCCGCTGCCCGAGTTCACAATGGTCGTTGGACTGTTGAGCGCGCTGGCCGCATCCTGGCGAGCTCCTGGCAGTCCGTTGCCAGGACTGCTGCCGGGCGAGGGATTGAAGGTGAACTGGCTGCCGGTCGCCGCCTGCTGCGTGTGCCGCAGGTGTGGATGGGGATGGGGATGCGGATGCGGATGGGGATGCGGATGCTGCTGGTGGGGATGCGAATGCAAAGGATGTGGATGTGGATGCGGATGATGATGTGGATGTGGATGCGGGTGTGGATGGTGGTGCGGATGGGTTAGTGGATGAGCGTGTGCTGGGTGCTGCTGCTGTTGCTGCTGTTGCTGCTGCTGGGGGGTCAAGCTGTTGCCGCTGGAGGAGCTGGTGCTGGCCGTTGCCGGCGTATTAATACCGCTGGCCGAATGCGAACGGGAATGGAAGCTGCCGCCGCCGCCGCCGACGCCGACGCCGCCGCTACTGCTGGTGGCGATGCCTCCTCCGCCGCTGCCACCTGCTGTTCCTGCTGCTGCTGCTGCTGCTGCTGCTGAACCAGATGCACCTGCTGCTCCTGCTGCTGCTGCTCCGGCTGCTGCTGCTGCTACGCCCGGCCCTGCACCGCCTCCTCCTCCTCCTGCGCGTTTGTTTCTAGCAGCTGCACCCAAGCGACGAATCTGAAGGCGGTCAATCATTCAAGCGGCGCATCCTGCCCCCTGGTCGGTCCGTAACTTATTATTGTCGCTGCAAAAGAACAAAAGGAGCAGCGAAAATGTTTATTAGTTAATGAAAAAAAGAAGAGAAAAGAGAAGAGAATAAAGCATTTATGGGTTGCATCAAAGTAGGCACAAGATTGGGCACATATATATACGAGTATTCTATATACCTACACCCACTAAGAACTTCTCTTTTTCCCACTAGGCCTACCTCTACAGTTCCTTTTTGATCTCCACTCTCACAATATTAAACTGAAAATTGATAATCCGATACCCTACAACACCATCCAATATTAACCGTACCCAAATTTAAATACGATTGCATTGCATTTAATTGCTGCTTGCTTTAAAATATTATAATCTATAATAAATAAAAATAAATAAATAATACTTAAATAAATAATAAATAAATAATAAAATAAAAATAAATAAATAATAAATAATAATAAATAAATAAATAATAAATAAATAAATAATTAAATAAATAATAATTAAATAAATAATAATAAATAAATAAATAATAAATAATAATAAATAAATAATAAAAAAATAAATAATAAATAAATAAATAATAAATATAATTTGTAAATTAATAATAGCTTAAGGCCTCGCAGCTATAGCTAAGCATAAGTTTGACATATATTTTACATGGCAGCCGAACCCAATATAAATAAATAAATTACGATTCCATTTCGCATCAGGGGTTTATATGGCATCATTAAAGTACATAGAAAATCTATACAAAATATGCTGCAAAAATTATTAATTTATATGGAAAACGTTTTTGTTTCTCCACATAAACCAACATTGAGTTTAGTCAGAAAAAAAAAGTCACAAAATAAACTGAATAATAAATACACCAAATCGATGGACTTTATCGTATAGCTGCCATATAAACTAACGATAAAAAAAAATAAGTGTTTTTCGGGAAATCTTTTTTATTTTCACAGATAATCCAACCAAAATTTAGATTTGTTTTTATTAGTTCAAATAAACCATTCAAAAATTAAGCAAATTAAATGACTATATCGTCTAGAGCTGCCATAGAAACTATCGGATAAATAAAATAATTTCCATGGATAACTTTTTTGTTACTGAATATAATCCAACAAAACTTTAGATAGTTTAATTACATAAGCCACTTAAAAATAAACCAAATCAATTGACCATTTCATATAGCTGCCAAAGGAACTAATGATCAAAAAATAAGTTTTTTTTATGTAAAACTTTTTGGCTGGCTAAAAATAGTCCAACTAAACTTGCGGCATTTTGCATATAATAAATGTGCTGACTCTATCTAATGGCTGCCATAGTAGCAAAGTAGCTCCAAAGCTGCCCCATAGATATCCTTCCCTTCCGCGGCAGTGTTACAAAATCATTTTAATCCGTTTAGGTGCCATGATATCTGCATGCTTTTGCATTTCCATCCACGGGTAATTAACATCATGGAATCATTCATTTATTTCACATTTTTTGCTCACATTTTTCCAGACTTTTTAATTACTTTAGAAGCATGATTTAATCTGCTGAAGAGCTGGCATTATCTTCGAGTGCACCCTTCAAAAAAAACAAAAATACTGCAGTGGGTGTCCAGGCCAGCGACAGGAGAACACAACAACAAAAAAAGGTGAATCATTTGCAGTTGGATTATTTTTTAGATGTTTTTTATTTTTGTATTTTTTGCACTCTACGCCCGTGCAGAGCGGAGCGGGAGACGAGTGGAACGTGAAACATGGCGTCGGCAGTGGCAACGGCGGGGGCGGCACACAGGCGGCAATTAGACCAAAGACCTTTGTCAATATTTACATTTCGAACAGCTGCCAAGGCAGGTAGCAGCAGTGGGGCACACTATGAAGGTGCACACACACCCCACCCACCCACACACACACCCACACACCCACTCGTGTGCAATCAGCCACCTCACACACACACACACACGTAACGGACCATAGCATGCCACAGTGGGTGGCAGTTGTGGGTGGGTGGTTAGCGGTTGGAGTAGATTTTTTTGCAACCCCCAAGGGAGCAGAGGCAGGCCCCATCTTAATGTACATAAACTTATACATACATCAGCGGATAGCCTCTCTCTCACTCTCACTCTCTGCAGGCCCCATTGTCATTACCAACACCTGCACACACACACACACACACACATGCATACATACATATACACATCCATTCATATATTCGAATGGCCCTCGTATAGCCCCCCAATTCGTGGCAGACAGAAGTTCTACTCACTTTTCGCGTATGTGGCGGATGGCCCTTGTAGCCCCGTTTTTTTTTTTTTTGTTTTTTTGTTGCCGTTTGGATGTGCCCGTGTGTCGCTCCGAACGTTTTAGATTTATGTATGGACTGAAGTATGGTGACTGTATGTGGGGGCTGTAAGTAGCAGGCAAAGTAGACGGAGAAGGAGAGCGAAATTCGCGCGATTTTCTATCACAGAAGCCACATTAATGAGCTGCTCGCTCCTCCACATTGGCTGTGCTTCCAGCAGCAAAGCTGCCTGCCTGGCTGCCTGCCTGGGCGCCCTGGCTGCCTTGCTGGCTGGCTGGCTTGCTGGCTAATCAAACAAAAAATGCACCAAGCAGAGCCACAGCAGCAGGATGATACAACCAAACAACAAACCGAAACCGAAACCGAAACCGAAACGCAACGATCGAAGGACACGGCACGCGCGTACGTGGAAGATGTGGAAGTTGTGGAAGATGTGTGTGGCACACCGTGTGCCTCTCCTTTGTGCAGACTTTAATTCTGGACTTTTGGTTATCGGTTTGCCTTGGGGCTTGGGGCCACCTCTTTTCGTTTTCGTTTCCGTTTTTTTTTCTTTTATTTTTTCGTTTGTACTTAAACACGCGCCGAGGGCGAAGGCGGACACACGGACTTTCCGATTTCGGACTTGAACGTGGACGTGGACTCGGTGGTTGGGGGGGGAGGGCCAGTCAGTCAGGCAGTGCCACAGTCAGCCAACTAAACCACTGACAGTTCTGCAGCTCTGCAGCTCTGCAGCTATCGGGGGCAGCTGTCAAAAAAGGCAGCAACCCCCAATCGCGTCAATCGGAGACGACGCCTGCGCTGTGGCAACGGGTCGGGTCGATGACAGTGCAACGGTGTGGCAGCGCTCCACATTAGTGGCCCGAGCCAGACCAACTGGTGGACCAGGGCGGCAGGCAGGCAGTCAACCAAGGAGCAGGCACCCGAGGACCAAACAAACAAACAAACAAACAAAAAAAAAAAAACAAAACACAGACCAAACAACAGAAAATGGGCGCCACGGTCTCGTGCAAGAAAACCTCCGGCAGCGGCCATCCCGAGCACGATGATCCGGCGTATCGACGTTGCCAGGAGCTCAAGGTGAGTCCACACAGACAGACAGACGGGCCCACAGCGCCGGCTCAGCTTTACATAATCAAATCAAATGAAATGAAATGCCCCACAAAATGTATTGCACGGGCAGATGGAGCGCTGGATACAGATGCACTACCAGATCAAGCAGCGGGAACAGGCACTGGCCATTGCCCAGCACAGGGAGCTCTTCTACTGGCTGGGCGGCTTCTACTTGAGTGCCATCTATGGCTGTGCCAGCTACTATCAGCGTGCGAAACGTCTCGCGGTGCTGGCACCACTCCTGCCACTCACCTTTGTCATGGGCTACTACACCGACTGGGCCTACGGCAGCAAGCTGCATCGCATTCAAGGTCAGCCCATGCCAATACTAATTTAACTATCAATCTATCTATATAACGATCTATCGATCCGCTATAGCTGAGGCCAATATGATAATGGAGCACGAACAGGAGCTGCTGCATTGGCCGGGCGGTCTGCCCTCGGTGGCCAGCATAGATGAGGCGCGCATGGAGAATGAAATGGAGAAGAAAATGCATCCGCATCACATGTAGACAGAGAGTGAGAGAGAATGGCAAAAAGTCTGCCCCCGCACCGCTCCCGCTCCCGCTCCCCCTCCCCCTCCCTTTCCTCCTAGGATATAACCTACCTGCAGCTGTGCTTCATTTTATTCTGCTGTGGTTTGGGTTTTATATTTAAAGTTACTCCTACTTTTACTCCTATTCCTACTTCTACTCCTACTCCTACTTCTTCTCCTCTCCTCTCTCTATATTTACTTGCTCAATATTGTTCCCCTCGCACACACACACACCTGCACACACACACACACTCGCGGTACGTAGCACTCACCTCACCTCACCTCACCTCACGTTACGTTCCGTAGAGACGCTCTCTTCTCTGTGTGTTTTGGGGGGGGGGACGACGCTTCAAATTTTTTCCAGCAATTTTTTGAGACAATACTCCTTATATTGGATAGTTAAATGATTGATATAGTATATATATATACACTTATATGTAGTCTAGAACATCTAATAAAAGTGTTTTGCTCCCACACATCCGAGGCACATCAGAAGCTCAGCTCCTCAGCGCCATCCAGCAGGCCGTGCTCAATGTAGCTGCTTGAGTGCGTTGTATTGTAGTTCTTCTTGTAGTGACGCTCACAGAATTCGGCAATGCGCTGGCAGGCCTCCTCGATCATGGCCAGCGGCACTGTCAGCACAATGCGCACATAGCCGGGACACTGGAAACAGCTGCCGGGCAAACAGAAGACACTCTGCTCGTTGACCAGCTCCTGCACAAAGTGTGTGTCATCCTTGAATTCCGGAAAGCGTTCGATGCTCACGCCAATCATCATGTACATGGCGCCATTCGGCATCACCGGATTGAGGCCATGCACTTGCTTCAGCAGCTTGTACGCCAAACTGGCATTCGACTGTGTTGTATAGTAAGAGTCAATCATCAATCATCAATCTGTTAGAGAGCCAATAAAAGCGAGCCGACTTACGTAGAGCACCTCGATGACGCCATCAAAGTAGGACTGCGGTGTCTTGGCCAGTATCTCGGGCAGTGCGCCCTGGATGATGGTATTCGAGCCGAGAATGCGGCCGCACATGTTCTTCAGGCCGGTGACTGCATTGCCCAGTCGCTGCTTGCGATCGTGCACAATGATCCAGCCCATGCGCCAGCCGGGCACCAGAAAGCGTTTGGTGAGGCCGCCACACGACAGGACAGGCACCTCACGGGTGAGGCTGCTCACGGCCAAATGCTTGGAGCCGGGAAACACAAAGTGCTCATAGATCTACGGCGAGAGGGATAAACAGATTAGAGATATCCACAGCAGTTAGCTGGCATACAGGACTCACCTCATCGGCGATGATGGGCAGATAGTGACGCTCACAGATGGCTATCAGCTGACGGAGATGATTCTCATCGAAGACACTGCCACAGGGATTGCTGGGGTTATTGATCAGCAGCGCAGCCGTATTCTGATCGATCAGACTCTCCAGCTGCACGAGATCGGCGCGCCACTGCTGCTCGGGCAGCAGATCATAATAACGCACCTCAATGTCCAGGCCCTCGGTAAGCGTGTGATACAAACAGAAGCCCGGCCGCGGTACTAGCACATTTTGGCCGCGATCGGCCAGCGCCAGGATGCAGTACTCCAAGGCGGAGGAGCAGCCGCTGCACAGCACCACATCGCTCGTCTCGATGGCGCCATCCGGTCGCTGGTGGGCACTGTACTGGGCCACTGCCAGACGGGATGCCTCATGGCCCTGGGTGTGGGCATAGCCATTGAATTTGCCGCTCTCCAGGGAATGCAGCACCGCCTTCATGGTCTCATCGGCGGCCCTCAGGTTGCCAAAAATTGTGGGATCACCTGCAAGGCAGAAAATAAAAAGATTAGGATTAGCTTAGCGAAATGAGAAATCAGGGGATTAACCCGTTTATTTCCGCCTCTAGCTGCGGCAATTCCCTATGCTCTCTCTCTATCTCTCAGTTATTGTCCAGTGAATATTCTGGTTCCCTGACTCCCAGGCCCCAGTCCCCAGTGCCCAGTCCATGAAACAGGTGTAACTACATTTTATGCAAATTGCCCATCGCAAATGAAACAAAAATACAGAGCGCGTGCCTCTGGCGGCGACAGACAAAAACAGAATCAGAAATCGATTCCGATTTCGAAACCAACAACAGATTTCAAGCTTACAGTTTGATCTTTTTTTTTTTTATATATATCTGGTATCTGGAATATTTTTAGCACAGAAATAGAAACTTGCGCCGATTTTGCTTTTAACAAAAAAAAAAAAAAAAAAAAAAATGCATATTATTATTATTATGCATATTCCGCATAGTCCGGTAGGGAGAGGACCTCACAGCCACCAACCGCTGATTGGCTACAGTTTGTGGGTGTGTGCCATTGATCCACTGATCATGTACTGATCATGCATGCTATATATGCATATAAGTCTTCGTCTTGATCGTGATCGTCCAAACAAGTTCCATCAATTTATGCCAAACACAAGACCCAAAAATATTTAAATAAATTCCCGTGGCAAAAAAAAAAAAAACTTGTAGCATAAACATCAAAAAACATAAACTTCTGGGTAGCATACAGGTTCCCGCAATCTCCCAAAACTGAGCAACAACTTATGTATATAGTTTTAAAGTAGCCCCTCCTGGTGCATGTGCCTACTATATAAAGGGTAGTTTGATATTTCTAGTATTTCCATGTAAATTCTAAAGGAAACCAATGGATCGGCTATAGATTTTTGCATCAAAAATTGGTATACCAAATACTTAAAATGAAAATAAATGTAATCCCTCCAAGAGAACGAATCTTAAATAATTATAGATTTAAATATTCTTTGTCTCAGGGCTTGCCAGAGCTAATGAAAAATAAATGCAATATTCTTTCAAATAAACAGAAGCTGAGAAATTCTGAATTTCTGTGGAGTCTTGAGTCCCCATAGATCTTGGCTGATCCTAAGATATATTTCAAGGGTTTTTCTTTAATACTTTTCCATTGCTATATAGGGATTCCAATGGTTTCAATGGTTCTTTCTGAGGCATAAATCTCTTGAATTTAAATTCTCCTGATCTCAAGTAAAACCTACTTCCAAAATCAAGACATAAGATCCCAGTGATGCCCTTTTTGAAGTACTCACCAATGGACAATGGTATCATGGGCTTTTCCGGATTCGGTTTGATCTTCAGCGATTCCACAATGTTCCGTATGTGATTGTGTGTGTTGATGGCCAGCTTCGAGGACTTGACCTGCCAGCCGGAACGACCCTTGATTGCTGCTGCCGGCTGCAGCATCTGTTGTTGCTGCTGCTGCTGCTGTTGCTGCTGCGATTGGAGCTGCAGCTCGGCCAGTGCCTCATCGACGACATCGTCGCTGTTGGGGGGCGGCTGGGTGACTGCCGCTGGCGAACCGCTGGCACTTCTGCTCGGGCAGCTGCTGTTCTGCTGATTGCGGCTATTGGCCCTCTGAAATTGGTAGCCCTCGTTGGCAACACTGCTGGGCATTATCACCAGGCAGGCGTTTCACTGGACACACTCAACAAAAACCGAAACCAAAACAAAACCAAACAAAAAATCAAAAGAAACAAAAAAAAAAAAAAAAATGTTGTCCACGTTAATCGAATTCCTTGCAGCGCGTTTTTGGGGCGTCTGTTTGCAGGTTGCCAGCTGCCTCAAATGAAGGTGAAGTTTGTATCCTGTTTATCGTTCCAGACGAGCATTAGAAATGCGGTCTCTGCGCCTGTCGAGTGGGTGTGTGCTGTCCGCTGTGCTTGCTGTGGGTGCGATTGGGCTGTAGAGGGTGCAGCGGTGAAAGTCGTTGGAGCTAAGGGGTTGCCTTTGGATCGTTTGCGAATTCTGAACTAAACTGATCTACTTCGGTGATCTCTTGGTGCTTTTATCGCCTCTGGCCTGGCTTGGCTTGGCTTGGCTGGCGTTTCGTTTGGTCGCTCGCCGCTATATAGGCATGTTGTATATATAGATATATATTATTTTTGTATAGCCAATATAGGTGGGTATATAGCACATATACTCGTATAGCGCCATATGGATCCAATACTCGTCAGCACGCGCGGCCTGACTTCGGCCGAGAGGGCCGACCACCACCAGCAACAGCACCAGCACCAAAACCAAGAACAACAACTACAGGGGCGCGCTCGGAGCTACCGTTGCCCCCCCCCAAACACCCCCAGCCACAACCCCTTCCCCTACCACCAACCAAGGCATCGTCGACCCGACCTAACACTCTGATTTGAATACTCGCCTTTGAGTTTGAATTAAATTCATATATTGCCTCGGAACCAGATTTTCAGTTTCAGTTTGATAAACAACAACAGCCGCCAGAGCCGCCAGAGCCACACAGCCACAGGCGTCGCATCGATTCATCGATTCATTTAAATGCGCCAAAGCCAAAGTTGTCTATAACGTCTTGGGCGAAATTCATACACACAGCAGCCCAGACAACCCAACCAAGCGATCAACCAACCATAAACCATATTGCATATCGAGTTCCGACAGTAATGCAAAATAGGGTTTCCCTTTGGCACCCAAAAAAAAAATAAAAAAAAATGCCAGACATCTAAGAGCGAAAGATTCTTGTTTTAACTGCACTGAAGGCTGCAGGAAGAATTCCTGCTGATAAGTGTGATATTCAATAAGATATAGATAGCCGTGCGCTTTTCCCTCTCAACTGCCTTGAAGAACATCCCTAGAGATGGGTTGGCTCCTAAAAAATAGACTTTAATTAGAAGACAGGCTAAACATCACGCTGAAGAATAATTGACAGACTTTTAAATAGTTTTACATATATAGTTTTGATAACCATTCGCATTCGCCAGAGAACTTAACATCTGGGCGGCTGCATTCCAACAGTTGACGCAATCGCTGAGCATTTAGCATAAACGAATATGCATGAGGGCAGGGACCTGTTCCCACGGATGATGATGATGATGACGACGCAATTCCAATTCTAATCCAATCTATTTGCAATGCAATGGAGAACAATTCAAGCCGGAGCACACGGGACAGCCCGGGTCTAATCCCCCCCACACACAATGGAATTGCGTTGCAGCTTTCACTTTTTTCGCCATTTCAGAAGCTAACAAATCGCACAAAGCATAAACAACGGACAAAAGGACAATATTTTTAACAACATGGAACCATAAACTTTGGATAATTGAACCGCAAATCGGATTAAAGCCACAAACCACAACTCGATCTGCTGATGCGCGTCGATCTGCAGTCAACGGAATACATTTTAGGCATTGAATTGTATTCCCCAATCAAAACCTATACGACGAATATCGTTCGAGTCTTGAATTACTTTAATCCGCTTAGCAAGTCGCATAAAGTTTCAATAGATGTGTGTACTTTGGTTCTACTTTGGCTTGCAGCACTATAAAAAGGGTATTGTAACGTCCTTTTGTTGCTGAAGGTTTCTGTTAGTTTTATTTAATTTTCTCAGTCAATTTTGATAGTTCTGCAATTGATGTTCCTTTCATGAAATTAATTCTTTGTTGTTAAAATTATTTGGTTGCTGGTATGGTTTTTGTTGTGGAAATTAGTTGCTTGTTGGTGTAGTCCTTTGTTGAAATCATTTTCCTGTTGGTGTTTTTCTTTTTTTGTTGAAATTTGTAGTTTATTGGTGAAGTCATTTTTATTTGTTTTAAGGTAGCTTCTATACTACTGATAACAATTATATTTTTTGTATTCTAAGTTCTTTGTTGCTGAGTTTTCTTTTCTGATTATCCTTAGTGATGAGTTTTTTTTTTTTTTTTGATTATCCTTATTGTTGGTTATTATCCTTATTGTTGAGTTTTTTTTTATGATTATCCTTATTGTTGAAGCTTTTGTTTTGTGAGTTTAAAGTGGATTCATAATTATGGGTTTGTAAAAAAAATTCACAAGAATTCAACAAAAGGCTTATGCATACAAAAAAAATTATAAATTCTGATATTTTTTTTGGTATTTTTTAATGATTTTCGACGGTTATGTTTGCTGCTGATCATTTGAAGTATCCTTTTACTGCGCTGGTGTAATTTTTGTGGAGTTTTTATCATTGTTGAAGGAATTCCCTTTGTGCATCTTATGGCTAAAATATTTTCTTACTTATTGGTATATTGATATATGTATATTATCGGGGTTTGTTTTTGTTTTTGATGCTTGACACTGTTTGTTATTGTTGTTATTTACATAGTTTGTTGTTCTTGCTGTTTTTTTTATTGGTGTAGTTTCCCCTGGCACTGATTTCTGCTTACTCATATCTGTTGTTCAGAGCACATTTACTTACCACTACACCACCCCCCACCGAACAGGCAGGCATTTACATACATTATTTACCAGCCATTTCATTACGCGATAAAAACAAAAAAGAAAAAATATGTTTTGTCGCTCTAGCCTTGCCATTGCATCACACACGTAACACTCTCCGATTTGTGAGGCCAGTTGGCCAGTGAGTCGTTCGGTCGGACGATGGAGCGAGCCTCCTGTTCACCTTGTCCGTATCAGACCTGTTTTCTTGAACTTCTTTTTTGTTTCTTTTCTTTTCTGGTTTGCCGTTTCTTTTGATCACTTGACTGTGCGACGGCGGCGCCGGCGACAGCAGCATCCCATCCCATTGATAACTCACCAGCCATCGTGTGCAATGGCACCAGTTAAATGGTCCAAAATGCTGCAAGATCCAGCTATCAATAAAGGAAGTTGTTTTAGTTCAGTTTGTGCAAACTCAACTCAACGACTACGCGCTACGTTTACTTACTCCACATTTATTTTACTTTCATTAATTCGCATGAAGGAATAAATCCTTCTTCACTTTCATTCAGCCAAATTTTGTACATCAGTTTTTTTTTTTCAAGCATTTAAAGTTCCTGCGGTCTTTGTGATATAACTTTCTTTTTAATAATATAAAACTTGTTTTTTTTTTTTGTTTTTTTTGTCTCACATTGATTTGAGGTTTTCCACATCAACAAAATAAGTCACTACTCTCCTCCAATCTGCTGCGATATGATCTGGAAGTCTGTTCCGCTAGCTAAAATGGGAGGCTCTTAAATGGCAATTCTCGTTGGGGAATATGATGAGAGATGTAATTAAAATACAATTTGCACATTCAGATCCACATTTTTCTTGCCCAATGAACAGAGCATTACCGTCGTCTGGTTGTGTGGCTGGTAGGGGGCCAATAATTATTACCCAATGGCTATAAGATAAGTTTTATCTGTCAAGCGGGGGTTCATCTCGGTTTACATGACACTCAGATAAAGCGGCTTAACATCTTATTTTTATTGAGCAACCAACGACCGACCATATACTACAGATTTGATGCATACTTCATATATATGTCAACACATTAATTTGTTTTGTCATTTCTTGAAAGTTTGTCTCCCATTCGGCACCGCCAATGCATTGTTTTGTTTTGTTTTTCATTTGGTTTGGTTTGGTTTTTATTTAAACAACAAAAAATGTTGCATCCTTTTCATATTCATTAAACAAAGAGAACGACAAAAAAAAAAAGAAAAATAAATTGTATTCCTTTTCAGTGGATTTGTTTTTTGTTTTTGTTTTTCTTCAGGCTTTAGCGTGACTTTTAGCGTACAAAAAAAAAAAGTATAATAATAATGGAATTCTTAGTGCTTAATGCTCATTGCTTATATTCTATATAAGTTAATGCTGCTTGGCTTTTGTATGTTTATTTCTCTCTGTACATAGACGACATTTATTTACATTTATTTCCTCTTGAACATGTTGCTTAGGCGGCGCTTTGGCGGCGAATTCTGTGAATAAAAAATATATCGTGTGCTATGAGTAATGGAATGTATTTTGGTTATTTGGCAGATAATTTTATTCAATGAGATTTTCTTGCTGTGTGTGTTTGTCTTTCTGGTATGCAATTTTCCACCCTCTGGCATGATCAGCTACTTGCCACAGCTCAGCGAAAGGACCACAAGCAACACAAGCAACACTATTCCAATGGCAGTGGCAATTCCAGTGACACCCAGTCCCATTCTGTCCGACACCTGAGAGCACAGGCACAGCATGACGATTAGAGCCAGCACCAGGCTGAGTATCAGATGGCCGGACAAATTGAGGCGACACAAGACGTGCCACAGATCACGCAGCGTCAGCTTCTTTGTCTTTGGGATCTGTTGCACCACCCGCTGCTCCACATGCGTGATGGTCACCGTCGGCAGCGGCTCCGAGTGTATGTACCCCAGCGAGTAGATTGTACATGACTTTCGCGACGAGGCACTGGTCAGATTGGTGGCACAGCTGGCATTGGTCGTGCACGCGCTGGTGGTGCCCGTAATGTTGAGCGGCCGCACCGTCCTCACCTTTCGCTTCGGCTGCTCCTCCTGCTTTTTGTAGTGCAGCGGCTGCAGCTCAAATGGCGCCGTCGACTCTGTTTCCCTGCACAGCCGCTCAAAATGTCCGCCATGTATATCCTCAGCCTCATCCTCATCCTCGTCTTCGATCGCGATCTCTTTCTCGTTCTCGTTCTCCCTGGTATTGTCACTCAACCACGCCTGAATATTCTCCCGCTCGAACTTCTGCTGATACTGCCACACACTCGGTGTATCACTCTCACTGACATTGAATGTGGCAGCTGCCACTGGCAGCAATCCATCTTCGAGGATCTGCTCCTCTGGCTTTAGTACCACCGTTTGGCCCATCTTCAGGAGCAGCTGCTGCTGCTGCTGCTCTTCGTTGCGATTGTGCAGACTGTAGTTATTGTTGTCGCAGCAGCCCAGCGGCTGGAGGAGCTGATAGGTGACATTCGTCGGTGCCTGATCTTGCCTGATGAGACTGCCCGCCACGGCCACTGGGGATGCGTGGAGAGGCCTTCCCTGATCGAACCGATTCAGGCGCTGCTGTTTCAGCTTCTTGCGCTGATTTTTAAGATTTCCAGCATGGGCCGTGGCCGAGATCTTGGCCACCGGCCGGCTCTTGGCAAAGATGTTGCCGTGCAGACAAAGCGAAACGCGTCCATTGCGATATTTACGCCTGCCCACCACATGGGGAGTGGAACCTGAACTGGGGGTACTATGACGGGGATCGCTGCTCAGCCTGCGGGTCAGCCCATGGGTGATGGCCAACAGTCCAGTATTGGACAAATGCGGTGTGGCATTCTCCTCCTCCTCTAGCCCTTCGGTCACAATCTCCTGCTGCTGCTCCTGCTCCTGCTCGTGAACTACTTCTTCTACCTCCTCATCCTCGTCCTCATCCTGATCTGAGATCGCATCACTGGCACATATCAGACGTCGCTGATCGTAGTAGGAGCGGCTCTTGCGTGGCGTTGAGGTGCAGAAGAGGCCTGAGGACTGACGTAGCTGCAGTCTGCGGCGCTGCATGCCAGTCAATAAATTCGGCCGCTTACGAGATAGCGGCCGCTGTGGGTTAGAGGTACAGTAGGCATTCAATGGCAGAAACTCCAGCCACACGAAAATCAACACACGCAGACGAAGACGAACACAACACACAAACACACAAAACAGACTTGCAAACCGCACAAAACCAGAGACCTAAGACGATCTACAACACAAACAAACAAACAACTCAACTACTGTCAGGTCTTTGGGACTTACCTCATCACGGGGCAGGCCACTGCTGCCGCTGGTGCTGCTGCCGATGCTGAAGCGCGAGGTGAACATCTTGAAGCGTGTGGGTGTCTTGGAGTTGCCGTTGTTCTCGCATGTCTCGCGCAGTATCTCGCGTGGTGGCTCTGAGCTGCCAAAGGACAAGCGGCCACCGTTCTTGCTGGGTGTGGGCGGACCAGGACGCTTATAGTGTGTGCCCATTGTCTTCTTGCGGGCTCCAGTGCTCGCCGAAGAGCTAAGCAGGGCGCTCATGCTGTCGTCCAGACTATGTGGTCCGTCCTGAGACAAAACGAAAAAATAAGAAGAAGAAAAAAAAAAAAATTGTGTGAGAATCGATGATGATGATGATGATGATGAAGACGAAACTAAATCGTGGATTAGTAGTAGACACACAGAAAGCACAGGAAACAGGACACAGAGATACAACAGCCACAACGACAACGAAAGGGGACTTCATCACAATGGACAAGAGATCTAATCTTACTCTGAGCTCTATGGGGGATGGTTTTTGTTTTTATATAGATATATATATTGTACATTGTCTGGAAATTGTGTGTTTTCGTATATATTTTTGTTATCTTCTTCGATTCTGCCAAATGCGTGCCCACTGCGCTTTCTTTGCATTGGCTTTGTTGGGTGTTGCAACTCTGCTCTTGTCGCTGTGGCTGTTGTTGCTGTTGGTGTTTCTGCTGCTGGTGCCACTGCTGCTGGTGCCACTGCTGCTAGTCTGGCTCTGGCTCTGGCTTACTTTAAGATCTTCATCTTGGCTTCCCACATCGTATTGGGCCGCATAGGTGCTCCTCAGATGCGGCGGCTGCAGCGAGTTTCGATAGTTTAGCTCCTCACTGCTGCAAAAACAGAACATAAATGAAGGAATGTAATACAAAATGTGGATGCCAGTGAATGTTAAAAAAAACTCACGTTATATCACGCACACGGCCCAGCTTTAGGTCCGTCAAATAGGTGTTGTTGAATACCTCCCCCTCTTCATCTTCCATCGCCAGGTTCGAGGAGGGTGCTGTGGGACGCTTGAATGGCTGCCAGTCCTCGGTGGCCGTGGCTGTGGCGCTCCCAGAGACAGTCAGTGTGGAAAGTGAAGATGATGATCTGGTGGCTTCTGCGGTGGCCTGCATGTGGCGCAGCTGTGTGGTGGTTATCGCATGCTGCTTCTGCTGCTCGAGAATCCTTTCGTTCAAGCGAACAATTTGATTCGAGAGCTTGCGTGTATGCTCCTCGTATTTGGTGTTCTATGTGGGAAAGGAATGAATTAATGATTAAAATTTCATAAATAAAAAACAAAAATTTTCAAAAATGGTATACAAATAAATTAAAAAAATTAACCTTATTTAAAAATAATAGAACTAAAAATAAATGTATTAAAAATAACTTAAGTAAAAAAAGATTTAAAATTTACATATAAACAAAATTAAAAATTAATAAAAATAAATAGTCGGTGTAGCTATTTTTCATAAAAATAGTAGCTAAAATAAATAGCTTCACAATTTACAATAAATAAAATACAATATATAAAAATAACATAAAACAATAGCAAAAAAAATGGTTTAATAAAAATAAATAATTTAGAACATATGTACAAACAAATAATTAACAAATTAACTTAAAAATTCAAATTAAAAAATAAATAAAAAAATATTTAAAAAATTAAAAACTTTAAAATTAAATTATTATAATTACCAAAACATATTTCTTTAATTAAAAATAATTTCTAATAAATTCTCGATTTCATGAAACGAGCGCCACTCACCTGGCACGTAATGGCCTCCAGTTCCGCTTTGGACTGCAACGCCTCCCGCTCCTGCTTCTCCTTCATGCGTGTCACCTCCGTGGTATATAAAGTGCGCTGCCAGTGCGTCAAGTCCGTGTTGTCCGTGTGTTTTTGTGTGTGCGACGTGGTGTGTTGGGTGATTTTTGTTGTTGTTGTTGTTGATTTTTTCAAGGTAAATAAAAGATGAGGGCGATCCGAGAGAGTGGGTAAGAAATAAGTGGGTGGAGCAAGAGGTAAAGGGACGGCATAAACATAAATCTCGAAACAAAACAAACATCGAATGTGTAGCATTCTTCTAGCGACTTCCGTTTAGGTGGAGTGTGTTATTATCAGTAGCATTACAATAATTATTTCCAAATATTAAAGCCAAAAACCAATAGAAAACAAAACTATAAATGTACAAAAAAAAAATATAAATATAAAAAAAAACTCAAATGATTTTAACTTGTCAGAATTGTGAGGGATGCTCAAACCTCAGGTTCACGCTAATGCCATTTAGTTTTAGCATCAGCACAAAAATGACCAAAAACAAGAGCGTTGCTGCAATGAACTGCCGCACGGTGGGACACCACCTTTTGAGCATATACAGGCAGCACACATATACCACGCGATGCCAGCGCAACCAAATCGAGCTATGAACCATGTTCGACTCCGCATCGTCAGTAGCATTGGAAGTTTCCGGATATTCATTTTGGTGTTGTTCTTGTTGGTTGCGGCAAGGCGTACTACGATAAGCACGAGCAGTTTCCGATTCACTTTCCGACAACAAGTCATCGTCAGTGGGTTCCGATAGGAACACATCAGTATTTATATTTATATTTTTTTTTGTATTTGTGTTCCCGTTCGATATGGCTGGCGCCAAAGCCAAGCTCAAGTCTTCTACTCCTCTTTGTATCACAGTTCTATTGTCATCGGGTCCTGTCTGTAAAACAGTCTTTGCAGTCTGGATACTATGGCTTGTGGTCTGTGTTCCGAGTGTTTTCAAGTGTTTCGAACGCTTTTTGGATTTTTTCGCATAGTTCCGTAGCTCCAACGGCTTCGAGTATTTTTTTTGTTTAGTGTTCGTTCGTCGTACAAAACAGTGTGGCGTGTGTGCGTGTGTGTGTGGTGTGTGTGGTGTGTGTGGTGTGTGTGGTGTGTGTGTGTGGTGTGTGTGTGTGCGTATTTTGTCAAGGATTTTTGTTGTAGCAGAAGGAAGGAGGATGGGATAAAAATAGAAACCGTTTTTTATAATTTCAAAAATATCAAAAATATTTCGCAAAACTAAAATGCAAGCAAATGTGATATGTATGATTGTGTCCTGACGCCACCGTTTCTTTTTTTTCCATCCAGAATCAATGGTTTTGTTTTTGCCTGTGAAATAAGCGGTCAAACACGGAACACAAACAAACAAACAAAAAAAAAAACAAACAAAAAAACAACAGAACAGAACCACACGGAAAATTAAGAGGTACAAAGAAACCCCACAAAACAGAAACACAAAAGGCATAAAACAAAGTAATACTATACACAAGAACAAAAAGAAAATTAATTAAAAATCTGTGGCACACCTAATTATGGGTATTTTTGCGCACATTCGACATTAAATCATCTATCGATTTCTACTGCAAACTCAATCGGTGATGTGCCACAGATTTCTTATTTACTTATCAGATTGTTGGGGGTTAGTAAATAATAATAATAATTATTTATATATAGCAGGCAGAATTTGGATTTATTGGAATATTACAAATAGAAAATCAAAGTGGATAGTGGATAGAGGATGGGTAGAGTTCGTGTGTTATTATTATTATTATTTTTTTTTTTTTAATAAAATCTCAAGATAGTTAAAAGAGTTAAAAGGAAAGCCATGCCGTTTAGGATTTTTAAGGACTGAAACACGGCGAGCCGGACATACCATTTTAATTTTCATCTTTTCCAGCTTTCCCACCATCTCGATTCGCTGCTCCTTGAGGCTCACTTGCAGTTCGTCAATCTTCTTTTTGGCCTCCTGATATTTGGCCTGCAGCACCTGGCAATCACGCTGAAGGGTTCTGCGATTGGGCAGTCCCTCCTCCCCGGCGTCTGCCGTGTAGGTGGCATTGAAGCGTTCCATCGCATCGGCCACCTGTTGGCTCAACTGTATCTGGCGCTCTTCTGATGCCTTCTGTTGGTCCGTCATGTGCACTTGTAGGAGGGCATATCTCTTGTTAGACTCCTCCAGTTGTTGCTCATACAGCTGGAGCTGCTGCTTGCGTTCGTCATCCTGCTCCAGCAGGTTTGCTTGCAGTTTCTTTTTTTCTTGCATAATTGCCTGAAGCTCAACCTGCAGGAGTTCTTCTTTCTTTTCCAGTTGGTCCACTTTCATGTTGAGAGAACCAATCTCCTGTTTGAGCAGTGCCTCTGCCTCATCGGTATTGTTGGCCAAAAGAGCGAGCTCGGCTCTGGCGCTACGTTCGGATTGGCGTATCATTTCCCTATTCTTGCGCAGGGCTTCGATTTGCGCATCCTTATGCTTGAGGTTCATTTGCATATTTTCTTGCTGCTGCTGCTGCTCGACACATCTCTGTAGATTCTCCTTTTTTTCGTTTGACGGCATCGGCATCTTCTCAGCGAAATTGTTGCGCAAACGCAACACCGGATCTTGCAACATCTGGAGGGGCGACAATTTCATTGTGTGCTGATCCGTCGTCTCCATCGGAGTGTCACGCTCTTGCCGCAGCATCACATGAGACTCGTTTTGTTCGTCGGACTTTTGGTGACCATTGGCCAACATCAGTTCGGGCTCACTGCGCTCCTTCTCATGCCGCGCCTCTACGGTGTTGCTTTCAGCGTGCAGTGGATCGTGGATTTCCTTTTGCTCCTGTATGATCTGAATTTTTTGTAAATCCGTTTGGGATTTCTTTTGCCACTCAATAAGCTTCCGTTGAACGCAAATTAATTCCATTTTTTCCTGCTTTGCGACCGCCATCAGGGTATCACGTTCGTGCAACATGGTCTCACGCTCTTGTGTCAGGATGTGGCTCTCATTCGTCAGGGTGTCACGCTCTTTCATCAGGCTGTCACGCTCTTTCGTCAGCATCTCACGCTCTTGCGTCAGGGTGTCACGCTCTTTCAGTAGGCTGTCACGCTCTTCTGTCAGGCTGTCACGCTCTTGCGTCAGTGTGTCACGCTCTTGCGTCAGTGTGTCACGCTCTTGTGTCAGGCTGTCACGCTCTTGTGTCACGGCGTCACGCTCTTGTGTCAGGATGTGGCTCTCTTTCATCAGGCTGTCACGCTCTTCCGTCAGGATCTCACGCTCTTTCACGAGGCTGTCACGCTCTTGCGTCATGCTGTCACGCTCTTCCGTCAGGATCTCACGCTCTTTCACCAGGCTGTCACGCTCTTGCGTCAGGCTGTCACGCTCTTGTGTCAGGCTGTCACGCTCTTGTTTCAGGGTGTCACTCTCTTTCAGCAGCAACGCATATAACTCGTTTTGATTGTCCAGCTTTCGCCGACAATTTTCCATCAGTTTTTCGATATTAATGCGCTCATTTTCATACTGCACATCTCGGTTGTTTCGCTCAGCGAGTAGTTCTCCATAGTTCTTCTGTGATTCGCTGTATTTCTTCTCCAGCGAATCAATTTTCGAAAGCATTTCTGCCATAGAATTGTCAGAGCTTTGAACATACTCCAAGAGCTGGCGTTCATACTCCTTGACCATGGCTTTGTGATCGCTGCTCTCTTTTGATATGGACTCGCATTCTTCGCGCCGTTTGATGATCTCCAGCTCCAGCTGCTGGACAATGCCAGCCTGTTGTGCTCGCTCTTGTGCCTGTACTCGAGACAAGTCTTTCAATTTCTGGTCATTCTCTTTGACCAAGGTTTTGTAAGCGTTTTTCTCTTTTGAAATGGATTCGTATTCTTCGCGCCGTTTGATGATCTCCAGCTCCAGCTGCTGGACATCGCCAGCCTGTTGTGCTAGCTCTTGCGCCAGTTCGCGAGACAAGTCTGTCAATTTCTGGTCATAGTTCTTCTGCTCGATGTCAAGCTGTGCCACCAAAAGACGATTCGACTTTTCAACATCCTCGAGGCGGCCAGCTTGCTGCACAAGCTGCGTTTTCTCAGCAGCCAACACATCGATAGTTTGTTGCAATTGTGCGGCAATTATCTGACTCTCCTCTACACTGGCTGTCAGCTCTGCTCTCTTTTCGGCCAAAACTTTCTCCGAGCGTCGGCTTTCCTGTAGGCTGTGCTCTAGCTTGGATCTCTTCAACGATAGGCAGTCCATTCGTTCCGTCAGGTCTGTAATTTGACCCGTCAGATCAACTATTTTCATGGCCTGGCACTCGTTTTGCCTCACAAGCAATGCCTTTTCAGTGGTCAGAGCTGCAATGGCTTCTACATTTTTCGCATGCAATTCTGCATCTGCATCTGCATCTGCATGTGTTGTGCCGTAGCGTCGTCCTGCGTTGCCGTCCTCCTTTCGATCTGATCAGAACGTCGCAGCATGTCGGCTAATTTTTCCGCGTGCTCGGAAGCGACCGCTTCTTCTTTAATCCGCTTTAGCATCACAATATTGCATTTAGTTTCCAATTCGTTCGGTTCGAGTTCGTGGGCATCCTTAGCATCCAGCTCCTGCTTGTGCCTCTTCGATGCCTCCAGATACTCCTTGGACAGCTGCTCATGGGCAACCTCTAGCTTTTCGAGTTTTTCCACATTCTGAGCCAAAGCCTTCTCCAACTCCGCCCTGTGATCCTCCACACTGTTGAGGGTATCGTGGAGAGTATTTAGTTTTGTAATTGTCATCATAGATAATTCATTTTCGAGTATTTCCAGCTGATTGTGCAACTCTTCCAGTTGTTTGAGATCCTGCTCAGCCACCTCGGGATCCGTTTCTTTGGCTGAAGCCAGAATTTCGAGCATAGTTTCCGCTCCATTAATGCGACTCCACTGCTTCTCCAAGACAATATGCTCCTTATTCAAATTTTCTCCTTGGACTTTCGTGTATTCTCTGTCGTGCAGCTGCTGCATCTGTTCCATGGTGGCCTTCTCCCTGTTCAGCTTTGCGCGTAGGGCCTTGAGCTCTTTGAGCAGTTTCTCTGACTGGTTTTTGGTGTCCATCTGTCTGCCTGCGAAAATCGCATCACTAATGTCCTTCAGCAGCTGACTCTGATCCTGTTCGAGATTTACTTTCAGTTTGAGCATTTGGCAGATGTTCGTCCGCAGTGTCTCGGAGTTCTCTTTCATCTGGCATATCTCCTGATCTTTTTCGCGCAATTGCTTTTCGATTACAGCGCTGGCGAGATTTTCGGGCATGCTGCCCGGCGATAGCGATGTGTCCAGCATATCCGATGAGGCATTTAGCACCTCACGACGGCCCTGCGACTCTTGCCGCTGTACATTCAGGCACTGGGTCAAGTCCTGCTTGTCACGCTCCAGGCAGGTAATCACCGCATCTTTTTTCATCAGGTTTTCAGTCTGTTCCTTAACCTTCAGGTCCAGCTGACTGATCTGATCGAAGCATATCTTCAGCTGTTCTTCCAGTACGCGCACCTGTTTAGGGGAAGTGCCAAACAAAAACCAATTGTTTATTGAAGGATGTAGTGGAGGATAAAGGCCAGAGATCGATCTTACCCTAGTGTTCTCCTTTGCACACTCATTGATGGCATCCTGCATACTTTCGCGTGCTTCTGCTATTTCTTTATCTTTGGCTGCCAAATCCTTCAAATAACACAGCTTAGACTGAAGATAGAATGATGTTAGAGGTCGTTCGCGCTCTTTCAATTTATGACAATTCTTCTACTACTTACATGCTCGTAATAGTTCTGCCCCTCGGCATCTTCATCGTTGGCATGCTCCTCGAATATTCGCACCTTCTCCTTCAGCAACCCAATTTCGGCTACGAGCTCTTTATTTTCTGCACAAAGTATCGTGAGTGAGTGAGTGGGTACATTATTTTGGATAGGGAAGAATTGCTGGGGGGGAAAGACATACCATTTCTGACTTTAGTTTCCTTTTGGCCCAGCTCCTGCACCAAATCATCCAAGATGGTGTACTCGGCCGTTGTCGTGCACAATATCTGTTCAGTCGATGTCAATTTGGTCTCCGTTTCTGCCAATTTGTTCTCCGTTTCTGCCAATTTGATCTCCGTTGTTGTCAATCTTTCACGCACTTGACGCCATTCCGCCTCCGTGATGCGCCCACGCTCGCGCATTGGCGTGCTACAAATCGGTAGCGGTGAGTGGCCGCTCGTGTGCGACGGCGTCTCTGTCGGTGTCTGTGGACTTGCTGTATCGGGTGTGACCGGTGTGCCCGGACTGTTGGGAGCGCGGCCGACAGTGCTGGGGCTGTTCATTCTCGTATCCTGCGAGACAATGAAAGAACGCGGATGCACAAACGTTGGTGGTGGCGTGTCGGGCTCAAGAAATTGTATAGTTACTTTTAAGGCCTCGCGCAGACATTCACGCGTTATCTTTTCATTGTGAACGACACGTTTCAAAAACGATGCTATCGCCCTTTGCATGGGCTCCGAGAGTTCGGTGCATTTGTGTTGATATTTTTCACTCTTTTTGATGACGCACGCATAGTGCAGCATCAGTGTATAGGCCATTACATAGTCGACGCGATTCAGGTTGCCACTTCTATCCATGCTGATATAAAAGTTTGGATAAACAACTGGGGGTAGGGGGGGGGGGATAACAAAAAAACAAACAGCAGGCAATCAGCAAGTGAATCAAATAAAAATCCAAAATTTAATTAGATTCTCACCTTTTATAAATTTATACAACGGTTTGGCATGGCGCGTCGAGTCCATGTCTAAAGGGATTTCCATGTCATCATACTCCAGATAACGATGGAAAAATATATTTATATCGGATTGTTCGAGGGTCAAAACATTTTCGTCCACGAAACCGCATTTCTTTACCTGTAAGTGAATTGAGGATTTGGGATTAGCATTGGATTTATGTTTCCTTTTATCACAAGGTCATTATTTCCCTCCCACTGCCACCCACCCTCACACGCACACGCACACGTACAGCTGTTTTGCGGCTGCGCAGCACCGCAGAAAAACACACACACACACCCATAAAATGCAGAACTCTGCAGCAGAAATTCGCAAGAAACCTTCTCCTTCTTCCTTCTATGCACATATCTCCCAATTTTTATTATATTTTTTTTGGTTGGGATACAATTTAACATGTTTAAGCATTATTATTGTCATATTTATTATTTGAAATAATAAAAATATTGCAAGGCAAAACCACACACACAGAAGCCAAGGAAAACACGCACGTGCACAAATACTGAGAACTATGCAAGGGCAGCTTCGCAAAATAACGGCACTTCTAGTTCTTCCTTCAGTTAAATATAGTTTTTCAACTTTTTGTATGATTGATGTTGGAAAAATGGTGGATAAAACAGTGAACAAATAATTACAAAGCCAAGTACGCAAGTGCATACACAGCCACAGCAGGCGGCGGCAGGACAGCCTGGCAGAAAAACACACATACACAGACACACACAGAAAGCGGAGCCTTTTTCCTTCTATCTCTTAAATTTTACCGTATTTAGTTATGTATTTACATATTTATATTGTTTCTAACTTTAAATATTATTATTATTTTTGATAAAGCAGACCAAAAGTGCAAAGCAATACGCGCAAGTGGAGACACACACACACGGCAAGGCTCACAGGTCGTGCAGAAACATACGCAGAGTTATGCGGCGCCGGCCACACACACACACACACCCAGCCGACACGCACGCGCACACAAACAACGAAAAACTACGCCGGCATTTAAACAGAAACAAATCACATCTATTTTATTTAATAAGTTATGGATGAGCCTTTAATTTAAAATTTGCGAAAAAAAAAACCCACAAAAAATTGCAAGGCATGCACACATACACACACAATATAGCTATGCGACGCCAGTGCCACAGACTACAACCGCACACAAGCAAAAACAATGAAAAAACAAATGCTCAACTTACCCATGCAAATATAACCCTCTTCCAGCCTCGGATATCCATTTTAGCTAAATACACGCACTACAAAATAAACGAAAAACTAAACACCACACATAGGACGAATTAAATTAAATTTTTGACGACGCTCAATTTTTTTTGAATGATGCTCAGTGTGACCGCGGACTTCACAAGAAAATATCCCGCCCGGGTCAGGCAAAAATATACCTCTCATTTATAAAATATACCGAGAAGAAAAAGGACTAATACCCTCTGCACACTGAGCCCATTCCGGAATTTTTTAAAGATGTGAAACACCGATTCACACTGGCACCAACCACCATCTACCATCCATCCCTTTCGGGGATGACCGATAGAACACTCTTTTTAAACAGTTGAACAGTTTAGTTGCCGCGGTTCAACTAAATTTAAACTTTAGCTACTTTCACGAATCTCCAACAATCTCCAAACAGCTTTAAACAATTTTCAGTAAATTAATGTTGTTCACACACTTTGTACACAAAAATTATGATAAATGTCCGTAGAAGCGTTGACATCAAACTCGAAGATAGGCTACTTGCTACTAGGCTTACTCAGATCCAAAAACTGTTTGTTAGCAAACAAAATGTTTTATTCTTCTAGCGGCCATATATATTTATATATATATAATCTATATAATTCACCCTCATTAAGCTGCCTTAAGAAAATGGTATATGTCTTCATTATTTAAATATATCATTTGGTTTTTGTTTTTCTCATGTTGAAATGCTTACGTTTCTGTTTTCTAAGGTACCTATCGGAAGATAAAACATTAATATCTTTACGAGGGGCTAGCAACATACCAACGAATACCAGCAAATACTTTTCTAGTATCTGACGACATTTTTTTTTTAAAGCCTAGATCAGATCCAAAAAAGCAGCTCGCGAACAGAATCAGGGTTGATATTCGTACGAAACAGATAAGAAATATTTTCCGGCACAAACAAATTTCTAGGCTCTGTACGGAAGGCAGTAATCAGTTTAAGTCTAGTACTCAGATCCAAAAACTGTTTGCTAGCGGCCAGTGGTGTGACCAGAGGTGCATTCTGCACTGCATTCCGTACGGTTACACTGCAAAACAGCAAATGGGCTAGCCGCGAAATTCAAAACAAAAAAAATCCAGCCATGAACTTTGTTTTCTGAATCTCCCCCCCTGTGCCACACGGGGCGAGGGAGGCGAAAGAGTGCGGCCCACCACATGTAAACCATTAAAATGCAATAACAATAGCCAATGACCGAAAACAATTGGCTGGCCAGAAGGCACGCACACGAGGGCACCGTGTCCGAGACAGTGCTGTTCAGTCGAACAAAACTGAATGCTGAATGCGGAAAACCAAACAATCAATAAAATGTAATTTAACATGGGATTTAGTGGGGGGAAACTGGCCAGAGGCACAGCACTGATCAAAGAGGAGGTGTACAATGCTCACGTATTCAGCATTGATTTCGCATCGATACACGGATGATCGGGTAGAATCGTTTCCTTCCCTTGATTGCCGCCTGCCATCTATTAATAAAACCGAATTTCCTGTTTATATTTTTTATAATTCATTTATTTACTCGATACAATAGCAAGGCCATTCCCTTCCCTTCCTCTGCTCTACTCTACTCTACGCTACGATACTCTATGGCGCTGAGCTCATGCGCACCACCTGGGGCATGGGCAGGGTGTCCATGCGCTGCAGTCGCTTGCGCTTCTCGCTGGCACCGCTGGCACCGCTGGCATTGCCCGCACCGCCCGTCGAGTCCATGCTGTCGCTTTGCGTCTCCACCAGCTTCACATGGGCTATGCTCTGGCCGAATAGCTTCTGCCTAATGCTGGGCCTCTTGGCCCCACCGCTGCGATGCACCGTTGCCTCTGTGGTGGCACGTCCTGTCCTCTCAGCGTGCCCCTCGCCGTGCCGCTGTCTATGGCGGCGCTGTTTCTTGCGATGCTCCCCGATTGGCAGCAGCTCGTTAACGTAGTGCAGACTGCTCGATGCGCTACCACTGCCGCTGCAGCTCTGCTGATCCGCATCCGTGGGCGTCTGTCCGTGTCCGTGTCCCTGGCCGTGGCCGTGGCCATGGCCATGGCCGTGCGAGTGCTTCATACGCAAATGCTTCTCCTCCAGCTCGCTCTTGTTCTTCATGGCCACCTCCTCGATGTGCTTTTCCTGCAGCAAACAAAACCCAAAACAAGAATTCAAATTAAAATACATTTTTTGGAAGGTTTGGAAGGGATCATATAGGGGGAACAGTTCCTACAAACATGGCACGCTTGTGCTTATCCCTTTTGGCCAGGACCACAACCCAAGCGAAGTAGGAGAGCATAATGCCAGCGGGCACCAAGACGCCAGCCAGTGCGTCCTGTATCCAGGCATGGTAAATGGCCAGAAAGATCACTGCAATGTATGAAAGCGAAACATGAAGGATAATCTGTGTCTGTGTGCGGGTGCGGGTGCGGGTGCTGCATCTTACCCAGAAAACAAACAATGACGGCCACCAGACGTCCATTGGCTTTGCGCTCCTCCTGCAAAAACCAAAAGCAATGGAAAAAACGATATAGAAAGGGATTGAGAGATCCCAGATCAGAGTTTGAGTCATTCCACGGGAGGGTCGGATGATTGTCTCCCAAAATGCCCCCCAAAGGGGTCTCTCTCTCTCTCTCTGTGTGTGTGTGTGTGTTTCTGTATGTTTATCGGCCGCGTTCTGGGGTTCTGGGGTCCGGGAAGCGGAGCTGTGTATAGGTGTGTGCCATAAAAACTTTGTTTATAAGAACCAGCAGCAGCAGCAGGCCCATACCATATAAACACACAGCCGCACACATGCATAGATATCGTGGAATCCCAGATATGTATGTACATACATACATATGTATTTGGAAGCGTAACCTTTTGGGTTTTTACGCTTCTCTTTCTCCCAACCAGGAGAGAGGATAAAAGCTGTCAAATTTCACACAAATCAAATTCGAATTTTGCTGTTGCTGTTGCTTGTTGTTGCCGTTTTGTGTGCAGTCTATGAAAATAATTGGCCTGGATTCTTGCCCTGCCTGTCTACCAAATGATGACGTACATATCCATAAATCAGAAGAAAATTAAGGTCTTTTTTTTTTGTCGGTTTGTAATGACTCATAAACGTGCTGCGCCGCGCCGAAATGCTGCCTGGTAACTTACGCGCGATTTAAGATCCAATATTTCCTTGAGATTCTCCTGAATGATTTCCTCATCGGACATCGAGGTGAGACTCTTTTTGGCCACCAAGGCGGTAAGGACGTCTGGCGATTTGGGTGCAGCGGCGCCTCTGCTGCTGCTGGTGCTGGTGTTGCTGCTGCTGTTGCTTGTAATTGTTATTTTGGGCATTTGGGGTGCAGCCATCTTTTGGTCGTCTGGCAGGCGTTTAACGGCTGGTGGGGCAGCCATCGCTTCGATTCGATTCGATTTGATTTGATTTGATTTAATGGCTATGGCAATTGGCCGCGAACTAAAAACCTCTAATATGGCACGGAAAATTGGAATTATTGGAGATCGAACGCGACCGGCCCAGTGATCATTGAGCGAGTGAGAGGCGGACCAGAGCTGGACCAGATCTGACTGGACCAGACATCATCGACGATATTGTTATTGTTGCCGTTTTCTGCCATCGTGCCCCTGCTTCGGTTCGGATATATTCTGCGGCCGAGCATTTGTTGTTAAGTATTTTGGAATCCAAAAACAGTTTATTTACATTGCAGTAAATAATTCTCAAGATGAGCGCATGTGTCTTGTGTGTGCATGTGCGTGTGTGTGTGTGCGTGTGTGTGTGTTTGTTTGTTTGCCAAGTTCATACTTGCAGACGAAACGCAGCTAGCAGGCAATCCAAATGTCTTAAATGTCTTTTTGAATAATTGCGCCAAGAGACTCTACTTATGTGTCAACTCTATACAAATCGAATCATCGCCATCATCGCCGATGAATTGATAGTTTCATTGATACCGATAACTCGTTTCATTATTTCATTGATAATTTCATTATTTTCATTGATAACGATAACTGCGTTTCATTATTTCATTGATAATTTCATTATTTTTTCTTTGATAGAGTGAGGGCGGAGGGGCGGAGGGGCGGAGGAAATGCCCAACGCCACAGTCTGGCTATGATTGGGCTGAATTATATTCTGGCAGCCAACACAATGAAGCCTCTGCTCCACGTCTGGCCCTTTCTCCAGATGGCGCGTACCTGGCCGCATGCTGAGCACCCTCTCTGGATCTCACCTTCTCAGTTGCACCGCTGGACAATGGCAGCCAGGAGGGCAGTGAGGCTCCTACCTATACACAGTGTCCCTAGACCGCTGCTGCAACGTATATGACTTGAGCGGTGGCATCATGCTCCTCAGCATTGTGTTCCCAGTAGCACTGCACAGCGTGGTTGTCAATAGGATGGAGACTAGCATTTATGTTGGCTCCGCCGAAGGCAAGGCGTTTGTGTTCACAATTGGCGAGCGCCACGGATGAAGGTGAGTGACTCAAATAAAAATGACATGGTTAATCATGATTGTTTACAGGAATACCACCTGGAGGAGGACGAGGCTCAGGCCTTTATTGGCCGTGAGGATAAGCAAGTCTGCGTTGGGATGTTGCGAGTCGGCAGCTCATGAAGAGTATTCCCAGAACGGGGTGATCACCAATTTGAGAATCCGTCTTCTCAGTCCCGGCATTTTCCAGCCGCAACACAAGCAGCCACAATTATTCGCAGACAGTCTGAAGCGTATGATCAGCCCTCCGGATCTCAATGATTACATTGAGTTGTTCGTCACCAAGGAGTACCACAAAGAACGTGGCAGCTCGTAAATCTGTGCGACGATGACGATGCTATTGACTTTGACGAGGAGACGTTGGAGTTAAGTGAACAATCTCCCAAAGTTGCAGATGTGCCTTCAGCGGACGTTGGCGAAGTTGATTGTGATAATATTGAAGAGGAAGACTATGAGGCCCATTCCAATGCCCCTGCATTACAGGAACTTATCGCCAAAACGAAAACGTCAAGGCTCCGCCGGAGAAATCGCAAGAAAGCTCGCAGGAGCTAGGCCTGTGCTCCACCCTTTTGTTTACTTAGATTAAAATTCGGTAATATATAATATAAAAAATTAAAAACTGTATAGAAATAAAAAAGGGTGTCCAAAATTCGCGAAAATGAATGTTAACGGACAAAAGGAATCGTTCCCCGCCCCATTTAGTAGCTACATAAATATTTACATACATATATTTTTGATCAGTATCAATATCCGAGTCCATCTTTTTTTCCGTCTTATGTGAAGCCTAGTTCTCAAAGACTATAAGAGGTGGAGCAGCTGTATCTGACGCGTAAACTCCTGATATCACACTAAATCACCCATCTAAAATATTGTATACAGAAAAAAACTAATGTCGACTGTTTTTTTCTGTTAGTCTATCCGACCGATCGGGTTCCAGGGGCTGCTTAAGTCGGAGGAGCAGCGGTTTCGACCTCAAATTAAAGATAATTTTAAAAAAGTAGCCACAAAATATCCACATAACTTCTTATTCAACGGCGAGTTCAATTTCAAGTTTGAGTTTTTAATAAGTACACAAAACAAACAAAAAAAACACAAACTGTCATCATCGGCATTCTCCTGATCACCAGATTTGTCCTTCTGCTCCGCGAGCTGTCGGCGGATCTCGTTATCAATGATTTGCATTGCCCCGAGTCGCTGGACATTGTGGGATCGTGGTTGTTCTTGGGCGACATATGCTAAATACAATTTAAGTAAAGAAATCGGTTATCTATTGTTTTTAAATATATTTATTTTTGTATTCGTCTTTATCGATCTCGTCAAAGATTTCAGGGAGCCCCTGCGACCAAATTCGAGTCACAGACATTGTCGACCAGGGGGGTATTTAATATTTCCACGAAATCTATGTAACTTTAACATATTTTACGCATTACAGGTGAAAGATGTCGGTGGTCATTTTTGTTTTGTAAGTAAAGAGGAGCTTGGAGCTACAAGGAGCCTTTACAAACAGTGTTCTTTAATTGGCTTAATTGAATGGTTTTCACTGTTTAAATAGAGGGGTGTTAAGTGGGTTAAGTCCTTATTTTTCTTCGGTATATTTACGGTATATTTTGAAAATGATAATGTATATTTTGGTATATTTCAGAGGGTCAGTCAGTCGTCACACGGAAGCTTTTGAAATTGATGTCCATTGTAAAAATTAGATGCCAAGCCAACCAAAAATCGTGATCTTTAAGCCGGAGTAACCCCAAGGGCGCCGAAGGCTTGCCAAATTCCACTTAACCACACCCCCCCAGTCCCACTTCGAGCGAGCGAGCAAAAAGCGTAAGGATTCGCCGTCGTCGTCGTCGTCTTCGTCACACAATATGTCTCAATCACATCGTGACCGAAGTGGTTCCGGGCCGCTGCCAAATCGTTGGCTATATTGCCCCAGGAAGAGTGAGTCGATCATTGCCGAGCGCTTTCTGGCCTTCAAGACGCCACTGAGTCAGGCGTTCAAGGACAAAATGCCCATCGAGTGCACCTTTCGACCCGAGATGCTCTTCGACTACTGCAAGACAGTGAAGGTACATATATCCTGCGACGCCCCATTGACCAATTCCTCCTAATCCCCATCCCCATCAATCGTATCACCCAATCGTATTTCCAAAGCACAAGCTAGGCCTGTGGGTGGACCTGACCAACACGAAACGCTTCTATGACCGCTCGACGGTGGAGGAGCGCGGTGCCCAATATATTAAGCTGCAGTGTCGCGGCCATGGCGAGACACCATCGCACGAGCAGACGCGCAGCTTCATTGAAATTGTCGACAACTTCATTACGGAGCGTCCCTTCGATGTGATTGCCGTCCATTGTACGCATGGCTTTAATCGCACCGGCTTCCTGATTGTCTCCTATATGGTCGAGCGTCTCGATTGCTCCTTGGAGGCAGCCCTATCCGTCTTTGCCAGCGCCCGGCCGCCGGGCATCTACAAGCAGGACTATATCGATGAGCTATACAAGCGCTTTGAGCTGGGCGAGGATGCCCCCCAGGCGCCCGAGCAGCCCAACTGGTGTCTGGAGTACGACGACAGCAATGGCGATGATGACATCTTGCAGAGCAGAAAGCGCCCCAACGATGACACCACCTCGTCGTCCACATCGCAACAGGCAGCAGCTGCGGATGGCGAAGACGATGCCGATGACGTGGATGGGGAGGAGGGCGAAGGCGGCGAGGCCAATGGTTCGAAAAAGAAGCGACGACGCGAGATGGTCGTCAGGAATGCCGCATTCATGGATGGCGTACCGGGCGTACGACAAGTCTGCGATCAGCCGCGTTTGGGCGATCTGCAGTCGAGGGTGCAGAACTGGTGCCACTGGAACAAGAACGGCTTCCCCGGCTCCCAGCCGGTGTCCATGGACAGGCAAAATATTAAGCGACTGAGCGAGATACCCTATCGCGTGTCCTGGAAGGCCGATGGCACACGCTACATGATGCTCATCGATGGCCAGGACGAGGTGTACTTCTTTGACCGCAATCACTCCTGTTTCCAGGTGGAGAATGTCACATTTCTCGATGGAAAGAATCTAAACGATCATCTCGATGGCACACTGGTGGATGGTGTAAGTTTTTTTGTTTTTTAATCTGATTGGCTCACCTTACCGATTGATTGATTGATTGATTGATTCGTTTTTGCAGGAAATGGTGCTGGACAAGATCGCCGAAGGTGTAATGCCTCGTTACCTCATCTATGACATTGTACGCCTCGCCAATCGGGATGTACGCGAGGAGCCATTCTTTCCCAATCGATTGGACTACATCAAAAATGATGTGATAGGTACGGTACACCCATCCACTGATCCACTTGACTCATTAACTAAATGTTTTATGTCTTGCTTGGCCTGTGCCTGTGTGTAGGTCCCCGCATTGAGGGCATGAAGCAGGGCATTATTGTGCAAAAACTACAGGCATTCAGTGTGCGTCGCAAGGATTTCTGGGAAATTTGGATGTCTGCCCGACTGTTGGGCGAAAAGTTCTCCCGCTCATTGGCCCATGAGCCCGATGGCCTGATATTTCAACCCTCCCATCAGCCCTACACAGCCGGCGTTTGTCCGAATGTCTTCAAATGGAAGCCCCATGAGCTCAACTCTGTGGATTTTCGCCTTAAGATCATCACAGAACGTGGCGAAGGGTACGTAAAGCAGACTAAATCTTAGCAGCGAAACATTTTCACCCAAGTACCGTCACTCCTCGCATTTTAGTTTGCTAACCAAAAAGGTTGGCTTCCTTTATGTGGGCGGACACGATGCACCGTTTGGTCGCATGCAAAAATTGACTAAGGAAATTCGTGATGTGGACAACAAGATTGTGGAGTGCACCATGAATCAGTTTGGCAACTGGGAGTTTATGCGAGAGCGAACAGACAAGAAGCATCCGAATAGCTTCAATACAGCACGCGGTAAGTAGAAGGACGAGAAGTCCTCTTTCTTGAAATTATGGAGTGGAATGAAATGAAATGAAATGTGTCTCTCCCTCTGCTCTTATTTTTTGTGGTTGTTGTTGCTGTTGTTGCTGTGACAGCCGTTGTGGAAAGCATAAAGCATCCGGTTACCAAGGATTATCTGCTTAATTATATTGCCAATTGTGGGTTTCGCGATGATCATACCATGATGCCGCCACCTAATAATGCCCATCATTCCCATGGGCAGCAGCATGGCCATCATCAGGGGAATGCATCACATGGACAGCATCGGTCCATTTGAATGCCCTGCCCTGCCCTGCCCTGCAGACTCTATACACACACCTCACAACCATCTCACCATTGACATCCACCACACCACATCCCCCCCACCCCCACCCCGACACTAGGAAATTAAAAAACAAAAACAAAAACTAAACAAAACAAAAAACAATTGCCCCACAAGCTAAAGTCCCAATAAACCTAATTTAAAGAGCTAACTGGAAGCCCTTGCAGTGCGCTTCACTCTCTGAATTTATGGATTTATATGGATAACATTGGATTATTTTTATTTGATTAACATTTCATTGGTGTTTTTCGTCAGTTGATCAGGCTGCCATTCTCGCGCAAGTGGCTCCTCCTGCAGCTGCCCCAGGTGCAGCAGCGCCACCAAAGCTGCACCCTGTTCGGCCTGCTTTTTGTTCTTCTCCCAGAATGTGCTGCTGTAGCGTTGGCCATCGTAGCTGCAAATGGCACGGAACAGTTTGTCGCATTGCTGCGTCTCATAGCCGGGCGGGGATTTGCCCGTTCTACCGGCATGCACATATAGTACGGTCTTGGGCAGATGATTGTCTAAACAAGAGGGAAAACACACACACAAATTAGTCACACGAGAGACGCACAGTGAGAAGGCTGGAGAGGCATACCACTCGCATAGGTGGACCTTAAGAATGGCATGCTGCGGCAAATGACGCCCTCAAAATCATCCGTGATGGCCGTGGCTGCCTCCTCCAGCTTCTGGCGCTTGGCCTGCGCCTCGGGCGGCTCCACTTCAGCGCGCCCAGAATTGCCCAGAGTGCGTAGCTCTTTTTGCTTGCGCCGACAATAGTCACCCAGATGCCAGATCTCGCATATCTGCTGCAGCGTCTGGCATTGCAGAAAGCGTTTGCCGCGCGGCGTCTCCTGCAGTTCCTTGAGCATATTCTGTACACAATACTTGGCATTGTGCGGCGCATTGTCGTAGTCCACACACAGACGCAGATACCGCTCGATGAGCTCGTCCATGGGCAGGATACCGTCGCGCCGGAAAATGCTCACATTGATTTGAGCGGCACGGGCGACCATCACGCTATTGGCGCCACATTCCAGCTGAAATTTCAGAATATCCTCGTATTTTTGTATATTCCGGGAGCCACCGTTGGCAATGATCGGTATGGAGACGGCCTTGGCCACGGCACGCAGCACATCAGGATGCGGGCGATGCTGTGGACGCTCATCGCGGGTCCTAGCATGGATGCCAATGGCCGCTATGCCCGTGTCGGCCAGCTTCTGTACCAGACTAATAGTGTCGTCCAGATCGGGAAGAATTCGAATTTTGCAGGTCACGGGAATGTCCAGATTGGAGCACAGTGTACGAAGAATGATGGCAGCCTTGTCGGGGTCCGCCAGCAGGGCTGCGCCCATGCCGCCCTTGATGGAGAACTCCTTGGGGCAGCCCATATTGATGTCCAGGCCGGAAATGTCCTGCTGCAGCAGCTTGCCCACGGCCAGGGCACGTGTCGCATCGCTGGTGCCCATTTGTAGGACCAGTCGCGATGTCTCCAAGGCACAAGTGCGAAAAACCACCGTCCCATCCGAGGGATCCACAAAGTCTACAGTGCCCAGGGCGGCTATAACGAGCAGAAGGGTTTTTTGTAGAAGTTTTAAGGCAGGGCTGACTTCCACTCACGATTATGCCGCCGGATGCTTTTGATTAGCTTCAAATCAATCAGCTCCTCCGTGTAAACGATGTCAGCGCCCATTTCTAGGGCCAGCAGACGCATGGGCAGCGTGCCCACCCGCACCATGGGTGCCAGCATCAGCTTGTTGCGGTAATCCAGCTTCTGTCGCGACTTCATGCTTTGGAATTTGTTCAAAAACGAATACCAAATGGACCGCGACAACAATTTCAGCATGTGTGAGAAGCGGAAATATTCAGCTGTTGCACGCTATCGGCTAACAGTGTTGGCAATTAAGCTCTTTTAAAGCTAGATAGCTAGAAAATTGTAATTGTCGCTAGGCAGAAATCTGACTAAATCCATGCCACAAATAATATAAAAACAATAAATGAAGAGATATGCTATTAACATCTCAAATATATCTCTCAATATATGTGTAGGTCGAAAAAATAACAAAACAATGTACATTTTATGAATAAATTATAAATTGGTTGCCAAAAAACAGCTATTTTTTCTTTTAAAAAGTTGGCTGCACTCGTTATGGATGGTCTAGCATCACACATATTTTTCTTTTTGCGTTTAAAATGTTTATATTATATTTTAGATAAATAAATTGCTTTTTACATAAATATTTAAATAGATATCAAATAGTTTTGTAAACAGAAAACGACAGGGCAATTTTAAAAAGTGATTTTTGCATGATGTGTCGGACGTAACGTTGCATATAAGCCCATCGCTAATCGATAACGATGTATTTTGTATCGCTTTATATTGCAGCCCTGGAACTGTTGTTGTCATTTCGTTTAGTAAAAAAAATTATTAATTTGCTTAAAATTAAAAAAGAATACAAATTGTTATTGTAGCAAAGGTCACACAAAATAAGGAACACACAAAACTGAACACTCAGACAGGGAAGTGGCATAATTAGCGGCAAGCATATGTAAGAACAAGACGATACCTTTGCCGCCCCCCCAAAACAACACAAAATACATTGCAAAGGGGAAGGTCTAATTGGATTATCAGCGAACAGCGATAAAGAGAGAGAGGACACAACGACGTTTTTTTCCCAATTTACATTGAGTTCTGGCCCAGCAACGTGAACAAACTGGCCACAGCCACAGCCGTCTCAGGGGCAAGGACAGCATATTTACAAGGACAGCGGCGCGGCTGAAAGCCAGAGCCAACATTTCCCTTGGCCCATTCAGCTGGAGGCGGAACCTTGTGGAGCAGCAGGCGGAGGAGCAGCAACCACAACGACGATTCTGGCTCGGTTATGCCCAACGCCTGCCCTGGTACGTGGAAGGAGAAAGACGGCGATACGCGGGGTCGCTACTGCTGTCGAACGATACACTGAGGCTGACCTTCGGCCAACGGCTACTGGCCTACAGTGCTATGTCCCTGCTGGCACTTGCCCAAGCCTCTGCCTCCGCCTCCGCTTCCACCTCCAGCTCCAGCGACACGGAACTCGATGCCCAGGTCGATTTCTCGACCATGCTAACGCACCGCCAGCGCGAGTACAGTGGCTGGTTTGGTTGCGGCAGCAAAATGCAGCCAGAGCCATCGGATCAGGGCTACTATCTCGAGCAGTATGTGCTCGGTGTTCTGGATTTCAGCTCACAGTATGGCATCGAGTACAGCATCTCGTATACGGCGGCCAATGTGGTTGGCAGGCCATCAAAGTTCCCCGCCTACGGCGACTACCCAGAGACCTTCACCATGGTAAGTGCCACACCCACACCATACTCGTTGCATGATGCACTCAAGAGTGTTCTTCACAGCGCACTTACGGCGATTGGTGGCAACGTGCACCATCGGCCACACGGGAGATTCAGCCACAAAATCTACCCAGGCTGGCCACACACGATTACATTGGTAAGTTCTGGCTGAGCGCGCAGGTATGCACAATGTTTGATTACATTTCTGATTGCTGGCTGCAGTGGTGTACTTTGAGGATTATGTGGTGCCCACGGAGGTGGCCATCTTTGAGACATTCAATCCTGGCGCTGTGATACGCATCTGGGCATATGGTTTGACCAAGCACTGGACCTGCCTCTGGGAGGCCTTGGACACCGATCTGGCACCAACGTCACGTAACTCCCGACGCTTTGCGCCGCCGCTACAAAAGACCACCATGATAACAAAGTATGAACCCAAAGCCTGCACTCAATCGTGGGCAGATAATCAACTAACTGCTGTTTTCTTTGTCCACAACCGACAACAGAACCCTGCGCATTGATTTCAACCACAGCCAGCTTAATTACTATACGGAAATCGATGCCATTATGCTGTGCGGACGTACCGTCTCCGGGCGCCTCATTCAAAGCATTCTGGAGGAGCAGGCGCGCGTCTACAAGCCTCTCTCGGCGCTCTCGAAAATGGCCGGCAGTGGGGGACCCATCAGCTGCAAGCTGCGCACGCTGAAATTCAAGCCCAACTGCAGGGAGCATACTGACACCAGCCTGCACGAGTTCATTAGCAATGATCTGGGCAAATTTCTGCTAGACAATCGCCTGGAGGATCCACTGGCAGCAGCAGCAGCAGCCACAGAGAGCAGCCAGATGCCCCTTGGCATGTGTGTGACAGATCTGCCATTTGAGATCATCTTGAAAATACTCAGCTACCTGGACCTACAGTCACTGTTTCGTGTGGGCCGCGTGTCGCGCACGTTCTATGACATATCCACGCATCCACTGCTCTATGCTGAGCTCAACCTGAAGCCCTATTGGCCGGTGGCCAGCTCAGAGCTGTTGTGCACGCTGGCCCGACGTGCCACCATGCTGCGCAAACTGGATCTTTCCTGGTGCGGTGGCTCCAACGAAATCTCACCCACCGAATTCAAAAAGTATGCGGAAAAAGGAAAAATTCTAACTGCCAAATATCATAAAAAATATCATTCCTTTTGTAGATTTCTAACCCAGCGCGGCGATAATCTAACCCACCTGCGGCTAAACTCTTGTAAATTTCTAAACGCCAGCTGCATTGAGAATGTGGGCATAGTCTGTGATAATCTGATTGGTAAGTCTCCGCTAGCTTACCTTCGCTGGATGGACTCCCATCGTTTATACGTTTCGTTCTTTTGCTAGAGTTGAGCCTGCGTAATTGTGCCACTGATCCGCCGCTTTTGAACTTCTCCTGTCTGGCAAATCTCAAGAATTTGGAGCGTCTTGATCTCTTCCAAACGGCCTTCGACACAGAGCTGCTGCTCAGCATGCTCGAGGGCAATCGCAAGCTAAAGCATCTGAATCTAGCCTTTTGCGGTGTGTCTGTCAATATGGACGATGTGGCCGATCATCTGGCCACATATAACACACAGCTCGTATCGCTGGATCTGTGGAAGGCGCACTTTCTGTCGGCCCGTGGTCTCTTGGCCATATCTCGCTGCCGTCAATTGGAGGAGCTCGATTTGGGCTGGTGGTATGTGCTACTGTTAAGCTACTGCCTGTCAGTCTTTTGGCATTCATGTGTTGTATTCCTCCTGTCTTATAGCCTGCGTGAGGCATCGCTGGGAGATGGCTTGTTTCAGCTGCTGTCCAACTGTCCCAAGCTGAGGAAACTGTTTCTGTCGGCGGTGCGTGGCACCACCGAGCGGGATCTCATACACATTGCGACGCTGGGCAAAAATCTGGAGCAATTGGATCTCATGGGCATATTGAATATAACGCACGAACGTGTCTACGAGTGAGTTTTCATATACACTCGACTCGATTCTCCTCTTGAGGCACAAACTTACTGCTGCTCTTTCTTTCAGCATTCTGGTGCATTGCCCCAAGCTGCAGCTGCTGGACTTGAGTTTTTGTGACAACATTATGGAGCGTGATGTGAGTCTAAGCCCTGCATTTGTATCCTCCTCCAGCCTAGAATTGTATTTTCTTTGCTTTGTTGCAGTTTGACGTACTGGCGGAATGGTCCCGTCAGTTTAAGGTGGATATCAAGAGCAGCCGCATCTTCGATACTAGATAGGTGATCACAGGAAAGCAAGTGGACATGCATACCTTGTAGCTATTATCAATAATGGATGTACAGTTTCTATGTGTGTATGTGGCACCTCTCCATCTTTTCTGTTTCTAGTAAAATGTTACCTTTAGATATTGTTTAAAACAAACAAAAAACAAACGAAACCTGTGGAAATTTTTAAAATTGGGGAATATCAAATCAACGCATCTTGTCTACATTAATAGGTAAAAAAAAACATGTCAATCTAAGACAAATTCAATATTAATGGTTCAATGGAGCTTTGAACAACAAATTTAACATCAACTACAGGAAATAAGGTATACAAAAGTCCATACGCAAGCATAAAGTTGGGGTTAAAGGGCTAACTAGCTAGTAATATTAAATCGAATATCAAAATCGAGGAATTTTTTTTTTTTGTTATTTACTGGTTACTGGTTCTCGGTTTCTGAGGTCACTAGACAAAACAAATCAAGTTATTTTTCCAAATATTAACACACATTTCAAATTGACCGCCAAACTCAATTTAGCGCACCAAAAATACTGACATTTTTCGCTCTCAATTCGTGGTGGTTTTTTAAAATTTTCTCTCTTTTCCGAGGTGAAGAGAGCGTTTTCGTGGTGACTTTCCCCCCATTTTCGTGGTGTGGCAGCATGTATCTTACGGTAACGTAGATTCATGGTTGCGACGTTCCCGTAAGATATTATGGACTTGAGATATTGTTTGTAATTTCAGGCTCGAATTATCTAGTAATATTAAACTGAATATCAAAATTGACGAATTTCATATCACAAAATATCATGGTATGGCAGCCCGCAGCAACTACGAATTGCACGAGTCTGGCAGCGCCACAAAACGACGTCACATTCGTTTTATGTTGTTTTTGTTTGAACCTTAATATGAAAATAATCCAATAAAAAGAACTTCTGAAAACTTGCCAATCTTGTAGAAAATTTATGTATCTATCGGATTAAATTATTTGTTTAGGGCTGAGAGTCCCAGCTAGCTGGTAATATTAAGCGGAATATCAAAATCGAGGAATATCAACGCATCCGTCAGTATATTTACGGTATATTTTAACAGTGACAAGGTATATTTCGGTATATTTCTGAGGGTCAGACGGTATTTCAATGATAAGCGGTCACACTGGCTTATTGTTTATTCGTGCACACACGGTCGGCAAATTCGAATAATGTAAAGTTTGTGTTGCAGATAATTCTCCATTCATTCCCCCCTTAATACCAGCCAATTGTGCAAAATTGTCGGGACAACAAGAAATTGAAAATCAAGACGAATCTCTGCCATTTTTTGAAGGCACCGAATCTCCCATACAATCGCAGCACGGCCGTACACACACTCTCACATATAGCAGCGCAGCGTATTGTGTGTAGTTTGTGTTTGAGTTAAAGCTAAAGTGATATTCAGTTTGAAATCTTGGTGGTATAAAGGTGAGCTATTTGCGTATAGTTTTGTGTGTCTTATCTAATTTTGTTTGTAATCCCCTCAAAGCAATTTGCCTTGTATCCCACACACACACACACGCACCAACAGCCCATTGTGTAAATGTGTTGGTTTTTGTGTGTGCTGCTAGCTTGCGTGTGTGTGTGATGCGTGAATCTTGGCTTTGATTTGATACAAAAAAAAAAAATAAAACCAAAAACCCATTTAAATAATTTAAAGGTCAATTCGGGCCAGGCCAGGCTTTTATGCCCATGAGAGTGTTACTTACTAAAACTAGCCTTCCCACTCAATATTAATTAACTGCCAAAATTGTCTTAAAATGTTTAATAGATCTGTGAGTTTTATCTCAATTTCACTTTCGACCCACTTTGGTGGAAAATGTGAAATGGAACTCGTAACAAGGCTAAAGTACGTGTTCTGATTGGGAAATTACCGTTTTTCTTTGTATAATACCAACCACCTTACCTTGCTTTATGTATGTATGTACTGTACACTATTTATAATACTACTATATGTGCTATATGTGTTATGTTTGTGCAGCCATAACTTCTTTCCAACTAATAAACGTAAACGGTTAGCTAGCCCACAGTCCAGTTCAGTAATTGTGAAACCAGATACAAGTGTATGTGCAAATATGTTTGTCAAAAGCGTCAACAGCTCCTCCGATAAGTAAAGAGATCATTTTCATATAAATATTTGTATGTATATCTGTTTGTTACGTTACCCACCCGTAATCGAGCCCAGCCGAACCCAACCGCACATGGGCATAAAAATGTCGAGTAAGATGTTTTTCGTACCACACAAAAATTATGCAAACTCCACAGAAGAAGAAACCAAAAAAAGATCTCCGATTTTTTGGGTTCATTCACTGATAAGCAAAGATATCATGGAATCATGTTTCTCTTGTATGTTTATTTGTATGCGTTTTATTTACCCCGCCCAACTCCAACTCTACTCGACTCCACCCCCCACCCTCCACATATAACTTTCATTTTTGCCGTCCGAGTGCGCTAGTCCTAGATTTCAAAAATTGTAATAAAAACAAAAACATTTTTCTGAATTTCGTGACCGACTTTCAGATGGCGTCGAACGCTTCGAAGAAAAAATCCTCTGGTATGCGCATATTGTGGATACCAGGCAGAAAATCTCACCATCCCAAGGGCCGCCTAAGCACCACCAGTAAGAACGTCTCGTATTCGGGTCCGCAAAAGAAAAGCGAGGTGTGGTCCTTGGGAGGCAGCAAGGCACAGACCGAGCTGATTGACTTGTAAGTAAGAGGCGGCTTTATTTGGAGGAAAATATACAGAAATATAAATGCAAAATGCATGCCATGCCCCACCCCACCCCACCCCACGCCCCCCCATACAGTAGCCCATGGGATACACATTCGAATTATTTGAACTAATAACAATTGTACCTACCCCCATACCATACCATACCTGACACCATGTCTCTAATCACATTGCACACACATATGGCATACGCACTCGCAATTGTTGCAACAGCAGATTCTCTGATCGCATGTATTCGTAATCTTTCAGCCCAATGTCCGAGGGTCTCCCCACAACACCATCATCGTCGCTGAGCATTGTGGCCACTTGCTCACTCGTTCAAAGCGTGAAACACGATCAGCACACTTCCATTGATGATTTAGTTGGACTTTCGGAGACTGCGACATTGCCAGCTTCGCCAGGAGCTGCAGATACACCGCCGCACAGTCCACTCTCTGAGACACCATCGACACCGTCCACAAAAGCCATGACCTCGCCCAATGTTATAACCACAGCTGAAGTGCAGAATTTGGTAAGCTAAACGCTAAAGTTTGTAATGGGCCAGCCATCAATTATAATTTCCCATCTGTTTCGCTCTGTTTGGCAGCACAACTTTGTGAGTCCCGAAGATCTGCCCAAGGTGCCAGGGCATCATTCGGCCACAGCCGAGGCAGAATTGGCACTTAACAGCTCGGCAGGAACGACAGCTTCGATAGCAACGACATCCTCGCCACAGGAAAACCGCAAGGCGGAACCACAGCAAATGCCAGCCACATCGCACTCGCAGCAAACCTCACCCCAAAAAACCAAATACAAGAATCACAATAACAATCAGGTATGCGACTTAAAGTAGCTAAAAAGACTCTTTAAAAATTAACCTTCATAATTGTTGCTACACAGGAGGATATCAATTCAATTGAGAGCATCTCCAGTTTTCCCCGCTTTCAGGGGAATACCACTGATTTCGATTGGATCGATGAGATGGTGCAGCAGCGCAACTGCAATGAACTGATGCACAAGAATAAGCGCAAAAAGGCCTCGAAGAAGGCCACTGAGAGTCTTGAAAAGGATCAGTTGGATGGCAAGACGTACGATTATAAAACCAAGGCCAATATTGATAATAATGATGGTGATGAAAAGATGGTCACATGCCTATACTATTCGCTCATGTGCTGCGACTGTACTATATCATAGATCTAATGAGCGTTCATATACATATTATCCATGTAAAATACCTCTCCAATACCTACCTATGTATAAATTATGTACGTTTTTGATACGATACCTTTTAGTAGTATGTATAATAATTCCTCGAAAACAAAAACAAAAAACCACAAAGGAAGAGACACGACAGACATTTAGCATAGAAACAAAAAACAAAAAAACATTGAACAGCGACATACAGAAGAATAACTGAAGTATTACGAATTTATAATAAACAAAAACAACATTCAAATTTAATACCCGTACTCAATAAATATGAATACGATTGGGTATATCGAAAGAAACAATCTCCGTTTTTTTTAATTATTAAAACTATATTTTGTACTTTTGTAAATAAAGTATTTTCTACAAAATACAACATCAAATATATATGGAATTTTGCTTGTATTATTTAAACGTGCAGATATACTAAAAGGGAAGATAAATCTTGCAGATGGTATCGGCAATAATTGGGCATTGTGTAGAAAACACCTTCTCGTGAAACTATTATGGATACGACGTTCCTTCTAGATTCCTACTATGTGAATGGCCTGCAGTCTATAGCAAGAAACGCCCCAAAGAGCTGCTTAGCACCATTAAAATCCTAAGCATCTTCCACATAATCATACTGGCTAGTAAACATTTCCATATATGAGGGATGCAATAATTTAATCAAAATAATAATATAAACTTTACAACTATTATTTTCGTCTGTCGTTGACTGCCATCGCAGCTCAATATGCTTTGAATATTCCACATATTTCTTAATTTCATAGTTTGTTGTAGTCTTTGTTTAAAGCCCAATTTAATCTTCTACTCAATCGTTTCGTTTCCTTTAGCATGTATCCTTTCGTTTATGGCAAATTTAAGCAGCAATTCAATATTATTCGAGGGCATTTACATCATTATACAAAGCATTCCATAGCAATGACTGACTGCTGGCCACATTTTTTGGTTAACTTTTGGTCTTGTTTTATGACCAGTTTAGATCGTAATGAAAACCAGTTTGAAAGCCACAGCCAAATTTAAAATTTGGTTGATCTTATTTCGAATTAAACAAAAAAAAAAAAAGAAAAAAAAAAAACAAGGTGCGTGCGAGCTATACAAACAAGATTCGCGAAGGTAAGGCAAAGAGAAAGTCTAGGTATTTCTGGTGACGTGACTTTGATAGCAAAGGAGATAATCTACAATTGAATCGAATGAACCCCCCCCCGATCACAATGCCGAAGATGCTGAAAGAAGGAAGGGCAACGACACGACAATTGGTTTTTTCAACTTGACATAACATTTTTCATAAAAATTTAATACAAACATTAAATTTACAAATATATATATAAAAACAATTCACAATCACATATAAATTTTTTATCATTTTTTGTTTTTTTTTTTGTTTTGTTTTTCTGGATGTTAAATATTTCGATTTCGCTATATTACCTCCAAAGTAAGGTTTGTTTTTTTGTTTTTTGTTAAAATTTACTAGTCCAGAGGGAGAGAGAGAGAGAAAGAGGGAGCGCGCAAGAGAAATCCAAGAGAAAATCGCGTTGTCAATTGCGGGTTCAATCAATCAATCAATCAATCAGCTAAGGATATTATTGCTACAGCTTGGAGTTGCTGCTGCTGCTGCTGTTGCTGTTGCTGTTGCCGGATCTCTAAACGTGTTGTTGGACATAATATCATCTGGTTCTCCTCCATTTCTATTTCCATTTCCATTGCCGTATTCATTGCAACTTCTTCTCTTTGGGGCGGTGGCGGTGGCGCCTCCTCCCTTGCAATGAAACTCAATCGCATCAATATCTTTTGTACTCTCAATGTAAAATTCGTTCCCATGTATTGTGCCTTTGGGGTCATAAACGATCCGCTTCACCTCTGCCGTTACATCCAACATATCATCCTCCGTATTATCAGCATCATCCTCCTCATCGGTGTCATCGTCCTCGCCCACATTAAATATAAATCTTGCCTCATTACTCGTCTTTGTGGCTGAGGCATTGTTCTTGCGACGACCGCCCCCCGACGACTTGCTGGCTATCTTTCTGTATCTTACAGAATTTCTCGTTACATGGTTGCTGTTGCGCTGCAGAATGAACGAACGAAAATTAATTTACCAAAGCAACAATGATTCATCGATTTCTGTTTACCTGTAGAACAGCAAAAATAATGGAAAATATGGTGATAATCAACAGACAAATGGCCACTGCAATGGCCGTGATGGCTGTCAAAGGAGAGTCCAGCCGCACAAGGAACTCATTGCCATTGCCCTCACTGCCGCCAAGCTGGGCATCAGCTTCGGCATCGCCGCCGCTTTTGTACATGCTGCCACTGCCAATGACTGTGCGCCGTTTGCCGCCCGTAGAGGTAGCTTTGCATTCACCTGCAGGCCAAAACGAATAGGACTCGAGAATTATGAGATTTTAATCTGATTGTTTGGCTGATGGTTACCCGTGTCCTTGTCGCAATGGCAACATTCGGCTGATATTGTGGTGTCGTTTGTGCTGGTTTGATTCTGCTTACAGCATGGCACACACTGGCTGTTCAACTGATCCAAGTGGAGGGGCGGTGCGCAGTTCTTGCACGAATACTGGCCGGGGCCCAGGCAGGAGCGGCACGAATCGTGGCAACTCTTGCATGTGGATGTCGTAATGTCGTAGTACTGTGAGCTAAGGCACTCCATGCACAGTCCTCCATCGAGCATAAAGTGTGGCGGGCACGAGGAGCAGGCCAAAGGACCGGCATCTGCGAACAAACAATTTATCAACAAAATGTTCCAGAGGAGAACAGAATTTTCCATTGCACTTACCATTGCATGTCTTGCAATAATGATGGCACTTCTGGCAGCCAAAGTCCGACTTGTAGAAGCCCTCGGGACACTCTGGATGGCATTCGCCGGCTGCCAGCTGCCAGCCGACTGGGCACTGGACGCACTGGTTGCGCCGTGGTCCGCTGCATGTGTGACAGCTGAGATAGCACTTGGCACAGATGCCCCGATCGCTATAGTAGCTGTAACAGATGCATAAAATGTTTAATAAGCGAAATGGAATGCATTAAATAAACAATAAAAACATTAAATATTTACCCATTGGCACAGGTGGTGCGGCATTCGCCATTCTGCAGTTCGAGGCCCTTGGAGCAGTTGCTGCAATTGGTGCGTGATATGCACTGGCTGCAGGTGTGCAGGCAGGGCGAACAGACGCCCGTCTCCATGAAGAACCCATCCTGACAGCCGCTCACGCATCGGCTCAGCTCCAGCAATCGATTGGCTGGGCAGGACATGCAGTTCGTATCGAGAGCACCATTACAGCTCTCGCAGGAGGCATGACAGGAACGGCACTGGCCCTCAATCTGACTAAAGAATTCGGCTGCAAGGGATCGAGACGACAAAATTAATTTAAAAAAGTGAAGAAAGATAAAGGAAAGCTATCATATATTTTGACATACATTCATTGCAGGCCTCACTACCGGCCACAATGCATTTGTCCTTCTTGTTCAGCGACCAATTTGGAAGGCACTCGGAGCATATGCCATTGCTGGTGCAGGTCTTGCAGCCATCCTGGCAGGGCATGCACTCCAGCCGCTTCTTGTCCGCATAAAATGCATCCGGACAGCTATTAAGGCATTGGTTTTGCCAGGCATAACGACCTGGTCGACATGTGATGCAGTGCTGGTCCGTTGGGCCATTACATGTACCGCATGTCGTGTGGCAAAAGGCACATCTATGGGGCATAGGCAATCGGGAATAGCGGGGTTAAAATTTATATTTCAAGGAGCCTGGCCGCCGCTACTTACTTGTTATCCTCCGTTTCGTATGTATCCAGGGACAGGCAGAGTAGCATTTATTCTCATGCATCACTAGATGATGGTCACAGCTGGTGCAATACTCGGGATGGTCCTGGCAGGAGGCACAGTTTGGTTCGCACGGAGCGCACGTTCGATTTCTGCTATCTGTTTCGGAGGAAAATGTACAGAACACACAAGGTCAGAGTTTTCATGGAATTTTTTGAGAGTTCTGTCGCGTCTTTGATGGGAGCTTTGCTGCTAAGCCACACTGGAACAGAGGGGTAGAGCGAGAGAGAGGTTCTAGCAGCATTTGGCAGCTTTTTCTTTTGCATATAAATAGAAGACTATATGGACTGTGTTTATAGCCCTTTGAATTATACAACCAAACTCTTTTTCATGCCAGCAAAGAAGCAGGAAAAGAAAAGAGATGGCTATACTAAAGCATCCTCCTCTCTCCTCTCTCTTCTGTCTGTCTTCTTTCAGCTCTGGGTATTGGTATTACTTTGGCTTTAAAAAACAATGCACAAAATGATTCAATTACGAGTATAAACGAATTACAGCTTCAATTGCACTTTTGACTTTTGAATTGAATGATGGATGTCTGGTGGGAAATTAAACATCAATTTGTGTGGCTTCAATTATTTGTTCATACACTTTTGATTGGACAGATCACCCCTCCAATCATAATTGATCCCCACAATTTACCCCACAAGATGTTCTTTTCTTTTCCTTACTTTCAAAATAACCATCTGGACAGACTTGCAGACAGACAGCCAGATCGATCACATGCAGATGGGCTGGGGCACAGGTGAGGCAGCTGTCGGGTCCGGCGCCAGCGCAGGTCTCGCAGGAGTCGTGGCAGGGCCAACAGATGCCCACTTGATTGGGAAAAGATCTAGGCGGACAACGACTCACGCAGGTGCTGTAAATAGAACAAAAATAATTTTAATTAAATTAAATATACTTTTAGTACGATTTTGCGGCTGCGGCTGCTGCTTGCTTACTTGTCCAAACGATAATGACTGCAGGCCACACACTGTGTGGGTCCACGGCCATAGCAGCCCAGGGAATCGCATTCGGCATCGCAGGAGTACAGCACAATCTTGCTGGCATCGCCTGGCACTCCCTTCAGCTGGGCGGCCGTGACATTCTGTCCATCTAGCGTTGCGGTGGCCGGCTCTGGGTCCGATCCGGCACTGGTGAATATATTCTGATAGTTGAGATAGCCGGCAAAGCTGTCGGTGTTGTAGTTGCCGCCCTCATTGGCCGGCTGGCCGATATTCGAGGCGGATGGAAAGAGAAACGGATTGGCGCCCCCAATGGGGCTACGCATCTGTGGATTGCCATTCAGCAGCTCCGACTTGAGACGCATGGGCTGATTGGATGTGCCATAGAAGATCAGCTGCCACTTGGATAGTATGCCCGGCTGATTGACCCTACGACGGCCCGCGTTAATCACCTGCAAGGTCCAACGTCCCTCGGCCTTTTCGCCCCAATAATGCACGCTGAGAAATGGCCAATCGTCAAAGTTTGACTTGACAATGTCCCGCGGTCGCTCAAACAGCAAAGTGCTCGTTGTGCCCATGGGCGAAGTCAATAGAATCCTTAGATTTCCTCGCGGAAAGAAGCGCAGGGTAATGCGACACTGGACATGCTCCAGATACCGCACCTCATTGATCGTTCCCGCACAGCCATTCACATCCATGTGCGTGGGCAAGGTGAAGCCAAAGGAGCCCTCGATGCGTAGATCCTCGTTATTCTCGCGCGACTTGCATATATGCTGCGGCGGCACTGAGGTCCACTGCTCTGCCAATGTGACCATGGCGCCGGCATCCATCAGTCCGTAGCCAAATTTGTGACTGTATTTCCGCTTCACGCCATTCAGGGTCCAGCCGCCCTCCTTCTCCAGCGGTGAGGGTCGCGACGTATACACCACCAGGTACTGCATATCCCGCCAGGTGAGATCTGGATTTGCCTCCAGTGCGAGTGCACAAATCCCAGCTGCCAGCGGTGCTGAAGCCGAGGTGCCCGTATGCTCAACTGTGCAAATATGATCGGGTCGCAAACGTCCATCCATATCGACGGTGGCCACACTCTTGTCATGGCCGGGCGTACCCGAGCTGTAGGTGGTGGCCAGCGTTGAGGAGCATTCCTCCAAGTACCAGGGCTTGAAGCCCGCCTGCGTGGCACTCGAGATGGAGAGGGTGAAGATCGAATTGGTGTAGCCATCGCAGTTGCACGAATCGGTGTAGCGGCCACCGTTGCCCGAGGCCCAAACGAATATGGAGCCGCGTCCCTGCCGTCCGCTGGTCACGCCATAAATGAAGGCGCGACGAGCCAACGGGCCAGGTCCATCCACCGTTGAGCCATCATCCTCGGGGCCCCACGAGGCACTGTAAATATCAATGTGCGAGGGATTCAAACTCAAGGCCTGCGCCTCCACCACATCATTGACTTTGCCATCGAGCATGCGCACACCTAAAGAGCAAGCACAAAGCGTGGAGTACAATAAGCCAGAAGGATCTCAATGATGTACTCACCACCAATGCTGGCATTGTAGGCCACACCCACGCCGCAGTAATTGTTAAAGGCGACGGCTGCCACTTCGCCGGCACAGCGTGTGCCATGCTTATTGTCGCCATTATCCTGCGGCGTGGGATCCGAGTCATTGCCATTGATATCGAATGAGGCATCGGGATCCTGCAAAATACAAAATTCCATGCCATTAGAGTAGAGCATAAATATTTACATGGCATATTATTATTAGCATATTTACATAATTCTGGGCCAGATCTGGATGATTTGTTTGGATGCCATCGTCCAGTATGGACACGACAACACCCTTTCCGGTGTAACCCTTTTGCCAGGCAGGTCCCACATTCATATCCAGGCCATCTTTGGCACCGCCATTCTGTTAGGAAGCGGAAACAATACAAAAAAAAAAAAAACAGAAATAAAACCGCAATTAGATTAGTGGAATTTTTGTTGGTGGATTAAAATTTTAAAACCATCTCACATCTCTAGGATATACTCGTATGCATAACGGAAAAATACAACAAGGGAACAGAATCAGTGTTTGAAATAAGCTACAAATAACTGGCATGCAGCTGTGGCTTCCTTTTCTGCAAAATGTCAGTAAATAGTTGCAGCAGCAGACAGCCAGCCAGCCAGCCAGCAGGCCAGCCAGCAACAAGAAACGAACAAGTGACAGAAGTATTGCTGTTCTTTTTTGCCTTTGGCGCGACTTTTTTAATACCCTCCTGGATCTGGCACTCATATAATATTTATTTTTTTATTTGTATGCACCTGTTTTCTTTGCGTAGGCCATCCTTATTATTTATCATAACACAGAGGGACAAAATAAAAACCTTTGAATGTATTTTGCAAAATAAAAAAATGTTGCTTAGCTTAAATTCAATGGAGCCGACCCCAGGCCTACAAAATATTTTTAATATCGTGCAAAATTTATGCACTAATGTAATTTAAATATATTTGAATTTAATACAAATTATTAGATTTATTTCAGCGTTAAAATGGAGGGTAGGGTATTAAATAGGTCGACAGCAGGCGACTTCCGTCACAACTGCGGCTATAGCTTGCTTTTTTATATTTCTTCTTGCTGTCTGCAGCTGATACTTTTCAGGAAGTTTAAGCCACAGCAGCTGTTCAGAGGAAGCGCAAGAGCTGCCACTAACTTCTACTAATTCGAATGTAAGTTTATCAAGCACTGATTCTAAGAGATCTACGCTTTGGTTAGAGCAACATGTACAAATACATCTATATCTACTCGTACCAAAGGAATAAAATATATATCTGAGGGGTGGGGAGGGTACAAACAAACATTTAACAACAACAACAAAACATGGCATGCATTTTGAAGTGAGAGAATATGGATTTTACATACTTTACTCACCAGATACCACTGCTCCTTGAACAAGGGATCCGGAAATATGGAATGCGAGCTAACATCACGATACTCCAGGCGTGGCGAATGCGTGGATAGATGCGGCTCTGGGGAGTATGGAGAAAGATGCGATTCGTCGTGTGCATAGTCGCTGGATGGACGCAAAACATTATACGGACTGTAGGTGGGCAGATCCTGATAGGGACCATCGCGCTTTCGTCGTACTTTCTCATGTTGCTGCTGCAGCCACTTAACCTATCAAAGAAAATAATCCAAAATGGGTTTACATTTTCGTCCTTTAAGCAAGGGAAAATCAATGTGAATGTCCTGTGTATGTACCTCATTCTCGGATCTTAGATCACTCTGATGCTTGTGACTGGAACGCAATGAACGCTTCGAGACGCGATGATGATGGAAGACATAATAATCGTCGAGTGCTCCAATCTGCACAGCAAGAGAGTGACAGAGTGATAATAAAATGTGGGTTTAGCTGCTAGCAGGCGCCACCGAGTCGTCAACATACCTGACCCCGATTCACGAAGCCATACTTGTCCGCAATGGCATCGGCCACATATTTGCCAGCCGGAATGTGTACGGCAAACTCATTTGTGTAGATTGCCTCCTCCGGAATACTGTAGGGGCCAAACACATCGTTCTCATTGAGGAGATGCTGCTGCTGCTGCTGCTGTTCCAGCTGCTGCTGCTCGTGTTCACTGGCATTTAAATGAGTATTACTTATGACCTGCAAGTTCTCTGCTAGGTCCGAGACAGAGTCAAAGTCAGGGTGAGTGTTGAACCTCGCGGCGTTGGCCTTGTGGTAAGTGGTTTGGGTTTGAGTGGACAAATTAACAGCCGCCGCATTGCTCTCGTTCTGGCTGCTACTGCTGCTGCTGCTGCTGCTGCTGCTACTGCTGCTGTTGAGTATTCTTCGTGCTGCATTAATTTGTTGCTGTTGTTGAGTTTCGTTTACGCTTACGCTTTCGCTATATCGATGAGCACTACTAGTGTTTCGGCTTAGGACTACTAAAACTAATAAAAAATATATACAGCTCTGTGCCATTCGATTAAATGTACATAAATAGACTCTATTGAGTTTTGCATATGCTGCTGCTGCTGGTGGAGGATGCGTGGGAGAAGGAGCTCTGCTGCTGCTGCTGCTGCTGCTGCTGCTCCTAGTCTTTGTTGTTGCTGTTGCTTTCGGTAGCGTTTGTTTGCAGTGCTTTCGATATGCGGGCTCTCTGGCAGGACTCTCTCTTCTGCCCTGCTCCTGTATGATTGGGAGGATGTTTCTTGTTGTTGTTGTTCTGCCTCCTATATCATGCATTATAAAACTATCGTTCCAGCCGAAGGAGCGGAGCGGGTGATTTTTTTTTTTTTTTTTGGGGTTTTTATTAGGGTAGTTTTATTCTCCTGAAGTGTCCTTTTGCAGCGTGTCGTCCGTGTCCGTGTTCCTTTCTTGTGTCCGTACTCATGTATCTACTATTTGTGGGCTCTGGTGTCTGGTGTATCTGCAAATAGAATAGAAATAAACGCAGGAGTGAGCCTTAATCGTAATCTTAGTCCATCCATTATTATTCTGTGCTTTAAACTGCAAGAAACGTGCAACGTGGGCGGGCGTCTGTCTGAGTGGGAGTCGCACATCTCTGCTGAGCTGATTCATGACCCCCGGGAGTGATGATAAAACGTTTCAGTTGCAGTTTTTTCTTTCGTTTTTTTTTATTTTGTTTATCAGTTTTCACCACGAAGGTGATTCCCATTGAGTGAAGCTCTCGAATATATGTACATAGTAAATATATATTTATTCTCTCTCTGTCTTTGGTGATGCAACAGAACCGCAGCAGCAGTCTGATGGGGAGGCTTATAAACAATGACTAAGCATAGTCATGTCTGAATATCATTAATTTAATATGTAGTATACCCTGGAAATATTTCATTTTGTACACAGAGGAGCTACAGCGCTATACCCAAAAGCCTTTCTCTCGCTCAAGCCCCCTCCCGATCCCTATGCCTGGCAAACGTATAAATTACGAGTGCACGAGTGTGGGACTTCTATTCGATTATTCAGAATATGTGCAACATGTAAAGCCCTGGGTACAATGCTTGCGCATGCCACTGCCACAGAGAGTACTTGTAGATTATATATGTATGTATGTACATACATATGTGAAAGGAGAAGTAGCGAGGAATCAAAATACGAAGAAGAACTGACATAACCATTTTGATTTCCATTCCCCCATTCCTTATGCGATTGTGCACGTCCCGTTTGGGGTTTTTTTGTTGCTTTTGTTGTTGTTTTTGTTTTGGGATTGTACACAGAGCGAGTGACAGAGAGAGAAAGATTTGATACATACGGTACGGTACATATGTACGTGCCCCTCTGATGCACATGACGGATGGACGGTATTTATTACCGATAAATTGGTGGTACCGTAAATTTTTGGTACTACCGCTGGCACGTAGATATGTATTGGTACTACGGTACAGTGAGATTTATGTGACCAAAAGTTTATGCATGTAGAGCGTGGGAGGAAGAGGAGGCGCAGCAAGTGCAGACAGGCATATCCGCATGCACCAATGGCCAAGAGGAAAGGAGAAACAGCGACGACGACGACGACGAGGAGGAGACGACTCTTTAACAATATAACAATCCCCACCGCATATTGATTCCGGTTTCTGTTTCACTGTGCCATTTCGCGTTTTATACAACATACAGCTCAACTTCTAGTTTTGCGAGTGGTGGTGGTATGTACATACATCTATGTATGTATGTACGTACATAGTATGTATCATTTGTTTGTATAATACACAGATTTTTTTTATTTTTTCACACACAGACACACAGATTTCGCACTAATTGTGCTGCAACAACAATGACACCTTTTTTTTGTTGGTTGTGGGTGTAAGTATGGGTGTAAATTTGATAGTGTGTGACGGCGGCGGCTCAAACACACACACACAGTCACAGACAAGTACGTAAGAGTTGGCATTTCGTACATACATACATGCATATATGAATGCACGTAATGCATAGACAACATTCAAATTTTTGTATACATCAAAGTGCATCAGAAACAACAAAAAAAACTGAACCCGTTTTTTCGTATGGATGGATGGATTATAAGTATTACTCGGTCACATTTTGGGTAAATACATAAATCACAGCCACAGTTTTTGGCACGGGACTGGCTGGTTGGGATGACTGACTGTTGACGTCTAAGGGCGCGGATAGGAGGCGCTCTACGCTTTATCAACACACAGCTAAATCCGAAACAACTGAGAGACTGAGACGCTGATACACTGATTACGAGGAGACCCCCAATGAGAACGCGTGCTTACCATGCGTACATATAGGAACTAGCCGAACGGACCCGACCCGACCATTACGAACAAACGACGACGACTGCGCTGCGCTCCAGCTTAAACTGAACTTTATTTTGAAGTTAATACTCGTACATACATACAGAGCCAGAGCCCCGAGCCACTGCCGCCAGACGCTAGCCTGACCGTGCTGTGCTGTGCCTGTGTTGTTGGTTGGTTGTTTCTTTCTTTCTCGCTGGATTTTGTGCTAACCGCATATACATACATACAAACACACAATCGCACACTCTTGGCTTACATATAGACATTCGTACATTCGCTTTGCCGCCTTGTCTCTGCATATACATACACTCGCACTTACATACATATGTATGTATTTGCGTGTCTCTCCAGTTGAGTCTCACGAAAGCACAGCTTTAGGAGCTTTCAAAACAAAATGAAATGCAAAACATAACACGCAACGGTGCTGTAACAAAACTAATTAGTATTACGTACGTATGTATGTTTGTATGTGTGTGTGGGGGTGAAGCGACACCACATACATACATACATACACGCTCAAGACGTGTTTCATATGCAATCCGTACATACAAACAATCAGACAAGGTATATTAAGCAAAGGGTAAGACAGTCCAGGAGAGAGTTGACAAGGATTCGATGATGACTCATCCATATGTGGATGGCTCACAAAATAGGCTATTCGTGGCCGGGCATGTCCTACCTTCCATCGAATATACCCTGCATATGAAGATGTATGCTTGGGGTCCATACATACCCTACACTTATGCATACATATATGAACACTGTATAGCTGTGTGTGTGCTGACATTCAACCAAGAGATAGCGGTAGCGTCCAACATCGCGCAAGGTTTTTTGGTTATTTTTCTGTTTTTCAGAGAAGATTAGCGTTTGCGAGCTAAATTTGCTAGTTTTTTTTTTTGTTATTTTTCTCTTCGTATATGCACACGAAATAATTATTCCACTGTGTTTAGTTTTTGGTAAATCCAATGGTATTTATATGGGTATGTATGTATGTACATATGTATGTATCTGCAAGCGAAGGTAAGCGCTGCTTCACATCATATGAACATGCATACATACGTACGTACATACATACGTTCGTAGTTAGGACAGGTTATGGTTTGCTTTTAATGAGAATGAATAAACCAAGCATATGTACACACATATATTTGAGTTCTCAAAGTTAACAATGCACTTAAAAAAGTACACCAAAATTCTTTGTCCATTAAAGTACTCAGTCCAAAAATTTGTCATGGTCACAACTGTTTGTTTTGCCACAGAAATGATTAACATTTGGTTCTAGTAAAAAATCTGAATAAGCAAGAAGTGAAAGCGAAAGAAACGCTCTTATTCTATGAATGCAATTCGTAGTGAAAAGTCACACGAAACAACGACAGCGTCTAAAAGAGTTTGTTTTGATTATTTTAGGAAACAAAAAGTTAATTGTTTTTCCACAGTTTATTAGGTTCTATTGATGCTGATCCTGGGTTTCAAAATCCTTTCTTCTTTGGTTATCGAAACAGCTTCGCTTAATCATAATATCAGCGGCAAAAGTTACTAAGTTGCTACAATCTATTTATATCCCTTTAGGATCACAGCTTCCACGTATTGTTGATCTTTCATTAGGCAAAAATAAACAATAAATGTGTGAAACACCTAAGAGCCATGTCGTACTTGGCTGGGCTGACCAAAGTTTAATTAAATGGCTAAGTGGCAGGAAAGTGCCTAACTAATTCTGGAAAAGTTCTTACCCCCACCCTGGCTACACAACGATCAGCAACTAGCTGTTTAATCATTTACTCATCAGCAGTCACAGTTACAGCTGTGATATTCAACAGTCAGTCACGGTCGCGTGCGCATGCGTCTGGTCCAATAGGTGGGTGGATGAGCGAGAGTGTGTGAGAGAGAGAGAGAGACAAATGGCAAACAACACACACAAAAAAGCACAGCATCCGTGGATGTACGGGGATATCCATGTACATACATAGATTGTTTGTATATGTGTGTTGTATTGGCGAATGCAGGCCCGTTTTTTACGCTATATTACGTCACATTTGTGAACCGAGTTTTATTTTATATGGGCAACACTAGCTGTTGGTGCTGTTTGCAGACACACATATCTTATTACATACACTGCATCGGCAGTCCGGTGCCGGCTTACGCTGTGCGGTCAGTGGCTCAAAGCACGCCAATAGCGCTATTTTTGTGCCGGGTCTACCTATGAGTATGTACAAGTACTCGTACATACATGCATACCATATGTATGGATTGTACATACCTGTATGTATTTTGGATATCGCACTTTTTCCATACTGAACTAATTTAAGCAAGCATATACATATCTACATATATGTATGTATGTATTTTTGTATGCAGTGTGGGAAGGGGGCTTTGCAGATGTTTTTTTTTTATACCCGGCACTCGGCGGCGTAGAGTTCAAGGGTATATTGTATTCATGTAGGTGTACGTAACAGATAGATATATGCAGAGAGAGAGAGAGAGAGTGAGAGACAGAGAGAGCTGAGCTTTTTCCCAGTATCAGATTATGGTAATTCTTGATCTGGATCAACAACCTTAATTGCTTTTTATGGCTGCTGGCACTTCTCTTACTATTATTTTGCCCAAGCCTTTTTTCTAATTTAGTCTAAAGTCTTGGCAACAAAACCATTACAGGTATTTCTTTTGTGGAGATTTCGGGCACTGCAGGGATTTTTGTTATTATTATGACAGCTGCACATTTATTTTTACACGGAACAAATTGCCAATAAATTTATTGGCTAAAAAACCCCCTTATCACAGCTAAGCTAACAGCTAACTATTTCGTGGTCATCCTGCCAAACGGGTCGCCAACTGACAAATAGACCAAAAAAAAAAAAAAATGCCGGACAACGGGTAAAGTGGTCAAACGACAGTTTCTCACCATCAAAATAAAAATACGTTGATAGAATAGCAATTATTTTGGCACCAGTCTCGATTTTCAATACAACACAATATAGTAGGTATATAAGGCCGGGAACCGCTTTCTCATTTAGTTTCAATCGAATATTATGTGTATTTTAATAAACCTTAGTGGACGGAGAAGCACTTTCATCGGTTCACGAACAGAGTCTTTCATTTATTGCATTTTTGCATTTTAACTTATTACGGATGGATTATAAGATGCTTTTTAGGGAGTGTGTGTATTGTGTGGTGCAATTAAATTGAAGTTATTTTTGTATACCATATTCGGTTTATTGGAATGTTCACCGATATATGATACCCACTAAACTAGATACTTTTATGGCGCAAAGAAACCAAAGAAATATTTATAATTATATCATGCTATAATATTATATCATGTGTCGCTTAAATGCATTGCTGAAAGTTGAACATCGTTTGTCACTTTCAGTAACCATTTGTCCCCCCGCTCCGTTTCCAATTTGAAGAACTCCGCTGTGGCCAAGTGCATCGTGAGGTAATTGTTGTTAAAACCTTTTCAGGAATAGTAATCTTTCTTCTATTGGACAAACTGTTCAAGAGTGGTATTGGTCGCCAGTGGCCTCAAATAAAGTCGTCTTTCCAAGTAGAATCGTCAGATTTCCAAAGAGATGAAAACCAGCGTAGTGACTATCGAATCATATGAAAGTTATTTTATAGCTTATAGACAGAGGTGGAATGTAAATGGTACATAAATATTTATATCCAGCGATGGGCAGGGGTATTCTCGGGTATTCTCTTTTCAAGAATTTCGCTTGTGCATCTCGAGTCGAGTTTCAATGTGCTTCTGTACTTTACCTTAGCAATTCTCAGTCATTCTTTTTTGCAGCATTCGCTTGTGCGTGTCGAGCATCAATGTGCCGTGTCATATAGAAGCGATGGGAGCAAGGACGTCGTGTCCTAGACGACTGTTCTCATGCGATACAAGTACTTAATGCTACCAATTATCAAATAAAAACATATGCAGAGTTTTTTTTTTTTGTCTTTGTCAAGTATCTAATCAGTTCTTTAATGAAACATGGCGCTGCAATTGACATTTTCATGTTGCAGCTGCCGTAAAAATGTTGAACAAATGTATTCCAAAATAGATAAGCCGCCTTGCCATCCAGTTCCCAATGTTGATGCTGCCGTGTGGTGACGTCTGAGGGATGATGATATTTTCGCGGGTGCTCCTGCAAACATAAAGTGGATTAGACATGGTGTCTTTTGATGTCCGGCTACAAAAGTGGCAGCTCATTGGAATGGGATTGGCCGCAAAATAACGAAAAATATCGGCAGTAAGTAACGTTATTCGGTCGATAGAACAATTATGTATAATTTTAAAGAAGCAGCACTCTAAAGCACAGAGCTGCCAATATACATTTGAAGCATAGATTACCTGATATATATTTAAGCATTTTGCTGACCAACAGACCAACAGAGACTGCGGCTCTTAAGAAGGAGCGCTGGCGCTCAGGTTACCCCACATCCAATACGGAATTCTATTCCGGAGACAAGCATCATCCAATAAATGAATGGAATTTTCGGTTCGTTCATATCACACAGAACCAGATCAGATCAGATCTTGTAGTTCGCGAATGCGTATACTCGTACTATGAAGCCCATCAAAGGCGTACCGTACCGCCTTGTTCCAAGTCTTTCGCCCGAAGTCGAAGACACAGCATACTCATACAATATATATGATATGGTAGTACCCGCAAAATAATCTTTAGTTTAGTTTGGGGTACTACCTATCCTTCCTTACAAAAATTTCGACATCATTAAAAAACTTTGTTAGAGGGGAAACATTGTTGAAGGGATTGTTGTGATGATCTCGCATTCAGAGTCGGAGTCAAGACACAGTTTAAGCAATAAAATTCAAATATATAAAAATCGAATAACATCAAAATGTGATCTTCTGCCGAAACATGCGGCTCTGATTTGTGGGGCATGCAATGGTACATATACAAAAATATTTTTGGAGTCGAAACCAATGGAAGAAGCCCCAAGGGTAGCACTCAAATGGAATCGTTGATTGCCACAATCAAAACAGTTAAGAAGGGATTTTTGTGGATACTGGAGTGGTATAAGTACATGGTATATGTTTCAACCATTACAAGATCCAATTTAGATTCAAGTTAATCGGAAAAAAAAACAATTAACGCCAGATAGTGAGTGGGGGAGTATGGCTATTAAACGGTGATATACTAATAGTTTATCCATTTTAAAAACATTGCAGATCTTCACTGTAGATCGTTGATCCAGTGGTCGGAACACCAATACAATAACATTTTATCCGTTTAGTTGAATCTGATTACTCAGGTTTATTTTTCGTGGCGGTTCCACAGGTAGGGATTGCGATCATAATATATATTTCTGATATAATGTGTGTAGACAAGTAGGTTTTCTTGTCTGCTGCTAGACTTACAGCATCAGCTTTAAACTTTACTATCCTCAAGAGATAGGGCCTTGCCGTAGCAGACCACTGCTAATGGTAATACAAATTATAGTTAGACAGTTGCTGAAGTGTTAACCCCTTATATTCCGAACGATTGAATTTTTTTTAAAGTCATTTTCAGCTTGTTGTTGAAGAAAATTTCCTTTGATTGTATTGCAACTCATTCCCACTTCGTAGCCCGACTTTCAAAACAATTATTTTGATAGCAATATGTGTACAAGATCAATTATAAACCATAAAATGTGGTGTGACAATGTGTACCATTCCAACGTTCTTTTGTTGCATGCAAAATTGTTTGCTTTGCAATTCTTCACGTACTTCACTAAACAAAAATCATCTGGAAAAGAAAGCGTTAATGGGGGAAAAATATTTATGTTCATATAGCTGTTGGGAATTTTTGGTTTTGTTAATGTTATTAAAATTTTCACAAGGGCTGGGCATTACCTTTTCCCACTCGCCGCCAATGGATACGTATACGACGTCCTTCTCCTCGAAGAGCATTTATCTTGCATGAATAATTCAGCAAAGAGAATTTCACAAATGCATTCCTTGGGGGCATCGCATATTCCCAGTAGTATTTGCATACCCAATCAATATTTTTCCTTTCATTTAATTTCGTCATCGTCTTTGCAGACTTATGTGACAACCATCTACGTAGATTTGTAGATACATATATCTTCCGACTTGTGCAAAAAATTTATTGTGATACCCTTTTGATTTGAAAAAAAAAAACAGCCCATATCGCCAAGTACACGACTTGTGTTTTGATTTTGGATACGAGCCTCGATCCCAGTTTCAAGTCGAACATCAATGGAACGCGTCATGGACACGACTTGAATTGTGTTTTGGTATTCTCTGGCATTCTCTTTTGCACTTTTATCTTGTGCGTCTGAATGGCATCGGTTGTCAAAATTGTAAGAGAGAATTTGGAGTGACATTCTTTTGATTGATAACTTCCTTTTAGGATAAGTTAATTTAACAAGTAATAAGTTCCCAAAAAGCATTAATAAGAGGCACTAGATGAAAGTATTTCCCCATTATACAAGACCCCAAAAATAAAAGTAAGCTTAAAATTCTCAAAAATTTTGGTATTGGTAGCAGAAGGCAGAATACAGTCTTGCAGACATTGCATCTTTAAAATCTATTTAGCTATACAAGAAATTCCTTGAAATTGTATTCTCTTATACAAAATTGCCCAAGAAATATTTTGTCTTTAATCCATCTGAACTGATCTCCCTCAAGGTAAATTTGCAATTAGCACCCAAAGGTCCCTAAAGAAAAATTTGCGTATTCCATACATATGGGGCATTTCCAATCTGGAGCGTGACATGACGCTCGTACGAAAACATAAATAAGTATTATTTTGTTTTTTGATTTGCATAGTAATTAAGTGGCCATATATTCACTAAATAAGTGACTATAATCGATGATAAGGTTTTAGAGAGTAAGTTAATTTAATAAGAGTATTTAATGGAAAAACTACCAGTTTTTTTTAATCAGCCGAAGTATCTGGTTAAAAATATAATGTTAACCGAGATTGGGAAATTTTTCTGGGATGTAAGAAAGATGAATCAACTTTCCTACAGGAGATAATTATAATACCAAGCATTCGTGGGATCGAACCACCATCAAATTCTCTAATCGAATATAAATTTCCCATATCATCATGCGCGCGACATGTAATGTGTTTTGTTTTTGTAATTCTCGGGCATTCTCTTTAACACTTTTCGATTGTGCATCGATGGTCCAAGATACTGATTTTAATAGGTTTTACATAAAGATGAATGTCAATTTTTTAAATTGTATAAGTCTTAAAATTTTTTTACAAATAATGTCGGTACAGAATGAGATACGAGTTTATTTGTACTTTTTTGATTTGGTGAACTTTCCATGGAAATGCCCCCACATATACCTTTGTGAAAGAAGAGATAGATAGTTGTACTTCTAATTGATCCCAAGCTTTATAGAGTACCTATACCTATACCGTTTTGAGACTGTAATAGTAGGAAAAAGCAGTCTGAATGTTTTTGCCATGATGCCTTTTTTAAACACAACCCCCTCCCATGAAGACATATACTCACCCACCATTCACATTCCATTTTTGTGGTATGGAGTTATCATATTGTAGGTAGTTGGTGGACATCTTGAAATTCAATAGTCGAATTATTATATATCTTTATATATTTGAATCGAATGATAGACAAAAAAAAGAAAGAAAGGTTGACATACTGCAAGAATATAGTCACTACATAACTCTAAAATTATCATATGATTAATTAGATGTACATAATGGTTAAAATTTGATGGAAATTCTGTTTTCTGTTTCTCTGTTCTCGTACGCTTCACGCGTGGCATTTGTTGCATGCATCGCTTCCTTGGTTATTATCCGATCGATTGATACATATGTGTATATATTATTATTATTCTTTTTTGATCGTGACAATATTTAAATCAAATATTTTTAAGCTTGAGTGCATTGAAGATAAAAGCGGCTCGTTCCGTTTGTTTTTTGCTAGCGACAGGCAGAGTTTTTTTTTTTATGTTTAATTAATTTCACTGGGAATGGAGTGAAAAAGTCAAAAGTGTTTAACTATATCATCCGCATTTTGTGTTGTGTGTGTATATTTGATTAATCCAGTTGTGTGTTTTGTCTTAAAAACGACGACGTCCCCATGGGACATTATTTCCTCCGCCATTATTTCCGCGCTGATTGCCGCCTTGGTTCATATTGTTAACCCCAAATTCAAAAGCGAAGGAGTCCTATTCGAGCAAGGAAATATATAATTGTTCAATTGAGTTGTTACGTTAGCCACATATAAGCCCCCGCTCCCAAAAGACCCCCCACCACTTGATTAATACTATCATTGCCTGAGAGAGAGAGTCCCGTTCCTCACACACAGATCCCCCCGATCCACTGAGACACCATTTGATCAAAGATCAATTATTCAATTTGCATTGTATATCAAGAAAATTCTTGCCTCCTCCTTAAAAGTACACAATTTTCTTTTTTATACAAAATGAAAACCATAAAAAAAAATAAATGAAAATTCTTTAGAAATAAAAGTGAAAACAAAAAATTGTGCTCAGCAACCTGAGCAAGTCAATCCCATATGTATATGGATTCCCCACATATCCCCAAGAATGTCCCAGAGCAAATAGTCAGAAATTCATATGCTCACATTTATAGTAGAGTATCCGAGGGGATATACACGCAGCAAATATATTGAAGAAATGAATATGAAAATCTTATTCGTTTTTTACGCCCCAAGTAGAAGATTCTCGAGAGTTTACTACACTCATTGTATCCCCCAGATAATTGAAAATATTCAGCCCAAGCATAGAGTACGATGATAGATGGTGCTCTGCCCCTGCCCTGAATCTGAACAAACCATTTGCACCCACTCCCAATGGATGTTTAGAGAGAGAGAGAAGAAACTTTGGGGCAAGAACAAACTCTTTGCCATTCGGTTCTTGTGACCGGGCTGAAAAGCCTCTGGTGGTTGAGAGAGCCCTGTACATACCTGTTTGTTGGGTCCGTTGGGACCAGAGTTATTTCCAGTCATAGTTGAATTGTTATTGTTGCCTGAACGGAAAAAGGAAAGTTATAACAAAAATGTAATTTAAAACATTCATTCAACCATTAATTTCATTTCCTTTCTAACCTCTAAAAACTTCAAAGGGAGAATTGCTATTGCCTCCAAAATTGTCAAAGCTAGAGTTATTGCCGCCACCGCCGCCGCCATTGCCACCGAAGCCCTCCTGCTGATCGAGCAGCGAATTCAGCTGCTGTGCCTGTATGAACAGCGTGTTCTCCTGTTGGCGACGACGCATATCCTCCTCCTGACGCACCATGCGTGTCTGCATTTCACTCTGATGGCGACGCATAGTGTCCTCGTCACGCTTGCGCATATCCTCGGCCTGCTTCTCGCGCATTTCCCATTCCATCTTCTTGCGTTCATTGTCCACTTCGCGTTTTCTCAGCTCTAAAGAAAATATACACACACACACACACTATTAGGGAAGAAGGTATATAAAAATAATGGCCATGATCTGCCACGATCATTGCCTCCTAACGAGGAAGTAGAACGCTGAGGTTTTTTTATTGTCAGAATGAAACCTCAAAGGACGGCAACACAATATCTTTTAAGAACATTTTTCCAACAAGGCATAAATGCCTCTCTTTTTTGAATGGATCTCCGCCTCCCCCTCCTCTTTAGATCTTAGATAGATTCAACATTTGCAGCAGCTATCAACCTAAAGCATTAGCAACATGCTAAATACCCCTAGGATTCCACTAATGCACGGACTGTACAAAATTGTTCCCATAAGCGAATGGCTACATTTATTTGGGAATGACACAAAATGGAGACCATTCGCCACTAGAAATTATTACTGAAAAATCAGCTATCAATCACTCACATGTACACGTCGAATTTCGAGGTTCAGTTATGGCAATTTAGCCGAAAACGTAGTTTTTTCACGTAGAATAAGCCAAATTTATGTGCTCATTCTGCGTTATTGCGTTAATTTCATATATCGATAACAGTGAAACAGTGGAATCAACACCATTCTGTCAATGTGGACTGTGCTGGTTATGGAACTTACATATAGTGTAAAATATTGTCCCACACTACCCCTGGCTATGAACAGAGATATGTATATTTTGTCTAATACACTACCATAGACCTGTCATATTTAGCAGAGAACTTAAACCAAAGTCTCGTTGTAATCCAAAAAAGAATTAAAATAATCTTTTGTTCGACAATGAAAAGTGAGAGAGAAAAAGATGAAAAGAGGAAAATCTAATCCGTAGATTTAATCACTCTACGCACAGGGCAAACCAAATAAAAGCCGTACCGTAGTAAAATATGTATAGGAGAATGGGACAAGATAGTTTTTGAGTGTTAATACCAACGGTACCACCCCATCGTGAATAATACTGACCTTGGCGCAGGAGCTCTGTTTCTTTCTCATAGCGAGCGTACTCCATCTGAGCATCCAGCTTGTCTTCTTCCATTTTGAGCTCACGCTTGAGGGCATCCTGCTTGCTCTTGTACAGATCGTGCAGCTGCTTCCAACGGGAACCGTACTCGTGCTCAAAAGAATTGAGATCGGCAAATCGTGGACCAACGCTACGCTCATGGTTGAAGTCCTGCAGCTTCTTGTTGAGGGCCTTCTCGGGCAGCCCATCGTTGTCGTCATTCACCTCCATTGGCTCCACCAGGCAGGGCCGCAATGAGGCTGTCAAAAAGAAGCACTTCTCATTGCACAAACGAAGACAGGCGCTGGCCGAAGACTTCTTGGCAAATTCAACAACACCCTCGCCCATATGCTTGCCGCGATCGTCGACGGTTATGCTGGCCCGCTCGAGGGGGCCGAATATCTCGAAAGACTTGTACAGCAACTCGTTGGACACGAACGGTGTGAGGTTGCTCACACGCAAGATGGTTGCATTCGGTGCAAAACGGACGCGTAGCTGGCGCCCCTTGCGCAGTGAACCGTCCAGGGCGCGCTTGGCCTTCTCGGCATTCACATGATAGTCGACCTTAAGGAATGTAAAATTCTTCTCAATGTTGGAGAAGATTTCGCCAATCTCCCCGAATGGTTTGAACATTTCGCGCAGCTCATTGTCGGTAATGTCGCCGGTGAGATTGCCCACATACAGACGATTGCGGCCAGAGAATTTCGTCTCCTCGGGCACCTCCACGGGTGGCATCTCCAGAGTGGGTCCGGCAATGGCCCGCAGACGTTGGCCAATAAAGAAATCATCCCCGCCTCCGCCGCCACCACCGCGTGGACCGCCACCACCACCACCGCCGCCCATCATGCTCATGTTGGGTCCGCCTTGGCCACCGCCCAAACGTTGACCGCCGCCACCGCGATTTCCGCGATCTCGCTGCTGTTGCTGGTTACCTCCGCCGCCTCCCTGGTAATTGCCACCACCACCTCCTCCCTGGTGATTGCCACCAACGCCTGGATGATTGTTAGCGCCTCCTGGATGATTGTTAGCGCCTCCTGGTTGATTGCCGCCACTTCCTGGATGGTTACCGCCGCCGCCACCTCCTTGGTTATTGCCACCGCCGCCGGCGCCGCGAGGACCACCACGGAAACCACCTTGCCCTTGTCCTTGCCCTTGTCCTTGACCCTGCCCTGGACCTTGGTTTGCATTGGGAGTTGGCTGCTGCTTAGCAGCCACAGATTCATTAACTTTCTCAGCGACATTTGCGGCTTCCGGCTTTACTGCTTCATTAGTAGTTGTCTTTTGCTATATTTGTATTATATATATATATTCAAATCAGTATAAGAATGAAAAAAAATGGATTTGAATATACATATATGCACGGTTATGTCTGGTACACCAATCTGCAATGCGTCTAGTTCCCCCACAAAAAAGCGAATCAATTAGCCTCCAAGCGGCAGAAACATCTCAACGTTGTGCGGGAACTGTAACTGACACTGCAGAAAATGGATCCCCATTCATGGATGTGCATATAAGTATGTATGTACATATGTATTCATGTGTAAGGGAAATAGAATATTATACTATATATAATTACGCCTGAGTACCACCCCAAAAACGAGCTAAAAGCTCTTATCACTGGATTAAGAAACCATGTGATAATGTGTCCCCCCTTCCCACAACAAACGAAATGACGTTTAACCCCAATCTAAAAATAATTATTTTGCATACCCCTTCAGAGAGGGCTAAACATACCTTTAGCGGACATCATTCGATCAATAAATCCATAAACGAAAAAGACTTAAAAAGACTTGTGTAATAAATACATTAGACGTGATACGAGTTGGTAAATCGATTCCATGGCAACGATCTCGCTCGACTTTTATTAAATATTTACCAGCTAAACATTATTAGGTCCCGTAAAGGGTATACAACTTTCGGCAAGCCGAAATCCACTTTTATTCAATTTTTGTTGTTGCTCTTTCCCCACCCGAAATCTTTGTTGGAATCCCGCTACTTAAGCGACTGTGCTAAGGGGGCTATAAAAGCTCCCTACACGGGCCTGCAGTAGCCTGGCAGCAGCATTCGCATTTGTGTTGCTGCAGCAGTTCCGTTTAGACAGTGCTTAAGCCCCGCCAAACCCAAACGTCTCTCCAACCCGATTGTTAAGATCGAGCGCAACTGTGAGCAGTGATGCCCAAAGAAATCAAATATATCAGATTTGTCGCTTTCAAGTAAAGCGAATTTCAGCATCGCCCACAAAAGTAGAATCTGGAACCTCCAAGAGTGTTCTCCTACACACAATGACTCTCTAAATTGTGTACCAATACCATATTCATATTTAGAAGGCCGACATATAGGCCTTTATAAGCAAACAAAAAAAAATAATGATTTATGTATGTACGCGTACACACATACAAACACAAGTCAAACAGTTCAATGTACTCAAAATGTGCTCAAAAGCAACGTTTTTCGAATAAGAGTAATGAGACAACACAATTCGTTTGTGAATATTAACCCAGTATCCTATCCGTTTGAACAGTTTAAAATATTATAAAAATTGATTGTACGTTTGTAAGTATTTCCCAAAATGCAAAAATTTTCAATTATGTACATGTTTATAAGCAATGCATTTTTCGTACGAGTATGTACATACATACATACATGTGTATGTATGTATATGGAATCCCATCTAAAAAATGCATTGAATGAACCGGTCTATTTTTTAGTTGTACATACAAGAGACGATAATGCGAATGAAAGGATAGGATAGGGGATCTTTCGATCAGTTTTTCACTTACATTTGCGTTATTTGGACCCTGAAAATTTTGTCTATTTTGGTTTCCACCACGGCGATTGCGATTATTGCCGCCGAATCCACCCTTGTTTCCGAAATTCTTATTTTGATTCTGGCCACCGCCACCGCCAGCGCCAACGCTGCCAACGTTGCCACCACCACCGCCGGCGGGACCGCCATTCTGGTTGTTTGGGCCACCGAACCGTGGCTTCTTTTCAGCAGGACTGCCATCGGGGCCATCATTTTGTTTCGGTGCTGTGTGCTTGCCAATAACTTTATTTGCCGGATTGTTTCCCCTTTGCTGTCGTTGCGGCAAAGGTGTTGCCGTATGGGGACCATCTATGATGATTGTTTCCATTTTCAAGTGATTTTATCGACGCGAAGTAAAACAAAATCTAATTAAAATTTCACAAATACACACACACACAGCACAAGAACTCAGAGGTGTCAAACCAAAGAGGCCACTATCGATAGTATCAATATTTTGCTAGCTAGCCTCTACTATCGATGGTTTTGAGACTATCATGATAGTATCGAGCTAAAGTCGTTGCGCTTTTGATATGTTTGGATTGGCTGCTATAAAATACGAAGACAGATTTGTAAACAAATCGACAAGTGGCATCTAATTTGTACAATGGACAAGTTCCTAAAAGGTTTCAATGGTTTTTCAATTATTATTTGAGCCCGATACTATTACGTAGTATCGATTGTTTTTTCAAAATATTCAAAACCATCGATGACTTAATTCGTTTGACAGCTCTACAAGAACTGTTTGCGAGAAAAAAAGTATGCTAATCAGTGTGCCCGTATCGATCAAATAAACCTCAAGAATATACCGAAATATACATTCTCGTTTTCAAAATATACCGAGAAAATAATAATCTGAGCCATGATGCAATTATATATTATGGTCTCGTCGGCAAAAGTAGTCCAATGTAATTAGCAATGTTTACAATAAGTGCGAGTGAAACGGCTCAGCGCAATAAGTGTGTGTGAAACAACAATAGAGCGTTTTGATTAACCCTCAGATGGACCATGGGGTTTAAAGTTGCCTGTTATAATAAAACGAGTTGATATTTTTTTATAGTTTTATTTTTAATAATTTTGAATTTGAAATTAAACGTTGTTTTTTTGGATAGATATTCTGTTGTTAAGGCTCTTAATTCTAACATAAACTCTAATCTTAAAAAAAAACGTTTTTATATCAAAATTAATTTTAGCTGTTTCGGAAGCCATTAACAATTTTTGTTTAACATATTTTGTTATGCTAATTCAGTATTCTTGGCTGAATAAAAATAAAGATTATTAAAAAATGATAATAATAAAAAACAAAACATACTAAATCACAAAACAAAACACAAAATACAGAACACAAAACAAATCTACAAACAATCACGATCAGAACATTTCTGGCTAAAACATAGAGCTAAACATTTGACAATTAGTATTGTTAAAATCAATTATTACTTAATAGAGTTTAATTTTGTCATACCTGTTATATATTTTCTTAACCTATACTTAAATTGAAGTGGAGTCGGATGGTCAATCTGTTCACCTTTAGACCACATGGCGCCAAAAAAATTCTCGACAATGTGTTGGTTAAGACGGCTTGTTAAGATATAACGAATCTCGTACTTCTCCGACAAATATCCATGCAAGCCAGGAAGGGATGCATTGTTAACTAATATGCCTTTTTGGAAGGGAAGCTTATGTTTTTTTCCAACTATCTCCGTGCGCATAATTTCAGACATTTTAGCCAAAATGCTTCGTTGAACTTCGATGGAATTTGCTATTGATAATTTCGAATTGAACACGTCAAACCAATCATTGAAGATTTTAAAGAGATCAGCGGTTTCGCATGCGTTCTCTACTTCATAACCCAATGCATAGCATTGTCTAATGGCGCTGGCGGTTGTATTAGAGAACAGTTTTTTTGCCAATTTGACCTTCTGTTTGGCCAGCGAACTAATATTGATATGACTATCGGTAATCTTGAATAATATTGACACATCTGATTTAGCACAGTGGCTAATTGTCTGCTGGACTGTCGTCTTAGTCAATCTGTTTCCGTTGATGACTAATCCGGAGTGGACATAGTGGTTATGGATCAACTTTACCAGCTGTGGAGTATCCGAAAAAACAAATATTTTCAAGTCTTCATCCGCTGGATGGCTAAACCAGGTCTTTGCTAAAACAAAAAATATTTGTAATATATCTTTTTTATTAATTCTTATAAGAAACTTACTCTCCGATATGCCAAGCTCAACCCATAATCTTTGATTTCCAGCGCTCAAATCAGAAACAATAGCAACAACGGGATAGCCTTTTTTGTGTAGCTTGTTTATAATCGATAGCAATGAATCCGCGTCCATTCGAGCATTGAAATCAAAATATACTGGCTGCTTCCAAGATTTTTTCAAGCCACGAGCTATGGCCAATTGAACATAGTTGCTCGGCTCACACACAACATCCGCTGAGCTGTTATTCTCCAAAGCAGCAGCTACCTTCATTTCATTGAAGGACAAAACGCAAAGCTTATCCACTTCGGACATTTCCTCATTTTCCATGAGGTCTATCACTACATCAAGCGTACCGGCATTTATTTTCACATCTGTCAACCATCTATATAATGTTGCCCGACTCGGCAAAGGAAATCCTTTTCTATACAGATGATTGTAGGCACCAGGTCCCGCGGTATGGAGGCAGATGGCAGCAGACATGTCTGTTGCATTAAATAAAATTCTCTTCCCTCCACTCTTCAATATACTTATTTGGGTCTCGGTGAAAATGTTTCTTAGAGATTTTTCCAATTCCTCATACTCTCCAAGCTGCTGGCGTAAAGAAAGCATCTCCTTCTCCATAAGTCGAAGTTGTTTTCGTAGGCTTTCGTTCTCTATAAGAGTGTTATGATTTATCACTTTGTCCCTACATTAGAAGTAAATTATTGGTTGCATAAACTCATTTATTTTAACACGGTTAGCTTACTCTGTTTGCGTGCTCGAATCGGCGTAGCCTAATTTTACAATTTTTGGTTCAGGCTCTGGGTCTCTTTGGGGAACAGCATCATCATTCAGGCGCCTTCTTTTAAAGACTTGGCCTTTTTTTGGAGCTGACTTCCACTCCGAAGCATTAAAATGAGTATCGCAAATTTTGGAGTTCTCTCCAAGGCGGCAGCGTAAAGTTCTCTCCCACAATGCTCTTCTCACTACACATTTCGGTGCCTTTATAAATTTCACACCTGGCACGTGCTTGCGGCAAAAACTACAATACGTCATTGTTGTGCACAAGGGTTAAGGCTTCCGAAAAAGTTTGTCGGCACACCACCTTTCTCTTCAACAACCGAGCACGCACTGAACGTTAAGGGACTAAAAACCGAACGATTCGGCAGCCGACGAGACTACCTCATATAATTGCATCATGGCACTGCCAAGGTGCTGTTAAGGTATCGGAGAAAGCGTTTAGGTGTGACCAGTGGGACCAGCTCGAGTTCAAAACAAACAACCATGACATACATATGTATGTACATATATCCTATATAAACATAAGAAAATATTTTTGTGTGACAAACATTTATGTTCACAATAGAGATAATGATTTGCCTTAAACTTAACATCTAACTTAAAATTCATTTTAGCATGAAGTAATTGTAAGCAAAATTGCAAATCAATTTAGAATAGATACCCTAACATAACCAAACATTTTACAAGATACTGCAACGTTTATGAACCATGTACCTTCTGTGTTTTTTTTGACATTGCGCTGAAATAATATAATACATTCAAGCACAAGGCGTAGTGTAAGTTGTGTTAATGTACGTACGTTCTGAAAATAAATGAGTTATTAAAATCTTTTCAAGAAGCTCATGTAAGGTGGACCTCCACAGGCGAGCATGCTCGGCGATTTTGTTTTGCTCGACTGTGGATGGGCTTGTTCGTAACATTTTTTTCTGGTCGAATTTGTTCGACAGAATACAAATTTTTCTATTCCATTGAGCATGTTCGCCTTTGGATGACCACTTCTAGCTACTTACTATGTTTATATTTCACATCATAGCATATCCTGAGTGGTGGCCTAATTTTATATCTGTTTGGTGTTGCATAATATTGGTGTGGTGTTCCCCCTGGTGGTGGGCCACCGGGCTGGCCTCCCCCTGGTGGTGGGCCACCGGGCTGGCCACTCCCTGGTGGTGGGCCACCGGGCTGGCCACCTCCTGGTGGTGGGCCACCGGGCTGGCCACCTCCTGGTGGTGGGCCACCGGGCTGGCCACCTCCTGGTGGCTCGATCGTAGTGAATGGTACTGAAGGATAAGGTTCCTTGTCTTTTTCTTCAGAAGTACTGAGTAAGTTAGCTAAATCGGACGTAAGGATACCCTTTTCTGTGGCATCCTCTGAGACTAGTGGTGATACCCCTGTTTGACCATCCGCAGGTGGTTCGATCGTAGTGAATGGTACTGAAGGATAAGGTTCCTTGTCTTTTTCTTCAGAAGTACTGAGTAAGTTAATTAAATCGGACGTAGGGATACCCTTGTCTGTGGCGTCCACTGATACTGGTGGTGATCCCCCTGTTTGACCATCCTCTGGTGGTTCGATCGTAGTGAATGGTACTGAAGGATAAGGTTCCTTGTCTTTTTCTTCAGAAGTACTGAGTAAGTTAGCTAAATCGGACGTAAGGATACCCTTTTCTGTGGCATCCTCTGAGACTGGTGGTGATCCCCCTGTTTGACCATCCTCAGGTGGTTCGATCGTAGTGAATGGTACTGAAGGATAAGGTTCCTTGTCTTTTTCTTCAGAAGTACTGAGTAAGTTAGCTAAATCGGATGTAAGAATACCCTTTTCTGTGGCATCCTCTGAGACTCGTGGTGATCCCCCTGTTTGGCCATCCTCTGGTGGTTCGATCCTAGTGAATGGTACTGAAGGATAAGGTTCCGTGTCTTTTTCTTCAGAAGTACTAAGTAAGTTAGCTAAATCGGACGTAAGGATACCCTTTTCTGTGGCATCCTCTGAGACTCGTGGTGATCCCCCTGTTTGACCATCCTCTGGTGGTTCGATCGTAGTGAATGGTACTGAAGGATAAGGTTCCGTGTCTTTTTCTTCAGGAGTACTGAGTAAGTTAATTAAATCGGACGTAAGAATACCCTTTTCTGTGGAATCCTCTGAGTCTGGTAGTGATCCCCCTGTTTGGCCATCCTCTGGTGGTTCCATCGTAGTGAATAGTACTGAAGGATAAGGTTCCGTGTCATTTTCTTCAGGAGTACTGAGTAAGTTAGCTAAATCGGACGTAAGAATACCCTTTTCTGTGGCATCCTCTGAGACTGGTGGTGATCCCCCTGTTTGACCATCCTCAGGTGGTTCGATCGTAGTGAATAGAACTGAAGGATAAGGTTCCGTGTCTTTTTCTTCAGGAGTACTGAGTAAGTTAGCTAAATCGGACGTAAGAATACCCTTTTCTGTGGCATCCTCTGAGACTGGTGGTGATCCCCCAGATTGGACATCCTCTCGAGGCTCCATCGTAGTGAATGGTACTGAAGGATAAGGTTCACTACGTTTTTCTTCAGAGGTACTGAGTAAATGAGTTAAATCCGACGTAAGGATTCCCCTTTCTGTGGCGTCCACTGAGACCGGTGGTGATTCCTCTATTTGGGCATCCTCTGGTGGTTCGATCGTAGTGAATAGTAGCTCTGAATAATCCGGTTCCGTACTTTTTTCTTGAGAAGTACTGAGAAAATAATTTAAATCGGACGTAAAGATTCCCATTTCTGTGGCGCCCACTGAGACTGGTGGAGATCCCCCTATTTGGACATCGTCATGTGGTTCAATAGTAGTGAATGGTACTGAAGGATAAGGTTTACTACGTTTTTCTTCAGAGGTACTGAGTAAATGAGTTAAATCCAACGTAAGGATTCCCCTTTCTGTGGCGTCCACTGAGACCGTGGGTGATCCCCCTGTTTGGCCATCCTCTGGTGGTTCGATCGTAGTGAATGGTACTGAAGGATAAGGTTCCGTGTCTTTTTCTTCAGAAGTACTAAATAAGTTAGCTAAATCGGACGTAAGGATACCCTTTTCAGTGGCATCCTCTGAGACTGGTGGTGATCCCCCTGTTTGGCCATCCTCAGGTGGTTCGATCGTAGTGAATGGTACTGAAGGATAAGTTTCCGTGTCTTTTTCTTCAGAAGTACTAAGTAAGTTAGCTAAATCGGACGTAAGGATACCCTTTTCAGTGGCATCCTCTGAGACTGGTGGTGATCCCCCTGTTTGGCCATCCTCAGGTGGTTCGATCGTAGTGAATGGTACTGAAGGATAAGGTTCCGTGTCTTTTTCTTCAGAAGTACTGAGTAAGCTAGTTAAATCAGACGTATGGATACCCATTTCTGTTGAGTCCCCTGAGACTGGTGGTGATCCCCCTGTTTGGCCATCCTCTGGTGGTCCGATCGTAGTGAATGGTACTGAAGGAAAAGGTTCCTTGTCTTTTTCTTCAGAAGTACTGAGTAAGTTAGCTAAATCGGACGTAAGAATACCCTTTTCTGTGGCGTCCACTGAGACTGGTGGTGATCCCCCTGTTTGACCATCCTCTAGGTGGTTCGATCGTAGTGAATGGTACTGAAGGATAAGGTTCCTTGTCTTTTTCTTCAGAAGTACTGAGTAAGTTAATTAAATCGGATGTAGGTATACCCTTGTCTGTGGCGTCCTCTGAGACTGGTGGTGATCCCCCTGTTTGGCCATCCTCAGGTGGTTCGATCGTAGTGAATGGTACTGAAGGATAAGGTTCCTTGTCTTTTTTTTCTGAAGTACTGAGTAAGTTAATTAAATCGGACGTAGGGATACCCTTGTCTGTGGCGTCCACTGAGACTGGTGGTGATCCCCCTGTTTGACCATCCTCAGGTGGTTCGATCGTAGTGAATGGTACTGAAGGATAAGGTTCCTTGTCTTTTTCTACAGAAGTACTGAGTAAGTTAATTAAATCGGACGTAGGGATACCTTTGTCTGTGGCGTCCACTGAGACTGGCGGTGATCCCCCCGTTTGACCATCCTCAGGTGGTTCGATCGTAGTGAATGGTACTGAAGGATAAGGTTCCTTGTCTTTTTCTACAGAAGTACTGAGTAAGTTAATTAAATCGGACGTAGGGATACCCTTGTCTGTGGCGTCCACTGAGACTGGTGGTGATCCCCCTGTTTGACCATCCTCAGGTGGTTCGATCGTAGTGAATGGTACTGAAGGATAAGGTTCCTTGTCTTTTTCTACAGAAGTACTGAGTAAGTTAATTAAATCGGACGTAGGGATACCTTTGTCTGTGGCGTCCACTGAGACTGGCGGTGATCCCCCTGTTTGGCCATCATCTGGTGGTTCGATCGCAGTGAATGGTACTGAAGGATTAGGTTCCGTACGTTTATCTTCAGAAGTACTGAGTAAAACGTCCTGAAGGATTCCCCGTTTTTTGGCGTCCAATGAGGTTAGTGGTGATTTTCCTGTTTGGCCATCCTCTAGTGGTTTGATCGCAGTGAATCGTACTGAAGGATTAGGTTCCGTACGTTTATCTTCAGAAGTACTGAGTAAAACGTCCTGAAGGATTCCCCGTTTTTTGGCGTCCAATGAGGTTAGTGGTGATTTTCCTGTTTGGCCATCCTCTAGTGGTTTGATCGCAGTGAATGGTACTGAAGGATTAGGTTCCGTACGTTTTTCTTCAGAAGTACTGAGTAAAACGTCCTGAAGGATTCCCCGTTTTTTGGCGTCCAATGAGGTTAGTGGTGATTTTTCTGTTTGGCCATCCTCTAGTGGTTTGATCGCAGTGAATGGTACTGAAGGAATAGGTTCCGTACGTTTTTCTTCAGAAGTACTGAGTAAAACGTCCTTAAGGATTCCCCGTTTTTTGGCGTCCAATGAGGTTAGTGGTGATTTTCCTGTTTGGCCATCCTCTAGTGGTTTGATCGCAGTGAATCGTACTGAAGGATTAGGTTCCGTACGTTTTTCTTCAGAAGTACTGAGTAAAACGTCCTTAAGGATTCCCCGTTTTTTCGCGTCCAATGAGGTTAGTGGTGATTTTCCTGTTTGGCCATCCTCTAGTGGTTTGATCGCAGTAAATGGTACTGAAGGATTAGGTTCCGTACGTTTATCTTCAGAAGTACTGAGTAAAACGTCCTGAAGGATTCCCCGTTTTTTGGCGTCCAATGAGGTTAGTGGTGATTTTCCTGTTTGGCCATCCTCTAGTGGTTCGATCGTAGTGAATGGTACTGAAGGATAAGGTTCCGTGCCATTTTCTTCAGAATTACTGAGTAAGTTAGTTAACTCGGACGTAAGGATACACATTTCTGTTGAGGCTCCTGAGACTGGTGGTGATCCCCCTGTTTGGCCATCCTCTGATGGTTCGATCGTAGTGAATGGTACTGAAGGATAAGGTTCCGTGTGGTTTTCTTCAGAAGTACTGAGTAAGCTAGTTAAATCGGACGTAAGGATACCCATTTCTGTTGAGTCTCCTGAGACTGGTGGTGATCCCCCTGTTTGGCCATCCTCTGATGGTTCGATCGTAGTGAATGGTACTGAAGGATAAGGTTCCGTGTCGTTTTCTTCAGAAGTACTGAGTAAGCTAGTTAAATCGGACGTAAGGATACCCATTTCTGTTGAGTCTCCTGAGACTGGTGGTGATCCCCCTGTTTGGCCATCCTCTGATGGTTCGATCGTAGTGAATGGTACTGAAGGATAAGGTTCCGTGTCGTTTTCTTCAGAAGTACTGAAAAAGCTAGTTAAATCGGACGTAAGGATACCCATTTCTGTTGAGTCTCCTGAGACTGGTGGTGATCCCCCTGTTTGGCCATCCTCTGATGGTTCGATCGTAGTGAATGGTACTGAAGGATAAGGTTCCGTGTCGTTTTCTTCAGAAGTACTGAGTAAGCTAGTTAAATCGGACGTAAGGATACCCATTTCTGTTGAGTCTCCTGAGACTGGTGGTGATCCCCCTGTTTGGCCATCCTCTGATGGTTCGATCGTAGTGAATGGTACTGAAGGATAGGGTTCTGTACGTTTTACTTCAGAAGTACTGGGAAAAACGGTCTTACGGATTCCCCGTTTATTTGCGTCCACTGAGATTAGTGGTGATTTTCCAGTTAGGCCATCCTCTAGTGGTTTGGTGGTGAATGGTACTGAAGGATAAGGTTCTGTACGTTTTACTTCAGAAGTACTGGGAAAAACGGTCTTACGGATTCCCCGTTTATTTGCGTCCACTGAGATTAGTGGTGATTTTCCAGTTAGGCCATCCTCTAGTGGTTTGGTGGTGAATGGTACTGAAGGATAAGGTTCTGTACGTTGTTCTTCAGAAGTACTAGGAAAAACGGTCTTACGGATTCCCCGTTTTTTGGCGTCCAATGAGGTTAGTGGTGATTTTTCTGTTTGGCCATCCTCTAGTGGTTTGATCGCAGTGAATCGTACTGAATGAATAGGTTCCGTACGTTTTTCTTCAGAAGTTCTGAGTAAAACGTCCTTAAGGATTCCCCGTTTTTTGGCGTCCAATGAGGTTAGTGGTGATTTTCCTGTTTGCCCATCCTCTAGTGGTTTGATCGCAGTGAATCGTACTGAAGGATTAGGTTCCGTACGTTTTTCTTCAGAAGTACTGAGTAAAACGTCCTTAAGAATTCCCCGTTTTTTGGCGTCCAATGAGGTTAGTGGTGATTTTTCTGTTTGGCCATCCTCTAGTGGTTTGATCGCAGTGAATCGTACTGAAGGAATAGGTTCCGTACGTTTTTCTTCAGAAGTACTGAGTAAAACGTCCTTAAGGATTCCCCGTTTTTTCGCGTCCAATGAGGTTAGTGGTGATTTTCCTGTTTGGCCATCCTCTAGTGGTTCGATCGTAGTGAATGGTACTGAAGGATAAGGTTCCGTGCCATTTTCTTCAGAATTACTGAGTAAGTTAGTTAACTCGGACGTAAGGATACACATTTCTGTTGAGGCTCCTGAGACTGGTGGTGATCCCCCTGTTTGGCCATCCTCTGTTGGTTCGATCGTAGTGAATGGTACTGAAGGATAAGGTTCCGTGTGGTTTTCTTCAGAAGTACTGAGTAAGCTAGTTAAATCGGACGTAAGGATACCCATTTCTGTTGAGTCTCCTGAGACTGGTGGTGATCCCCCTGTTTGGCCATCCTCTGATGGTTCGATCGTAGTGAATGGTACTGAAGGATAAGGTTCCGTGCCATTTTCTTGAGAATTACTGAGTAAGCTAGTTAAATCGGACGTAAGGATACCCATTTCTGTTGAGTCTCCCGAGACTGGTGGTGATCCCCCTGTTTGGCCATCCTCTGATGGTTCGATCGCAGTGAATGGTACTGAAGGATAAGGTTCCGTGTCTTTTTCTTCAGAAGTACTGAGTAAGCTAGTTAAATCGGACGTAAGGATACCCATTTCTGTTGAGTCTCCTGAGACTGGTGGTGATCCCCCTGTTTGGCCATCCTCTGATGGTTCGATCGTAGAGAATGGTACTGAAGGATAAGGTTCCGTGTCTTTTTCTTCAGAAGTACTGAGTAAGTTAGTTAAATCGGACATAAGTATACTCATTTCTGTAGCGTCCAATGAGAATGGTGGTGATCCGCCTGTTTGGTCACCTTTGGTTGATTTTTTATTCCAAGTGGATTTCAGAACTGCAAGTTCTGTGGATTCCGTTGAAATTTCGCCCATCGATGATGAACCTGATGGAGTACTGGGCGATACTGATGGGGCTATTGTTGACGGGGGGATGGAAGTGGATGTCTGATCATGTTTTTCTGTTGACTCCATGGGATTTTCAGATTGTGTGGGTGTATTATCAGTATTTTTTCCCGAGGACTCCGAAAATGGTTCTGTTTGCTCAGTTAGTTGTTGGCTTTTTGTTCCCTCTGTGAAGGTTTCTAGACTCAAGAAAATCTCTGAATGTGAACTGGGTAATGAGGTCGATGCTTGGCTTGGCGACACTTCTGGAATTTTTCTGTATATAGATGCGCCGCCAGCCCGAAAGAACTGTCCCGAATATCGTGATATTCGGAGCTTTAGAATTGCTTTACTAACAGAACTTTCCAAACTTTTGGTTGACAATGATACTGCCAGGGCTTCTGGCGATTTTAATGTTTTTGAGGCATTTTTTTCAGTTTTACGTTCTCGGCTCATTGATGAGATGGAAGTTAAATACCTTTTTCGTTCTGTCATGTATTTAGTTTGATTTATTTGAGTATGTGAATTAGTTGACTTAATTTTTATATTATCTGGTGGTAATCGACCCGTCCAAATAGATTTACTAACAGATGATGGTATTCTTTTGTTCAGAGGTAAGTTGACCGAAATACTTCGAATCATGGATAGACGCTTTCCCACGATCAGATTTTTTAAAAGCAGCGTACTAAATTGCTTAGTCGATGAATGGTAGAATGGGGAATGGCCAGATACTGAATAAATGCTGCTAACTTTTTTTCTAAGCAATAGCTTTTTTAGAGCATTTGAAACTGGTTGAGAAACCTTTTCGATTGTTAATTTGGGCCTTAGTCTCGCCATATAAATAAGAGGAGCTTTAAATGCTGCATCAGATGAAAGTAGAGTCTTTGATAAAGTTGTGTAGACTGTATTACCTGGCGATTTTAAATATAGAGGCAACAGAGGTTTTGTGCATGATAAGCCTAATGTTGACCTTTTATTGGCATGCCTCCGAGGAGCCCTTAGATTCCCCTCAAGACTCCTCGTTGATATGGGATATATTCTTTTATGGCCAACTGGTTTCATCTTTGTCCTATTGAAAAATCGCTTTCCTGGCATCCTCTAAAAAAACACAAGTATTTTTCAATTTAATTATTTATTCACTTAAAGTTTGAAGCTATTTTTGGTGTGCTTATTTTGCAAAGATTTTCATTTAAAAAGTACCACGTATAGCACTCTCGACCACCATTTTGATTACCACTAAAAATATTGCAAACTAATAGAAAACAAAAACCAATTAATGAATAAACACAAAATCAGTCTACGCCTTATAAAAACAATAAATAATATAAAAAAATGTATATATAAATAACAAAAAATTTTAGTATTTTCCTTTGATTTTAACTTGTTATTTAAATTGTTTAATTTTTTTAGTTTTTTAATTGAACTGACGCAATAGTCTATTCTATTTTACCAGACTTATAACGAATTTTCCATTTTAATATTTCTATTTAAATTTTTGTAAAATTTAACTGTCGCAATAATTTATATGTAGTTTTACCAGACTTTTAGCCATAGCATTACGTTACTTATGACAAGCAAAGAACATTTTATATATTTATAATTTATATAATTTATAGATTATATCACTATGCCATATTCCATCAAACATTTATTTTACATCAGTCGCAGTAACAAATTGAAATGGTTTTTTCCTCATCTGGGCTATAGTTTTACTCACATATTCACTAACTATCGAAGATTTATGCTTTTCACTAGATCCTAGTGCTAATTTGAAATAGTGAAAGTATAATACTAAAACAATCAACACAAATATGAAAATGTGCATATTTCTATTGAAATACAAGATACGTTTAGCTACTATTAAATGCAATTATAGTTTTCGACATATGTCTAGCGTAGGGAATGGAAAATAAATGCATTTTCTACGCTTTAGTGCTGTTCAAATTGAATAATTGATTTCGTTTGAAGCATATAATAGGTGTATAATCAGATAAAATAAGACTTAAGTTGATGGTAAAATTCTACATACATGCGAGTACATAATTTGTATTCTAGGTTTCACACTCGAATTTTATATACAGCAACATCTATTTTTTGATGTTTATGCATCAGAAATTTCTGTGTGGGGAGTGCAGCATCCTCGATTTTAAGACAGTCTGTAAGAAATTTAACACACATTATTAGCCTTTCAGGAGGTCCAAATAAGTATGTGTTCACCTCTTACCAATTTCGTGTAGTTCCTTTCGTAACCATTTAAGGCACACTTCCAATGGGAAAAACAAAAGTTTTCGGCGAAAAAACTCAAAAATCCCCAGAGTGGCGTGTGTAAGCGACTTTAACTATGGTTAATAAAAAAATACAAATTAAATAATGCTTAGCTAATGGTTTAATATTGAATACTTACAGCGGCAAAAACCACATAGTACACAAATGTAGTGGGAAATAAAAATAAAATCGCTGAGAAGAATATTGTGGCAAGGTATAGCTGTCGATCCATATAATTCTGAGCTTCAATACGGCCTGCAATAATATGTATGAAAATAAATTGAAAATCAAACGAAGTTTACACATATTTTGTGGGCCTATGTACCTTTCAAAATATTAAATCGGTTACCACGAACCACTTGCCAAAGTACGGATAAACCTTTCTTTTCCACCTTATACAGACTGCAAGGAGAGGAAGAGCTCTATCAAATATAATTTAAGGCATATTTTTTATTTAATTGGAACTTACACCTTGGTGTAAATGTGAAAACAATGCGAATGCAGTGCAACGATTGATATTAAATCTGCAAGTAAGGCTATCTGGAATGTTAAGCCCAAGAATCCAAATACTCCAATGGCTAGGAAAACCTGTCGTACTATTGGTTCAATCAAATCTAAATTTAAATTAAATGTATAAATATAAAATTTATATAATTTATGTATAAAATCATACCCAAAAACATGGACCACAACTGAATGTGATATTTGAAACAATCGAGGAAGAAATTATTTAAATGTATATTCAATTTGAGACCAATAGGGCTGCCTTCCAAAACATTCAACAGGCTGTATAGCTGGTTTATAATGCCCTAAAACAATGGTAAAGTTATAGTCTCTAAAGGTGTGACATTTCGTGACCAACTTACATGGGATATTTGTATAAGAAAATCGCCTGGTGGCGTAACTAATGAAAACATTATCACCATCAAAAGTATACCCAATATTCGATCTAAAGCAACATTTGTCTTCCTAGAACTATAAAGAAACGATACAAATTGAAAGAAAAGCTGTAGATATCATGTTAAAAATTATGCTTACCCTTGATCACAGATTGATTGCCATTCTTTAAAGTGCTTATAGACAGTCGTGTGCACCATTATGTTGTTAATGAAAACATTTTCCGCTGTATACTTAAACAGTTGTATGGGGGCGTCGGCTACAAGATGTAACAGGTGAAGGCCACTCTTGAGTGCCCTATTTTGGGGCTTCTCAGGCTCAACTTCTCGCTGGACCAAGCGAAAGAGTTCCAGGAAATCGCAATTGCTGCTGTCACAACTTTCCGATGGCTGTTCCAGTGTGTCCTCATTGTTGACAAACAAATCTTGCACTATTTTCTTGTTATATAGAATTATTTTTATTTGTTTGAGGTGTTCTGGGGTGATTCCTATGTATCGCAATGAAATGTTTGGCTCCTTTCTGTCGTATGTGAAGCATATGCGCATATCGAGCTGGTGGTAGATGTTCTGCTGTTCTGCGCAGGTATCACTGGCCAGGATAGAGCCGAGGAAACGCAAATTGCTGATTGTACCATGCTCCATCGATGTGGAATTGAAGTCGAAGTCGATAGCATCCACGACATAGTATACGACTACATTGTCCTCGTTTATTTGCACTTGTCCATACAAATTAGTTGGTTCTTTGAGGCTAAAGTAATCGATGGGCAAGTATATCTTGATGCTCATTTTGTAAACACTGGCCGAAACATCAGTAAACACCTTTAAAACTAAAAAAACAAACAAACCCGCAACTGGTTATACATATTCTCCGAGCTGCTGAGAAGGTGACGAAATGTAGGCCTTCCACTGCGCATAGCCGATTGACGTCACAAAGCAAGCCACAAGAAGATTGAATGAAAACAAAAGGTAAAATCGATTAAACTTTATTCTTCAATTATTATTCAATTGGTCACATATTGACTCAGCCTAGACCTAGTTATTGTTTTACGGATAGTTATCATAGAAAAATAGATTTCCAATTAATATATTGTTTGAGGTTGACACATAATATAGGGTTTTAAATACATCCGAAAAATGTAATGTAATTTAATCACCGTATTTCCATCCATTGTAGGCTCTTTAAATCAAAACAAGCTAGACTAATTTATCTTCTCACCTTATTTTTTCCCACTTTATTTGCCAATAACTTTGTGCACCCCTACGATAGTTGTAAAGTTTCATTCCATTGTTCTGTCATATTCACGTGTTCTATTTTATTTCGTTTCTCCCTGTTATTTTTGTTTACCTTCTTTGTTTAAACCTTATTTTATAAGTAATCCAATAAACGTCCCTTAAATGAGCCAGATTAAATCATCTCCCTGATAAAATGATATTTTCAGTGGTTAAAGTCCTAACTAGCTAGTAATATTAAGTCGAATATCAAAATTGAGGAAATAAGTCGTCGCGTCCATCGGTATATTTACGGTATTTTTTGAAAATGATAACGTATATTTCTGAGTGTCAGATTTGCTTGTTTAGTATTTTCCAGTCTCTTTTAGGACGCGTATATACTCACCCTCTTGTCCTAATTCACCCGTGTGGAAAACGTGTAGAAATGCCATTTAGAGCCACATCGAATACTAATTCGTGATCAGCATCGAATTCCTGATCTTTTGGCATCATCGCAATCTCAATCATTTCAGAAATGTCCGAAATGTCACAGCTTGTCGTGTCCGTCAGAATATTTGCGGTATTTTATGAAAACGAAAAAGTATATTTTTTGTCCATAAATCCGCGGTCACACTGTAACGTACCTTCCGGGATACATTTTTCGTCGGCATTACTAAAAAAGTAAAACTAGTTTTTGTTTCAATAACAATTTATTTTTTTGCACAAATCTAAACATGGGCTATGATGGTAAGTTCGCATTGCGAAACAACAGAACAAATCCTCACGCAAATTGTATTTTCGATGCGTAAGTGTACACAAATAAAGTGTACGTACATCTGCACATTCAGTGAAAAAACTACAAATATTGTGCAAATAGTACAAATCTTAGCATTTCACATGTGCTGAATACATGTAGTTTCGTTATTTATTGCCGCAAACTGAAAATTTGATGCATTTCATGTACATTTTTGCATTCTCATTTTGACCGGTGTACACATACATATGTATGTGTGTGCATGCATACATATGCACATAACAATTGCAAACTATTTGTTGCCTTTAGCTACAATTTTTGTGATATTTTAGGTACTATTGAAAGTTAAAAGAGTTAATATATCTGGGGAGTTGAACAAATATTCCTACTGTTATGTTTTGTGTTCATAAAATGCACATTTAAAATGCATGCACACATGCATCCAAACATGTACATGCATACATACAGTACGTACATATGAAACGTTTTTAGAAAATATTTTGCATCGAAACTGCATTGTTACTGTGATGCTGAGTGGTTGTTTTTTTTTTGTCGTTTCTTATATATTTCTTTTGCAGATCGTGAACGTGACCGTGACCGCGATCGCCGTCGCCATCGTTCACGCTCTCGTGACCGCCATCGCGAGCGTTCGAGGGACCATCGTCATCACCGCAATTCGCGCCGCAAGCCATCTCTCTACTGGGATGTGCCGCCACCAGGATTTGAGCACATTACTCCGATGCAGTACAAAGCAATGCAGGCCTCCGGACAGATACCGGCCAGCGTTGTCCCAGACACTCCTCAGACAGCTGTGCCCGTTGTCGGTTCAACCATAACCCGCCAGGCACGTCGCTTGTACGTCGGCAACATTCCGTTTGGCGTCACCGAGGAGGAAATGATGGAATTCTTCAATCAGCAAATGCATTTAGTTGGCCTGGCCCAAGCTGCCGGCAGTCCAGTACTTGCTTGCCAAATCAATTTGGACAAGAATTTCGCTTTCCTTGAGTTTCGTTCAATAGACGAGACCACTCAAGCAATGGCTTTTGATGGCATCAATTTAAAAGGGCAATCCCTGAAGATAAGGCGTCCGCATGATTACCAACCTATGCCGGGCATAACAGATACTCCGGCCATTAAACCCGCTGTTGGTAAGTAAACCACAAAACACACCACTCGTCACTATTATAATTGAAACTGAAATATTTTGCACAGTTTCCAGTGGAGTTATCTCGACGGTGGTACCAGACTCGCCCCACAAAATATTTATTGGCGGTCTGCCCAACTATTTAAATGACGATCAGGTTTGTTTGGGTTTTGGATATACATATGTGCGAATTTCAACAATAATTACACCTGTTTGTTAACGTTATATTTAAGGTTAAGGAACTGTTGCTCTCATTTGGAAAGCTACGTGCATTTAACCTTGTTAAAGACGCTGCTACTGGCTTATCAAAGGGGTACGCCTTCTGTGAATATGTAGACCTTAAGCATCACCGATCAGGTACGAACAATCTTTATTATATTTCTATCGAAATCTATATGTAACTTGTGTCGTTTCTTTGTAGTCAATTGCTGGCTTAAATGGTATGCAACTGGGCGACAAGAAACTTATCGTACAACGTGCCAGCGTTGGGGCCAAGAACGCTCAGAATGCCTCAAACTCTAGTCAGTCCGTTATGCTGCAGGTGCCAGGACTGTCGACAGTCGTTAGTAGTGGTCCACCCACAGAGGTGCTTTGTCTGCTTAATATGGTCACTCCCGACGAGCTACGCGATGAGGAAGAATACGAAGATATACTGGAGGACATCAAGGAGGAGTGTACAAAGTATGGTGTAGTGCGAAGTGTCGAAATCCCACGACCCATCGAGGGCGTTGAGGTACCTGGATGCGGCAAAGTTTTTGTCGAGTTCAATTCTGTTCTCGATTGCCAGAAGGCACAGCAGGCCCTTACCGGACGCAAGTTCAGCGATCGCGTCGTTGTTACTTCATACTTTGATCCTGACAAATACCATAGACGCGAATTTTAGATAAAAACTACAACAAACAAAACAAAAACTAACACTAAATCATATTTCTCACATTCACCGATGTTCAATAAAATTACACATAATAAACAACAATGTATGACCCGACGTGTGTCCCACAAAAAATATTGTTTTTTTTTTTTGTAGTTAGAGAGCTATTTATTAATTTTGGCCAATATTTGTGGCTCAATCTGGCAAAACAGGCAGTCTCCAAGACAGTCTCTCACGGTAGGTGGAATGACGATGCCCTCGGCAAGAAAGAGGCAAAGAAGAGACATTAATAGGTCCTGAACTGAACCTATCAGAAATGGAAGTAAAGATCTCTATTTCTTTACACTGAAAACACTGGAAAACCAGTGTGGACCAAGAAATGTCTTGGAGAAGAAGCTCTCACGAATATCTCAAGAACCTTATCAACTGTGAGATATCACATGAAGAAATTAAAACCAGTGGAGCTATACGCCTCTGTAGATTCAGCTAAATGAAGCAAGAAACATTGAAATACATTCAATGTTAGAGGCATTCAAAAGGCAGTGAGATCTTAATATTTGGTGGGAGCTACAGTGTCTCCTTCCCAGTATGCGGAAAATAAGACCCCACCAAAGTGCTGCTCAGCTTAATTAAAAGCCTAAACATGCAGGATTCATTCGCATACGTTTTACTGCCCGGTAAAAAATAAATATACATATAGGGTTGAAGTGCATTTAAGGTCTATTATAGGTCTTGCTATAATAATAAATATAGGAGCACCGGTTGCCTTTATCCCGTGTAGCTTTAGTTTTTAACTTAATCTCACAGAGAAAATAAATAATAATAAACCTTGGTGAAAGGAAATATTATTCATGAAGTAGAAAGAGATAGTCGGTCGGTTGTTACTGCCATGAAACTGAGGGTAAATAGTGGATGCGGTGGTGGTAAACTGTACCCAGAAATAGATTGAAATGGTAGATGATATGAATATGCACATAGAAATAGTGTACATTATTATTGGGTATTAATACTGATCCAGCCAAATGAAAATTAAAATAAATGCATGCCTGTAAAGGGGTTACGATCCGATCCGCACGAAATTAACAATCAAAATCGTTGTAAAGTTAAGAGACAACTAACGCCGGTAAATCTTTATTTGGCATTAAAATAATGTAAACATTAAACAGTTTAGGGGGGCTTTTGTTTGGTTTGTACGTGTACAACGTAGATATATGTATGTATGTATGTATGTGTATGACATGATATGCATATGAGACATTCGTTAACAAGTTTAAAAAAATCAGACGATACGACATACGAAACAGAGACAGAGGCGAAAATGGTACATAGAAAATAACTTAAAGCACTAGAACTAGAAAATACTATACTTGAAAAATGCTTGACTAAAACACAGATAAAAAATAGATCTCTATCCATTAGGTTTTAGTGTAAGTAGACATAGAATAAAATATATTGCACGGATTCTGCCGCTTTAGAAATATGTGGAAGAGAGTGGAGAGTGCTCCTCTATACTCTCCTTCGTTAAATGCTTTGAAAAAGAAAGAGAATGTAAAATGGGGTTTTGTTCCAGAATTATTCAGCAAATGGAATGCCCTTTAAGTTTTGTTCAGTTATCAGATACTTTCAGGGTTATGGCTGACTATGTGGATGTGATATTTGTTATCTTAATGTTGACCAACAATGAGGATAGTTCCAGTTCCTCGCTGAATTTATTCCTCAGTATGACACTGCGATAACCCTGGCGCACACAGGTCAATGGATAGCAGGCCTGCGCTATGAAATGGGTCTCGGCAAACATATCCTCGTCCTGGACTTCGAAACGGAGGATGGCAAACTGTGGATTGCGCACGGTAAACTCGCAGGCCTCATTCCACACCGGATTGAAGCCATTCTCATTGACTTTGGTGCGATATTTGACACCAGTATCGAAGCTGGCGCCCATGATTTCCACCACAATTTGTGGATTATTGGATTTACCGCCACGAAACAGATGCCGTGCCGCTATCAGGCGTATGCTGACACGCACTTCGTTGAGGCCATCGGACAGCGGATTGTTTGGATTAAAACTTTCGGCCTTCATAAACGACGGCTTTAGGATGTAGCCACATTGGCCATTATTCCGGAATTTGGCCTGATTCAGCTGCATGGCCTTATCGCCTGTCTGATAATTGAGGGCTATCATCTGAGATCCAATATTCCAGAAGGGCACCGGATTAAAGTTCGATGAGTCCAGGCGCTGTCCCTTGGGATACACCCGACTGATTTGGTTGCGATGATAGGAGAGAAAGAGCTGTGTATTCTGCTGAAAGAACTGCTTCTCAGCCTTCGTTTCGGGAAAGCTGGACATCTCCTGGAAGATCCAAGAGTGCTCACGAAACGGTACACTCCGAAAGTATATTATCAGATCGGACATTTCCTTGGCCACGCGAGCCGTGCGCTCCTTTTTGCGCCGCTCTGTGGCCAGTTGACTAGCGATTAGGGCCGCCTCCTGGATGGCCTTTATCCACTCGTAGGCCGTCTCCTGATTATCAAAGCCAATCACAAATGGATTCTGCATCGTTGGCGTCTGTATCTGCAGCTTGAATATGATGCCAGGCTCATTGGATTCAAAGAGTGAGGCGACGGCCCCGTAGATCTCAATCGAATCGGTGCGGCCATCGGTGCCCTCCTCATTCACTGAATTGTAATCCTCTGTGGCAGCATCAATTACCTTGGAAAAGATGGAGAATATATAAATGTAAATATATATAGATGCCATTAATCCATTTAGATCCCTCACCTTAACATAGTTGGCTGGCAAATGTTTCTTGATCATGCCGCCATAGTCGCCTATCCACCACATGGTGTTGTTCCTTTGGACATTCGTGATGATGGCATGCTTGGGAAAGGACAGTTCATCCGGTTTGTTGGCCTTGTAGCTGTACAGAGCCTTGCAGGTGACATGCTCTTCCAGATTGGAGCCCATATAATTGGAGGCCCCATTGCCATCGTTCTGGCCACCACCATGATCCCCTTGCTGTGCATGCTCGGCCAGTGCCTGTCGCAGCAGATCCTGCGACACCGGATGGCAGAGCTTCACATTGCGATACAGCGGATTTCTCGTATAATAATGGATGAGCGAGACCAACGATTCAAACTGCATCGTATCGATTGCATACAGTCGTCCCTCTTGGATAATCCGACAGTGTTTGATCTTTCGATTGATCGTAAACGAGATGACAAACGCATTGATGCTCTGCACCGAGGGTCGTACCAAAAACGAGCCAATATCCAGCTTGAATAGGCCCTGCTCGGCCTGCTCCTTGGTGGTGTTCGGATGGAACCAGTCCTGATCCTCATGCTTTTTCGGCTGTGGCACTGGCTCTTTAAGTATTATCGAAAACTCAGAGCTGCGCAGCATATTCTTGCGATAGTAAACAATCAGTGAGTACAGCGAATCGAATATGAAATTCTCCACCAAATAGTAACGAATGGAGCCGCTCTCGTGCTTCAGTTTTATGCGACAATGATTCGGTCGATTGCGACGCCAAAACGATAGGCTATAGTCGCCCACAAATGTGGCCGATTCGCGCACCAAAAACGTTCCATCACCAAGATGTTTATACTTTTGCAGCAGATCGTCGGCTTCCTTGCGGCCACCTGGAAAAAAACAAACAAAAACCCGTGAATCATCCAGTCAATGGAATGGAATAATAATAATTAATATACATATAAAGGGGAGAGGCAATTAATAACAAATTGCATGGTCAAAGCAGTCTAAACGCTTGCATATTCGGGTATATCTTTACATTTCTCTCTTTAAACAAAAGAATTACCATCCGGCCTTTATATCTCGCTCACTCCGCTAGTTGAGTACACTGCACAAGGTCGAGTGTGTGCGTTAAAGAGAGAGAGAGAACGAACGAGAGCGGAAGCGTGGCAGCCGAGTCAACCACAGGAAATTGTTAGCTTTATTCTGGATATAGTGAACCAATCTGTGGTCTCCTTTTAAGTCCAAAATTGTAGATGCCATGGATCTTGGATTAAAGCAAACTAGAGTCAGTGTTTGATATAACCAGAGTCAGCTGCACATAAAATTTGCTTGCTCTGGCTCTTATAGTCTCGCGAGAAGTAGGTCTTGGCTGATCAAGAATATATAATCTATATATCTGCTTAATGGGTTTCGGAAATGCTGCCTATTGGCTACATTATATATATGCACTTTCGAGTACTTTGGGAACAAAGAGCAGAGCAGACGGTATGTAGATTATGGGCCACTTTTTAAAGTGGATATCTCGTATCGGAAAGCAGATATGGGATAGGCAGATAGGCAGATACAACGAGCACAGATAGCAATAAATATGTCATTCGCATGGCACGGCAGCTGTAATTATGAACCAATCTATATTGCCAGAGCCCGTTCCGTGCCATAGATAATGCTTTTTGCTGATACCCATATCAATCGATCGATTTGTCGGACAGCGGATATCAGACACTAGCTCCTGTAGTGCTGTAGCTCTCATCATATCATCATACATATGTGCGTTTTGTTGTGTGGTTTACCTTCCAATTTGCCATGAAACCAGTTTTCACCAAAATGCAGCTCATCATTGGCCGAGGTATCCTTTTGTTTCTGTTGCATGGTGTTGTTGATGGAACAGGAGGACGACAAACCAAAATCATCATCCTCTGAGGTGCCATTGCGATGTGATTCGCTGATCTCCGAGGAGTAGATGAGCTCTTGTTGGGTCAACACAAACTGATAGAGATTCCAGGACTTGTCCACGGGATCCTTGAAGTACAGCAGCCCCTCTTTGAATACCTTGCGCATATTTTCACCCTCATTTTCGCCCACGCCACCGCCCAACGATGATCGATGGGTAAGCGATGAGCCGACGCCACCAGCAGCAGCTGCAGCAGCGGCTGTTATGCCACCATTAGTTATGCCCACGCCGCTGAATGTCGTTTCATCGTATTGCGGCAGCTTCTTGTGCTTTAGAATTATCTTGCGTCGCAGCTGGTAGGGCGAAGGTAAATGCTGTTCATTCCGGTCACATGGCTGCGTGAGCAGCATATCGCCAAACACCTACAAAAAACAAAAAAAAAACAAAGAAAAGAAAAGGGAAACCAATTAGCGCATGAATCAGCCAAGGATTTGATGTGGTACCTCAATTAACGCCTGTGCCATATTTCGTTGCTGCTCTAAGGAGCAATTCTGTTCGATGGACAGTATGACGGGATACTCGGAGGTGGTGAAGGCATGATCCTTGATAGTCTTTACCACATCCATGAACTTGATTTTGGATGTCATTGTGTGGCCATGGAATATATAGGGCAGATTGTCGGGCCCATTCCAACAGTCGAGCTCAATGCAACGGCAGCCCATGCGCAGGGCACGGGCATAAGCCTCGCACGATGATTCGCTGGAGAATTGATCGCCCGTCAGGTAGGTGTTGTGCGACGAGGCTATCCAGTAGGAGGAGAGCGGCAGATTCATGTCCATGAAGATGGCATCGTATTTGCTATTCCACAGATCGTTCTGCTTCGAGAAGAGGTAGTCGACAAACTCGGAGAGCGTCAGATAGGGCTCCTGCACCTCTCGCTCCACATCCTGCACAAATTCACGTATGAAACCGGATATGGAGCCCGCATTCAGCTCGCCCACATTCAGATCACGCTGTTCGGTCTCCAGAAAACGCTTCAGCTCTGTGGGACGCACCGTCTGCTGATCCTCCGAGTAGGGAAATGCATTTGAAGCGGCTGTGCCACCGCACAGAATGTTGGCGAAACTTTGCGGCAGCAGTAGCTTCTGATAGAGACGCGAAAAGTCATCAAACTTGAGGTCATGCTTTCGTCGCACATCGTCGGTGAAGCACTCCATGAATTTGCTGGTGGTCATCTTGCAGCTGACGCTGGCCAGGAACATCTTAAAGTCCTTGATGGTCACCTGTGTCTGCGATTGTTCCGACGATTTGGCCGAATGCGAATTAACATTCTCGATCTGATAGTATTCACGTCGCAGCCAGCGATCAATCTGCAGCGGGTAGGAGGAATTCACTGTGTCCTTGACCATATAGCGCAGACCACGCACCCAATTGTCGGCCTCGATCTCGGATAGAGCCACCACCGAGAAGCTCTTTAGCTTGAAGTGATTGCCATACAGAATGACAAAGCATTTGCTGTTCTCGTAGCGCTGGCAATCGTCGGCAAAGAGGCGGAACTCCTTCGAGTGCTTGCCCACACGTATCTCACGGATCTCGCGCAGCTGTATCGCACCCTCGAAATCGGTGCGGGGCGTATGGGCGGCCACAGTCGACCATAACAGCTGACGCGTCTCCCTGATAAGCATTAGATGGCGACGATCCGGACGCCTCTGCTTGCCGTACAGCTTCGTCACAATTGTGCCCCGCTCCAGCATGCCAATCGTCTGCTCCATTTCACCCAGCAGCGGTGCGTTCATTGCACTGAAGCAGCTCATCGTATCGTATCGTTTCGTCTGCTTCTGTTTACTGCTTCCAAAATGTAAATCTATTCTAGCCACACGCACGTTCCCATGTACGAAATGTATATGCACACACGGTCCCCGGACTCCGGATGTATTTCAACAGCCTAAACCATACGACTGGCTGCTGGCTGGCTGGCTAGCTGGCTGGCTGGGACGTTCACGTTTCGCACCACTTCCACTGCAATCAAATTAAATTTTGGTGGGTGGGTGGTTTATTGCAGTGCTACTTGTTGAATTAGAGGTGTCAAACCATCGAACTATCGATAGGATCTATGTTTTGCTGCTATCCACTACTATCGATGGTTTTGCGACTATCATGATTGTATCGAGCTACAGTTGTTGCGCTTTTGATATGTTTGGATTGGCTGCTATAAAATACGAAGACACATTTGTAAACAAATCGACAGGTGGCATCTAATTTTTACAATGGACAAGTTCCTAAAAGGTTTCAATGGTTTTTTAATAATTATATGAGCCATCACGATAGTATCGATTGTTTTTTGTTCAAAACATTCAACGTTGATATTCCTCGAATTTGATATTCCGCTTAATATTACTAGCTAGTTGGCCCTCTCAGCCCTAATCAAATAATTTAAGCCGATAGATACATAAATTTTCTACATGATTGGTAAGCTTTCAGAAGTCCTTTTTATTGGATTATTTACATATTAAGGTTCAAACAAAAACGGCCTAAGCATAAAACGTAAATGTTGACTAAATGTGACGTCAGTGTTGCCCACTTAACCCCCTCTATTTAAAAATTTGAGCACCCTTTGTTAAACCGCGGAAAATAATACTGTCTGTAAAGGCTCCTTGTAGCTCCACCCGCATTACTTACAAAACAAAAATGACCACCGATATTTTTCAAAGAAAATTTTGAAAAAACCACGATTTGCTCACGAACGAATAAAGTGACCAAGTCGAAAAATATCATTATATACCAGGATGTTTGAGGGAACAATTTCGATACTTTTTGGAGTTCGGCGGTCATTTTGAAAAGCACTTAAATATACCTTAAGACATAGATTCCAGCTTTTTTAAATATACTTTTATGTACCGATATACGGTTATTATATTTGGAACTCGATTTCGAAGTCAAAATATTCCGTAAACGGACAGGATGACCGTTTCTATTATACTATTCGATAGACCACGTCAGAACGATAGTGCTAGTCGAATATGAATGAACAGCGCATGCCTCCCAAGCATATATATATATATATATCCAATGGGTTAAGCGGATATTATATTAATTTCCAATTCGTTTAATTAATTGCATTTCCTTTGAATTTGGCTGATTTCACATAATTCTGCAATGATAAATGTCGATTGGTTCATTTTCAGCAGTGCTGCATAGCGTGGGTGTAGTGCTGGGAAACGGTTGAATTTAAATTAGAATTTTAAATATAAAATGGAATTTACTGCAATTTGAAATAATAATTATTTATTACATGTATAATAAGAAGCCTTTGTGTACATTTGATAACCAGATATATATATATTTCCTTTACGTTTATAAACATCAAGAGTTATGTTCAGTGTAAATAACTAACAAAAATAAAATAAAATATATTCGACCATTTGTTTTTGTAACAGGTGCCTGGAATAGTGTCTTTTTGTTTAAATTCTTCTGTTGTTTGTAGTTATTTGACGGCTAAAGCCGCTCATTATTAGCATTGTATGCTTTTTGTATTTTGTGTTTGGTTTTTTTGTTTTTCGTTTTGGTTTGTGTGTATTGTGTCTAATCTGCTTTCTTGCGTATAATAATCGCCTCCTCGATTTCCTCATTTGGCTGATCCTTGTCGCCCCAGCCCCAGGTGGTGTGAGTGCCGTCGCCAGTGCGCTTCACACGCTTCTCGATAATGGCCGGCGATACGGTCTTCAGGTCATAGGCCCAGCCAATCTTTGAAAAGCAATCAATAAAGAATGTGGTAAAATTCAAGGAGTAAAAGCCAAGTTCAGCCGTCTTGTAGTCCCAGGGGAAAACATGATGATAGTTGTGCCAGCCCTCGCCAAAAGCCAAAACAGCAACGGATATGTTCTGAGTAGGGCTAATGAATCTGAACAAGGGAAGGAAAGTATTTAATGGCTGCCACTTGCGTAGATTTATCTGACTCACTGGTCGTACGGGCGACCGCCAAACTTGTGGGCAGCACTGTTGACAAGCCAGGTCACATTCAAGATGAAGCACCAACGGAACATGGTGGCCACAAACCAGGCATTCATAATGGACTCATCCCAAAAGTAAATCGGTATCATGGTGGGCAACAAAAAGCAAGCGAACGGCATCAGGTACAGATAATAGCTGCAAAATAAGCTTGGATTAAACACGACACCACCGACTCTAGGGTGCACTCACCGCTTCTGGAACATCAGTATGGGATCGGCACGTAAATCGGATAGGTCTATGCCCTGGCCCTTGGCCTTTACCTCCGGATGTTTCTTGCACAGCAGCCAGCCAATGTGTGAAAAGAAGAAGCCACGGGTGGCATTGTGCGGATCGGCATCGGTCTCCGAGAACTTGTGGTGCACGCGATGGTCACGGGCCCAGTGATAGGCGGCATCCTGGAATGCAATCGTATTGAAGATGACCAACATCAAGCGCAATGGCCACTTGGCCTTGTACGAGCGATGGGCCCACAGGCGGTGGGCGCCAGCAGTTATGCCAAGTCCAGAGCACACATACAGCACGAAGGCGAAACCAATTGTTGCCCATTTGGCCGAAGTAATCAACAGATAGAGGCCATAGAGGGCGGCCAAATGTAAGTAACCAAAGGCCAGGATATTGCGCCAGACGAGCGTCACTTTACGGCCATCGGCACACTTCTGGAAGCACTGGTTCCCCTCATCTGCCTCGAAGAGCACACCGTTGGTGGTGGTGTCGGTGGAAGGCTCCTCCTCGCCTGCATCTGCATCTACTGCTGCATTCGCTGGCACCAACGAATCGACGGTTAGCTCGGCCACTGTTTTGGCCTGGGCCTTGATATTTGGCGGCATGTTTACTCGACGATTTGCTTTAATATTTGGCACACACAAAAATACAAATCAATTTGTTAGTTACTCGCAAAACGAAAAAAGTATTTGACTTTATTTTGAAGGCAGAGCCCGACAGGACAGATGAGCTTCTAGATTTTTCAACAACGCAAATGCATACTTCGATAGTTTTGATTAACCGTATAAAAAATTCCTTGCTGCTATCGAAAACTATCGAAGCGCGCCAGCTTAGAAGGGCCCAGCTCCAATTTAAAGGACGGTAAACAAATGCAGGTGAATATTGTTCGCAAGCAAAATTTGGCTAAGTTAATTAATCAGTGAAAGAGAGGAACAACCATACAAAATATTGCACGTGAGTTAGTAATTAAACAATTGTTTCTAGATCCATTTCCGTTGAAAACTTTGGTGTCGAAATGCACAGACAAATAAATATATACATATATATGTATATGGCCGTATCATCACAGGCCGATACAGGCAGACAATTAAAAGAAGCAAATATATCTTAATTGGAGTCTCTGCATTGAGTTCTTACCGTTTTCCATTTATTAAGGCGAATAATTCTGCTGTACTTCTGCTAGGAGGGCTTTGTTCGATTACAAAAATAAAAATATGTTCCTTATTTACGAAAGTCTAAATAATGATTGAATTCGCATCTGCTCCTACGTGTGTACACAAAACAAAATTGCCTAGTTGTCTAAGGGCTACGAAACACTTATCCGTGCAATGTGGAAAAATCACAAAATGTTCTTTACGAAATCACAAGTACCTACTATTCTGCAAGTATAATTGGTTCGGCAACAAAATAGAATTCCTTTTCGTGTTTGCCTTGAACCAGAAAGCAGACAAAGCTAAAGATTTGTTTGCAATTCAGAGAAACCGAACAAAATGTAGGGCAGTTTGTGCAGCTTTCAATTAAAGCCTCACCAAAAGTGAATAAACTTTGACATTGCACAATTATTATATATATATATGTATATTGGTCTGCCAAAAACTGTAACTTTATAAGGCAGAAGCTCAAGCCGATAGCTCTAAACCTATATATTTATTATTTGCAGATATGTACTACTATACTACTTACCATTTTTTAAAGAGATCAAAGAACCATTGCGAACCTTAGTTTATTTATGTACCCTCGAACCAAAGACAAAATACCCATAGGTACATTTCAAAAGCCACACTGAAAAATAATGTTTACTATTGAAATTCGTGTATGGACGTTGCGCATCTTACTATTATTATTGCTATGTCTTTGCCCGAAACCATATTCAGCCCGTAAATCAAATCACGAAACAAAACAAACAATTTTGTGGTACTATTTGTAGTTATTGTATTTAGTAAAAGTCTACAGCTGAGTGCATTGCACGTCTTACCTACGGTTAGTCAGAGTATAAGCTACGATATGGACTCTAACATTCGTGGGGGTGCAACACACTAATGGACTTGCACGGACGGAGGGCTTGGCTTGGCTTGCCTTTATCCATGGGTAGGGATATGAATCAAAGTAGGATCATACTCCTTTAGCTGGACTCTTTGGCACACAGCGACAGCAGCAGCAGCAGCAGACAGTCAGAAAACAGACAATACAATCCACAAACAAGGAAACTTTTTACCACACCGTTTGCCTTCATAAGCGTACATCTAGCTAAATTATATTTATTTTCAACTATTTTTACAGGATTGTTTTTGTAGTTCATAGAAAAAAATATATGTATTGTATGTATGTATGTTTTCAAAAAAAAAAAAAACCTCTTAGTAGCTACCATATAGATATAGTATCGCTAAACGTAATCTTGTCACACAACACACCAAAAACACCACACCATACACATTTATTTTGTTTTGTTTTTTAAATTCAGGAACTCGGTCAATGTCTGGGATTTAATTTGGGATACATCCGAGTCTAGGATGATATTGTAGTGGCACTCTCTCTCTCTCTCTCTCTCTATCTCGGAGTCTGCGGTTTCTGTTTAAACAAAACAAAAAAGTGGTGGGAAAAAACGGAAAGGAATAATAACAACAAATATTCTTTAGTTTTTTTTTGTTTTTTTTGGAGAACACAATCATTTTCATCTACAAGAATCTCTTTTCTAAAAGTTTATTTTTATAATAGTTTAGTTTTTTTTTTCTTATAACAAGCGCACAGGGAACTGGAATTTTATTTTTCATAGTCATAATTTATGTTTTTATTGAGGAGTTTTTGCCGTCGTTCATCATTCATCATCATCATCATTGTCGTGTGATCTCGATCTCTTGTAGAAAATTACAACTTAAAAAAAAGGGTGGTGTATAGCCTAGACTTTTCTTCATTTTAGAGCTCTCCCTCTATATATGGATATAATCTCGGTGGCGAGCTATTCTCTAGCAAAAATGATGCTAAAAATATATATACATAGATATACATATACATTGTCTCGCCTCATAATAATATATAACGTGGGGAGAGGGGGAAAGTTAATTGCGAGTCTCAATTGCAGCGCTAACCATATGTCTGGTCTGTACATGGGATTAGCTCATCCACTAATCCACCTCTAATCACGTTATAAACCTACTAATTTTACTCGATATCTCTTAGCCTATACACACACTATCCACCCACCCAGAAGGAGTACGTACTGGTGCCCATGGTCCAGCCCATGCAGGAGATGGTCGAGCAGTCACTTTTTGTTAAAAGCATTTGCCAGAGCTCCTCCTGCATAGGAGCAACCACACCCGCTTCCTCTTTCTCTATATGTGTCCGCGTCTTGTCTTCTGGTCTGGAACTGGAGTTTTTTTTTTTATGTATTTAAGGCTTGGGTGTAAAAATATCCTTTTACTTACAGCCTCACCATAAAAAAAAAAAACACACGCTCTGCTCTGAGAATACTTTCAATTTTGTTTGTAGCCACCCGTTTTGTTTTTTTGTTTTTTCTTATATGGTATTATGTATACTCTTAGATTCTTGTTAGATCTGCTGCTGCTGCTGCTGGATCTCCGTTAACTGCTAGATAGTCTCGTCTAAATAATACTTCAATAGTATGTACATGGCCAAGAAGTCAACAATGTCCATTTTTTTTTTTTGTTTGTTTGTTTGTTTTTGTTCTGCCCACCCGCGTGTCGTGTCTCATCAATATATGTGTTTAACAACCTAAGATGTATTCGTATATATGTAGGTATATATATTTATATATACGTGTTATTACGACCCCAGCAACGCGCTTGAAATGTAGTTTTATATTTACATATCATAATTAAAACTATATTTATTTGTTTTCTTTATCTGTTTTTAGTTTATATAGAAGTAAGCGCACCCCCAAAAAAGCTGCCCTAGGATGATTTTTTTTTCATGGTGTTTTTGAAATGTAATATGTGTTTGTGTGTGTGTGTGTTTTAAATAAAAATATATCAATTGAGAAATGGAAAAAACGAACGAAAATTATGCACAATTATGATACATATTTTTTTTTATATAATATAGAGAGACAGATCTTTTTTGTTTTGTTTTGAAGAGATATCACCCGCCACTGAGTTAAGTATTTTTTTTGTTTTCTTGTTTTTATATCACGTCTTGCAACTCGTGTGTGAGTAAACGCATTAATTGTATGAATGGGGGTGTGTTTGGGTTTGGGTTGGTTCCATTATGGTGAAAATCTAACATTAATAAATGGAGGGGATTCTTCTTCATACTGAGAGAGAATGAAATGACAATATGCTTGATATCATGATCGAGAGTTATTTTTGTGGTTGATTGATTTGATTTGATTGACTTTTCTCTTGAGTGTTTTTTTTTGTTTTTGTTTTTTTTTAGGAGAAAACTTAGCACAAATAAGGGTTGGTTTGTTTGTTTGTTTTGTTTTGTTTGTTTTTGCTGGACACACACAAATTGTATGTCGGGTTTAATCTAACCATTACTTAATCATATTTCATCTTATAACATACGAACTTATAAAAGGTTTCTTTGTGATTTTTTTTTCTTGTTTCTCCTTCAATTAATTCATGGAAATTTGATTACTTATTATTACAAAAAAAAAAACTATGCATTACTTTTCATATTTATATATATATATGCATATATATATATATATATATATATATATATATATATATATATGTTCAACACACATTATCGATCGGTTGTTTGGTTTAACCTGGATAATAGATCAAACCGTTAAATCCAACGATATCTTGTTCATGTTTCTCGTTATCCTCTGCTCTCGCTCGCTCGCTCGCTCTATCTCTACCACACGATGAGACAGCAGACCCAACGATAGTGTGTATAAATAGTGTAGAGTATTACTAGGCTAGACCTCCTATTGGTTCTCATCGTCATCACCATCGCCATCATCATCGTCATGCTGCTCGTCCAGCTGATGCTGCTGCTGCTGCTGCACGGCGGCGGCCAGTAACGCGGCCTTCTGTGCCTGCGCCTGTATCGACGCTTGCATCGATGGTGCGGACATGGCTATCTTCCCGCTTGTCTTGTATTCGGTCATTTCCTGCAAAAAAAGACCCAAGCAAAACCATATGTAAGTAAGCTTCCAAGATTGGTTCTTTTGAAATGCTGTGCTGTACATACCCGTTCATAGCGTGCCTTGTCTCTTTCGGCCATCGACTCGTACTTCTGCTTAACCTCGGGATCAACATCGGACCATTTGCGTCCCAGCTCCTTGGCAATGTCGCCAACACCGTATTCTGGATTCAGAGCCTTCACCTTATTTCTCTCATCATTGCAGAACCAAAAGAACGCAGACCTGTAAGGGATATTTTCAGAATATTAATACCGTTCGTGAGTTGTGAGTTTTGGGTTGGCCAAAATGTGTTGTTATAAATTGCTTTTTGCTACGAACTCACAATGAACGTTTCGGTGCATTGGGGTCCTTGATCTGTTTCCTCTTCTTGCCACGTCCCACAACAGTACCCTTGGGTGGCACATAGTTCTGCATTTCAGCCTCATAGCGCTGCTTATCCTTTTCGGCCATTTCATGGAAACGTTTTTTCTCCTTATCCACCATTGTCTTGCGGGGGGATAAACAATTGATTAACATATATGTTCATGGGGGTTTCCATGCGAGTTCAGGGTTTTGTTACCTTCCATCGTTCGGCACACTTGCGCGAAAATTCGGCAAATATCACGGTTTCATCGGGATGCTTCTTTTTGTGCTCCT